TTCCTGCGCAACCGCGTTCACCGCCACTGATCCTGCCGTCTCCACCGCCGTGTACAGGGTGGTCGGCTCCCAGCTGCTGCTGCTGGCGGTGCTGGTGCTGATGCTGGTGCCGCGGCAAGTGCTCTCGCCGCCACGGTCACCGAGCAGCTGCCGGTGCGGGTCGTTCCGGAAATACCCCTCTGCAGCCGCGTTCTTGGGGCGGCTCAGGTCCGGTAGTTCCTTCACCATCTCCCAGATCCACCGGAAGCCGCTGCCTGGGGTCCGTCCGGCACACCGCCGGAGCCCGCCTGCCCTCCGACCATCGCAGAACGCGCCCATCGATCTGTGGCAGATAGAGGAGGGGCGTGTATGATAAGGGTCAAGCACATCTTTGATACACAAGTTAGAAATCAGCTGTCGTTTTGCGAACCACATGCACGCAGACAGCAAGCACTGTATATATGCATGCAACGTAACAATGCATGCAGGCCAGTGCATGGCTCCCTTGCTCTACAAGCGGTTTCACGAGCTCACCGTGCGTCGGGTCGTTCCAATCAGCTGCAGTCCCTCCTTGCTGGACACCCGGCTCATGGCGGTGTAGAGGATGCCGTGCCAACCGCCATATTGGCTGTCCAAGGATGACAGGTCCACAATAACCTGGGGGGCAAATATTTTCGAGAAACAGTGAGAGAACATTCACAATCCATACCCTGAAAACTAACCTGACTGGCTATCTGCGTTGTGAAGGACTGAAACAAGGGGCCAAAGGGCCACCTATAGCTACTCCATGCGTAATTTCTACGGTCTGCAGTACGGCAGTGCACTGCTGCTATACGTACAGCTACCGTTGTACATACCTTGTCAAGTGTCATGCCCTGCGACTTGTGCACCGTTATAGCCCAGGCCAGCCGGAGAGGGACCTGAGGACACGGTAGGGATCGAGGGGAGCGCTAACTCGTACATGTCTTCCATAATCGCTTGGGAGACGTGTCAGTCATACATGGACCTAATGGGGAACGGACGCTAGCTGTCTTCAGGACACACTGGTGAAAGTGCTTGCCGCATCGTGCTAAGCCAAGGAACTGCCCGCTCAGGCGACCCACCTGCACTCGGAACCGTGCACCCAGTCCAGGTATCAGCTCGGTGAAGATTGAGGGCGCCAGCTCCATTGTCAGCCCGTTAGCGAACTTGACCACTGGCACCTGGGCGTTCTTCCTGTACCACCTGTGCACGAATGAGAAAGTTCCAACGTTGGGGTCAAGCAAGGGACGTGCTGTGACCATCAGTCCTTCAACAATGGCCAGTTGCGTGGATGTAGAAAGTCAGGAAGTAGCAATGACAGTTGTCAGAGGTACCAGGAGCGGATAAGAAGGATCGACATATCTGCGTGCATGTTACCCTTCGTGTACTGGTATGGAACCCCGCACATAGACAGCAGATGGCCGCACCCCTGCCTAACCTACATTCCAAGGGCCTCCTCCGTCTCATCGCACTGCAGGTCCTTCTCCAGTGCCGCCAGGGGCTGCTGCCGGGAAAAGCCGCTCGTCCCGGGGGCTGTGAAGCCCACCACCACCCCGCGCGAGCCGTTGACCAGCCCAGCCTGCACGTCCAGGTTCCGCAGCAGCAGCACCTGCGCGCCCACCTGCGAGCGACGCGAGGGAGGGAGCGAGAGGTTGGGATGTACAGCAGAAAGGCAATCGTGCGAAAACTGGGTGACTCTCCCTGCTGCTGAGGCTGTGGGCTTCATGGTAATGTCCGTGAGTCTTATGCGCAGCGGCCGTGTTCCCTTGTTTTCTTCGACCCTGACGCCTCCCACTGCCCCTCACCTTGAGCTGCACCTTGTCCGCCGCCTGGCAGTCTTTGAAAAGACCATTGTCTTTCTTCATCAGGAAGCACTTGGTATCCGATCGCCACGTCTCTTCGTCATCCCCGACCGGTGGCTTGAAGGTGATGGCGCACGTGTTCTGAGCGGAGAACGGCACCTGTGTATGACAGCAGGACGGCAAACATTGCAACATAGCCTGAGCAACGCGTCATCATCCATGCCATTGTAACATGCATTTGCCATGCAGCTGACAGTTCTTACAGACGGTGGATGGCCACTAGGCCTCCCGGTCTAACTCCTGTTTCCATCCACGGGACCGGCCTTGGGTAGTTGGTCCTCCTCCCCTCCTAGGATTTTCTCCATCCCATTCTGGCCAGCAGACATACCTCCGGTGTGCTCAGGTTCTGCAGCTGCTTGTTATTCTCCTCATCTACGTTGCGGTTCTTGCCATACAGAATGGTGGCCTTTATGCCGTCTGACTCATCGAGCGGGCGGCTGCAGTCCCGCACTAGCTGCTCCATCACCTTCTCGTACTCGTCCTGCCCGCCGCAGCGCACCGTCATCAGGTCGCTTTGGAAGCTCGCGTCCGACTGACGGAACACCTGGAGTTGGATGGGCGAGGGGAGGAGTCGAACAGAAATGGCTTGCGCCCGGGGTCAGGTCGGAATAAATTGAGTCGACCGGCTGGTCGACTGCACGCAGCAGGGGTGCACGCAGGTGGAGAGGGGAAACAAGAAGTCGAAACGGAAGATGAGCATTGGGCCAAAACATACCGGAATGTACCGGTTACATGGACTAACTGACAAGATTCTAGCAAACGAATTCATGCTACAACAAGGTACAGCCCCCGCCCGCCACCACGGTACGTGCCTTGGTGAGCCGGACCACCTTGAAACCGCCGTACTCGTACACGGGCGCCTCGAACAGGAAGCCCCGGTTGAGGAAGGTCTGCTCCAAGGGCCGCAGCGGGGCCGACTTGGGCCCACCGTCCGCGGCATGCCGCTCCTTGCCCTCGATCGGCCCCAGTTGAAAGAAGTCGCCGCACAGCACCAGCTGCAGCCCGCCGAAGGGGCGGTCCAACCGCTCCTTGTCCATGCCCTGTGTAGCATATGCACAGGTGCATCAAGGGCAGGCCAAAAAGGGGCGTTAAGCGGATACGAAGGCAAGATGTTTCACAACACAACCCTTCCCATCGCTCGATAGCACGCACGCACCTCCATTATTACCCGAACATACAAGCACAGCTTGCTTGACCGCTATCACAGTTCACGTACCTCCCTCTCCATCCCTGACAGCCGCGCCCTCTCCGCCGCCTGCTTACGCGCTCCCGTCAGCACCGCGTCCAGCCCCTGCAGCATCTCCGCACTCATCATGCTCATCTCGTCCAGGATGATAACGTCCAGCTCGTACAGAAAGCCCAGGTCGGTGTCGTAAATACTATTGAAGTTTTTGTACTGCTCTACGCGCCCCAGGCGGAGTAGGGAGTGGATGGTAGTGCCTGCGAGGATAAGACAGGACCAACATCACGGAGCGATGAGTAACAGGTGACACTGTGCACTGCTTCATGAGCCTACAATAAAAATCCGGTACACCAGCCGTACAAGCTGCGCCCTTACCTCCCACATGAGTGGCCGCAATCCCCGTCATGGCGGTGACCGCCACCCTCTTCGTGTACATGCGACCGTACTTCGTTGACAAACGGGACTTGAGCTCATTGAGAACCACCGTCTTGCCGGTACCCGCCGAGCCGGTCAGGATGATGTTGGGCCGCTCCTCCGATAGCGCCAACCTGACTGCATTCACCTGCTCCTCGGCGAGCTCGATCTTTGGTGGCTTCGCCTCTTGGGGCAGCTTGACAACTTCGACGTGGGAATGTCTTGCGGCCTTCCGACGGGTTTTGCCGCTGGCTACAGGAGCCACGCAACAGGTCCGTGGCAAGGGCCTCGTTAACAACATAGGCATTCTACCTATTGTTTGCAGCGGACACCTGGCTAGGGATGGCACACGAGTGGGCGCATAAGAGGCTGTTAATCTGCCGAGCGACGCCATCCTGCTGGGGTCTTAACTACTGGTGTTATGTTTAGCCTTTAACAGTTGTTTTCATCAAAATTAGGCATGCAATTTAACAATATCTCGTGAAAGGACTGCCGTTCAAGGAGGTGACACATGTCATTGGGTCGCGCCTGCTGGGGTCCCATCAGGAGGTGACGCAGCAAACAGAAAGCGATGTAGGTTACATGTATGTGCGAACGACCAAAGGAGCCTGCACATGATAACTGTATCTGGGGCGTTGTTCGTTGTTGAGTACAACTGATGGTAGTTTCGAGGCGCCCCAGCTGGCTAGGAAATGTGCTCTCTCAATAGGTAACATATCTTCGTTGTGTGTAAACCGCTCACTTACAGTTATGAGTGTGCCCGGCGACTCTCCACCGTCCGGTAGCTCCGAGCCGTTCAACAAGGCAGAAGTGTCGTGCAAACATACATGTGGTTATAAAGCTTAAAGTTTCCTTGCAGAACGGGTTACTCCCCGCCAACTCCGTGGGCATGCGGTGGGACAGTGCACGGCGCCTAGAGCTGGTGTTGGCGCTGCGTGGCGTTCGCGCGCACAGCATGGAAAGGGGGCCATCAGTAGCTACGGCTCCTGCCCGCCGGCTCGCTCTGCAGTCCAGTGTCTGCAGGGCTTCACGACAAAGGTTCCCTCGCGTGTGTCGTGCACTGCAACGCCAGCCTCCAGCGCATGACCTGCACACACAAACACGCTACTCACGTCGCATCTCCTCCCAACTTAAGGAGGCCTTCCCGCTATACCCGTACCCGCACCTTCATTCTTCCCTGCGCCTATGTAACCCACGGGGCTATACCGGTAGTAGTAGCGGGTGTTGCGTCAGCAATTAATTGGAGCAGACACAGCAGCAGTACTGGATGGATAAGCCTGTAGCGATATGTGTTTCGGCGAACCGGAGGATTCACACCATTGTACTGCTGTCGTATTCGTGGGACCCTTGGGTCAGATAAATGCCGTTGCGCCTTTCTGTTTCTTTCAGCCTGCCTTAGCATGTCTTACATTCCGGCAAGAGCCGTTAAGTGTTAGCGTTACACAGTACCGCTTTGGTAATGCGATGCACGGCGTTGAACATTATAAGCTGTCGAGCAGCCAGTGTAGTGAAGGTGACTATGACTGCTGGCTTCATAACCTGTTCCATGTAGCCTACGTGTACCCCATCTCGCCCTTTGTCCTCAATTTGCATAAAGTTCACGACGCTTCCCTCGGACGTGACTGGCAGACAACTACAAACTAGGCAAAGCACCGCAAGCATACTCCAGAACCTGCTTGTAGGACATGGGTGCGGAATTAAGATGCATCTTTACACCATCGGAATGCATCACTGTAATGGTCATTCATTTATAATGCGCCGGACTACATAACATATTTTAACATTATACCATTTATGCTGCAGCACACGGCTCTCATTGTAACGCGACCCATGGGTCTGGGCACGTTGACAGTAATAAGCCTTCCTACCAGCATTACTCACTTGCCCCTGAAAACACACACTACACAACAGAAACCAGTTCATATCTACTTTTTAACAGCTAATGTGTACCGGTATTCCGTACAGTTCCGCTCGGCACAAAACGTACATTACATGTACCGTTCATCCTGGCGTGTCCAACCTAATACCTTCGAGCTTGAGCAAGTAATTGACATTCTGCGGATGCCCGGGGTCCTCCAGCTAGGTCTGGTCCCAAAGCCAGCCGCGACGGGCAAGCATACACTACATGCTATGGAACGTATGATCAATGAAACAGACATGATGACCTGGCTTCTATTGTAACACAATGCACGGTGGCTACACCTGCTACAGTCCTGCTAATGATGACACTCCAAGTAAGCTTTAGCAAACAGACATTGCCCTGCTAGGTTGCCCCAGGATGCTTCCCCGCACCCTCCGTAGCAACAAAACATGGAGTAGCTGAAACCTAGAACGCGCTGCCAGCGGCTCTTCAACACAGCGACCAGGCCCGCGGTAGCCGGCAAGCACACGAACGCACCCACTCGTGCCCGGCCCAGCACCCCAGCACACCTCACAGCCCCTCCTTCTTCAACCTGTCCAGCAGCATCCCCATCCGCGCCAGTATCAGGCGCAGCTCCGACTTAAGCGGCGCATTCTTGCGCGCCACCTGCGCCTGCAGCACTGCCATACACTCCGCCAACTCGGAACTCAACGAGTCGTCGTCGTCGTGATGCGCTGCCGCGGTCAGCAGCGAGGTGCCCTCGTCAACCGACTTCTCTTCCTCCTCACTGTCGGCGGGTTCTGATAGCGCCTCCTTGGCGGCTTCCTCGTCTACGCGTGCCATGAGCTTGAAGACGGCGTTGGGGACGTCTGCGGCAGGCTGCTGCTGCCCCGCGGCCCCAGGGCCCAGCAGCTTGGTGGATGCGCCCGAAGCAAGCAGGGCAGCATCCGATGATGAGGACCTGCGGGAGAGTGGACATGCGTGGAAGACAGTTACAGTAGTTCCCTAAGAACAGAATACCGGTACGGGCCGTGTGCGCAATTACACTGCAAGAGAGCCGAGAGAGCGAGTCCTAGACATGCAGGCTGAGTTTGGAGCGCCGAACACATGCATGAGATACGGTATACCGGTTCCGGTTGCAGGCCCCATGCGACCTAGCTGGCGACCCAGTGCCCAGACGTCTTCCACTCCACGTCAGGTTCTCTCATTGGATTCGACTGCTGACCTACGAGCTCGTTTGGTAACATGCCAGCTAGGTCCCCCCGGTCCAACCACAACCCCCATCACCAGTTGCAAGGACTTCAACTCACCCGCTGCCAGCAGGGCCCTCATCCGAGCTGCCCTGCTGCTGGCGAGCCCCCACCGCGCTCGTCGCCATCTCAACCGTGCTGCTGGTGCTGCTGGTGCTGCTGGTGCTGCTGGTGCTGCTGCTGCTGCTCTCGCCGCCACGGTCACCGAGCAGCTGCCGGTGCGGGTCGTTCCGGAAATACCCCTCTGCAGCCGCGTTCTTCGGCAGTTCCTTCACCATCTCCCAGAGCCACCGGAAGCCGCTGCTGGGGTCCGTCCGGCACACCGCCGGAGCCCGCCTGCCCTCCGACCATCGCAGAACGCGCCCATCGATCTGTGGCAGATAGAGGAGGGGCGTGTATGATAAGGGTCAAGCATAATGAGACTTAGAACTCAACGTGCTGCCAAACTTTGACCAACAGCCCGCATAAAGGCAGACAGCAAGCGCTGTACGTATGCACGCCCATGCAGGTCCATGCATTATGGGCCCTACCTCTCCCCTACCCTTCCACAAACTCACCGTGCGGTTGGCCGTTCCAAACAGCTGCAGCCCCTCCTTGGTGCGTACCCGGCTCAGGGCGGTGTAGACCACGCCGTGCCAACCACCGTTCCGGCTTGACAGGGTTGACAGATCCACGATAACCTGCAGGGGGTATTTAATGGCGAGGAAGGGTGAGAGAGCTCAACCCAACAACCTGCTGGCCGCGAGTAACAAGGGGCCTGGCAAAGGATCCAAGGGGCCTTATGCCTGCAGGTGCTCCATGCTGCATGCCTATCACAGTTATGTGCCATCGCTGCCGTAACATTAACCACCATTAAGAACAACTGCCTTCGCACCTTGTCAAGTGTCATGCCCTGCGACTTGTGCACCGTCAGAGCCCAGGCCAGCCGGAGAGGGACCTGAGGACACGGGGATGAGCGGCGCTAACCCGCATAGTTTTCATGACCTTGAGGGAGGCGTTGTATGCCGCACATGGGCATTAATTTCAAAAAGAGCGACGGACCTTTGCGGAGGCATTGCCTGCCAAGGCATGTTGTGGTATTGCCTGCTAGAGCAGACACCGCTATTGCTTGCTAAGGCACAACATACGTACCAGAGCGGGGCAGGCGACCCACCTGCACTCGGAACCGTGCCCCCCGGCCGGGTACCAGCTGAGTGAAGATCGTGGGCGCCAGCTCCATTTCCTTGCCGTTAGCGAACTTGACCACGGGGACCTGGCTGTTCTCCTTGTACCAGCTGTGCACGTACGGGTAGGTATGGTGGCAAACACCCACTCATCAACCAGTAAGTTCAACATCTATCCATGCAATGCATGGTCCTTTGGGGTACACTAACGCCCTGAAACGACCCCTCGCACACAGGCACACAGGCAGCTTCATCTTCCGACATCCCAGTACGTTCCTACTCGCGGCCAGTTTTTTAACACAAGCAGCAGGTAGCCGCACCTCTACTTCTAAACGTACGCACCTATCGAGGGCCTCCACCACCTCATCGCACTGCAGGCCCTTCTCCAGCATTGCCAGTGGCTGCTGCCGGAAGTAGCCGCTCGTCCTGGGGGCTGTGAAGCCCACCACCACCCCGCGCGAGCCGTTGACCAGCCCTGCCTGCACGTCCAGGTTCCGCAGCAGCAGCACCTGCGCGCCCACCTGAGAGCGATGCGAAGGAGGGAGCTAGAGGTTGGGATGTACAGCAGAAAGGCAATCGTGCGAAAGCTGGGTGACTCTCCCTGCTGCTGAGGCTGTGGGCTTCATGGTAATGTTCGTGAGTCTTCTGCACAGCAGCCGTGTTCCCTTGTTTTCTTCGACCCTGACGTCTCTGACCGCCCCCTCACCTTGAGCTGCACCTTGTCCGCTGCCTGGCAGTCTTTGAAAAGACCATATTCCCTGTTCATTAGGAAGGTCTGTGTATCAAATCGCCACTTCCGCTTGTTGTGACCATCCGGTGGGTTGAAGGTGATGGCGACCGTGTCCTGAGCAACGAACGACTCCTGCATATGGCAGCAGAACAGCAAGATGTCGTTCGCGTGACCAACCAGGCTGTTGATACATGCACTCGTTATGCTGCTGGCAACCAAACCTCCCATGTCGATGGCAGCGTAAACTTCACGGGGGGTGGGGGGGGGGTCGGCCTCAGTTAGGTGCCCCCCCTGCTGCCTCCTCTCCTAGCCCGAAGGCATACCTCCGGCGTGCTCAAGTTGTCCAGCTGCTTCTTGTTCTCCTGGTCCACCTCTTTGTTATGTCCGTACAGTACTGTGGCCTTTATGCCGTCTGACTCATCGAGCGGGCGGCTGCAGTCCCGCACTAGCTGCTCCATCACCTTCTCGTACTCGTCCTGCCCGCCGCAGCGCACGGTCATCAGGTCGCTTTGGAAGCTCGCGTCCGACTGACGGAACACCTGGAGTTGGATGGGCGAGGGGAGGAGTCGAACAAAAACGGCTTGCGCCCGCCGGGGTCAGGTACCAGAAAATTAACCGGCTGGCCGACTGCATGCAGCAGGGGTGCACGCAGGTGGAGAGGGGGAACAAGAAGTCGAAATGGAAGATGAGCATTGGACCAAAACATACCGGAATGTACCTGTTAACATCGATAAATTGACAAGATGCTAGCAAGTGAATTCATGCTACAACAAGGTACAGCCCCCGCCCGCCACCACGTGCCTTGGTGAGGTGGACCTCCTTGAAACCACCGTACTCGTACACGGGCGCCTCGAACAGGTAGCCCCGGTTGAGGAAGGCCTGCTCCAAGGGCTCCTGCTGACCCGGTTCGGGCCCTTCGTCCTGGCTGTCATGCTCGATGGGCCCCAGTTGGAAGAAATCGCCGCACAGCACCAGCTGCAGCCCGCCGAAGGGGCGGTCCAACCGCTCCTTGTCCAAGTCCTGTGCGGCAGCAGATGCATTATGGTGGGAAGCGCTTGTGATGAGATGCAAAGGGGGCACTGGGTGACATTTGTCACGGAAACGAGGTGTCTCCCCAGCAAGATGCTTCACCTACCCGTACAGCACGAACCCGTCCCCATTATAATAAGGACATGTGACTCCCCAAACACGGAGGTAGGTCCGCTGTGAATCACCTCTCTTTCCATCCCCGACAGCCAATCGAACTGGAGAGGTTATACCATCCATACCTTTCAGTCCATGTTGGTTTCCATTTGGAAGTCTCCGTAACTGCAGGAATGGTATGCGTATAGCAATCATCCGTTCTGCAAGCTCGGGAATGCCTTGCAGCTCAGGTGGAACCTCTGGAAGTTCTAGCCCGTTGTCCAATGAAAACCTCGGGCACCGGTCCCTACGAATGCTGCCAAGGCATGTGTGGCATATGTAGCCCACACCGCGCCGTGTTACCCAGCCCGCTAGATTGGTAGCCCACTCCTCGTTGAGTGTGTCATACATGTTTTCTGTGACCTCCACTACTGATTGCCTGAACAGCTTGCGTTCGCAGCAGCAGCAGGCATACGAGCAGGACTCAGCAAAGGCAGGTCTGCAGGCTTCCTCTGCTGCTTCAACTGAATTATAGGTGCACCTCTGCACACCACTGTTTTCGTCGAATGCTGGCAGAGCCTCGTCACCAAAGTCGTCATCTTCTACGTGGGCAGGGGTTTGTGGGTGACATCGGTGCATGTTGGTCGCAGCAGCTAGTATTCAGTGGTACGTTCTCTTCAGTGCAGCATTCATCCACCAACCTTCTCAGGAATGCACACATAACAAACAACGTACCTATACCGCTCTCCTCTTGAGCGCGGCTTGCAACATTCTGACCATCGTCTGTGCAATATAGCATTGTCGTCTGCGAAACAGTGGTTACCTTCAAAAGCTTCACTATGAGCAACCATACCTTTTCAAATTTGTTCCTTCCGCAGTCGATTCCGCACCACGCGTGCTTTAACACTGGGCCGCCCCATTTCCTGCAGCACTGCCTGTGGCGAAACTTCCTGTAGCCACGATCGTTTGTAATGCTTGTCCAAAAGCCTGCTCATCTTCAGTACTCCACCGACAGCGTCTTTTGCGTGGTGGCGGACCAGACTTCTCCTCTTCGTTAACAGCTGCCTCATTGGTGCCGCTACCATGCCTTAATTCTTTACCACGATTAGTGTTGTAAATAAAGGTATCTAGTTGCTTCTTGGTAACATTGGCAAATCGAGTGTCCTAGGTGCTTGACAGTAACTCTTCTATTATCTGCAGCTATACGTTCTGCAGCTTGTTGCAACGCAAGCAGTTGGTCATCAGTCCAGCGGCGTTTGCCCATGCTGCTTCATAGCAACACATTAAAAGCATAAGTATTCTAACGTTACTGTGATACGCTGCACTGTGTATAACTACAACGACTATCCGTGATCAACAAGGGATGCCAAACAGCCACTGTAAGAAAGCACGTGTACGACAGCGCCTTTCTGAACAGCAACGTTGCACCTTAACAACAGACAACAGGGAAACACATTCGGTCGTTGTTCCGAACATTCACAGTAGCACCACATAACACCAACTTTATGTTCATGCCCCATAACCATGTTGTCAGTGTGTTCGAACAACTGTTCTCCATGGTACCGTGGCTTACATTTAGTAATAGTCTGCAAACATTTACAATGATATGGCTTCTTGCGCGATGTTACCTAAATAGGAAATTTACCTTGGACCTTAAGTCCCGGTATTCCCTATGGCTTTTTGGGCGGAGCCCCCGCCGCGAAGCGGCTTCGGGGGGACTTCGCCCCCCAGGATTGCCCCTGTCCGTGTGTCCGTGTGTCTGTTAACCTTATCACTTTGTTTGCATTTCACATGTTAGCTGTTTAAAAGCAAGTTTCCTGGGTGCAACCGTGGGGCTAGCGAGCGTCTCCACGCCAAGACGGGGCACGGCTGTGTCGGGAGCTCTTAGGCGATAGGCATTCGCTCAAAAGCCTTACACGGGATTGCGGTTTCCAGGTGCCAGTCGTGTCAGCGTGTCCGCATGCCGCACACAAAGCTAAGGATGACCCGCAGCCAACCCAAGACCCCAAGCAGTCCAGGTGTCTACCTCCACTCGACTGACAATGAGCCGCCATCACCGGTATTCCATACCGCTGCACCTCTCGACCACCTCGCCTCAACACGAGCGAGTCACTGTCCTATTTGTCCTGCACCCGTCTCAACTAGCCTCACCGGGCGCCCCACATGCGCCAGCGAGGTGGGTCGAGCAGCCACCACCACAACGTCAAAGCGCTAGCAAAAGGGGGACGACTGCTGTTTACAAGTAGCCGGCAAAAGGGGCATACCGCGAGACACCACATCAATCCATTCGGACAAAGATTCATGTGCCCGTCTATCAGCTTTCCTCCCGCCCCACCAAGCGGGACTCGTTGTTTCACATATTTAATTTTGCCCCACCAAGCATCCCCGAAGCACGCCGGCCCCTTCCCCGGCCTCCAACACCTCACAGTCCCTCCAGCCATGCAAGGAAGTCAGTCAGGTACCCGCCAGCACCGACCACGTGCGCCAGCGCAGCCTGCCGCACCACCCGACCGACCCGCTCCCACTCATCATCAATGTCACCATCACCATCACCAGAATCGTCACCCGCCACTCCGCCCCTGGCCCATAGCCGGGGTTCATCCCAGAAGGTCACAGTAAATGACGCTAGCTGCATATCATCCAGCCACCTTAGTGCACCCCCTGTAGTTGCCTCGGCCCAGCTCCGCACAAGCCCAAACTGGACAGCATACATATATACGTTCAGGCACGTGGTGGCCGTGCGATGGCGGACCATGCATTCAGGTGCATGTCAGGCTGCGGCAGCAGCACCATCCATCTTCGCCCCGCGTATCCATCATATGGGGGTACAGATAAGTGGTGCAGCCCAATTTCTTTCGGGTAGGCTCGAAAGCAGGTTATGCGAGCTGCTTCGGCGGTGATGACCCGCCCATGGCCTTCAACTGCTGCTGTACGCGCTCCAGGCGCTCCTCAAGCGACGGAGTCAGAAGAAGCATCGTGGGGCCGGACCAGCCGGTCGCGTGAAGAAGGCGCATCACGGCGCGGTCGCGTGAAGAAGGCCCATCAGGGGCTTGCTCCTGTGCCGCCTGCTGCTGCTCCTCCGGTGGTCTCACGCGCTACAACACGACAGAGTGGGTGGAGGGGGCGGGGTGGGGCGTTCAGTTCGTCAGGATCCGAATTTTCCTTGCACTGACAGACATAGCCTAAACGTGGTGTGTTTGAGTGGTTGGCTTGAACCAAAACGTTGTTGGGTTATCTTAAGCGATCATGAATGGATTGTGCTATGACAAGGGTCTCCCCACATTAATGGATCGTACATTGACTTTGGCCGTACCCAAGCCCTTCAGATGTAAATTACAGAATCTCCTACATGAAAGGTGAGGTGACGTGTCTAAACCCCAATTTACCACCTCCACATGGCACCTGGAGTTGGACTGTTTTGATGACAGACCCATGGGTCCGGCACCCTACTGCTCTAACGTTGCCTCTCATATTACCATGCATACCCGTTTCATATTTAAGGAATCAACATAACAAGCGTTTTATCACCACAGTCGGCGGTCTCACCCGGAGCTCCTCTTCCATATACGGCCGCCTCAGCTCCTGCAAGCGCTCCAGCCATCGTACCATGCCCGCGGGGTCGTACCCGGCCTCGGACAGCAGGTGTACGGCAATGAGGTCGGCCTCGAAGGTTGGCCTGGTGAGGACGTAGTGGCATACCGGCTTGATAAAACAGCCACACGCCTTGGCATTGTTGACTGCAATCTTTGGCAAAACGTATAACTATGGACCATGTGCAACATGGGTTTACGCTTTCTTAACCTGTAAGGCCGCACCTGGTTGATTGGTTAACCGTATACTCCTCCTGGTACATGACACGCAGGAGCTCCCCCAGGAGCCCAAACAGTTGGAGCGTCAGCGACCTTTCAGCCTGTGAGCGGCACGAATAGCAGCCATCCATTCACCGACCAGCCCAGCTTATTGGCCCAACAACCGAGAATGCACACCCATGCATGCGAAAGGGCAACTGCATGTGTTCCCGCCATGATGCAACATACAATCATGCGGCTGTCCCACGTCGGCAAGCGTGACTATGGGTAGTAGCATCTCATCAGTTTCCTGCAGCTGCCGGGCAGCACTACCGTACCATCCCTTCCCACCTCATGTCGTGCCAGCTTTCCCGCCAGCTTGTGCGCCAGCGCTGCGGCCAGCAGTGACTCATCCTCCCCCGCCAGCTGCAACGTGCGCTGGTGGAGCAGGACCTGGGGGAGGCGGGGGGAAGGGGTAGGCGGAGGGTAGTGCGTAGAAAGCATTTAGGACAGGCACGCACTATGCATCCAGATGACTGCACGTTGGCCTGGTGTTCCCACTCCGTCAGCCAGCAGGCGCTACCGACCTCGTGCGTCATGTCCCCGCCTCGGCCAAACGCGCAGGTCGGGTAGCCAGACGCCAACCATATCTCGCGGCAGGCTTCTGAGTCGAGCTTTCCTCGCCACTCCTGGCGCTCGGCCATCCACTCTTCCTCCCGCCCCTTGAGCTGCTCCTCGCTGGCTCCAACCATGGGCGCCACCACCGCCACCGCCCACGGCATGTCAGGTGGAATGTGGTCGTACTGGCCCCCGCCCCGGCCCGCAGCCGCAGCAGCAGCCAGCCGCTGCAGCACCCCCCGCACTCGCACCACGTCAGGGTGGTCGGCGGGGAGCAACTGGTTCCACCAGCCCACCAAGGCCCTGGCGTTCTGCGAAGGGATGTATCGATGGGAAGTGGAAGGGGTACAGGGTTCCTGACAGGCAGAGAGGTGCGTATAAGGGGATTGGGGCTAAGCTACACAAGATGAGTTCTTAAGAGGGTGTCATACTTGCGGAACTCGGTAAACGTCCTCCGTATCTTCGGAGGGACTAAGGAATCGCTATTAATTGCAGGATGTTGACACTTGCTGAGTTTACCCCGCTTTGGCAAGTGCTAGCCCCAACTCACTGCAAGGAAATCCTCCTGCGGCCTCCCCGGCACATACGTGCCGTCCTTCGACGGCTCGGAAGCCCGTGACTTGGGCACGTGCATGCGGTGGGTGTACGGCACCTGCAGTACAGGGCAACTATTACAAGCTTGCAGTTGTTGTTTAAGTACAAACCGCAATCGCTCACAAATAAGCACATTGAACAAGTGTATGAGACCTATGTTCGTAGCGTGCCCACACTTCCCTGCTGCCTCATGCACATGTCACTTGCCTCTTCAAGCTTCGACAACACGGAAAACACCCAACCAGCAAGCAGCACGAGGATAAAGATCATATTTAGGGATCTGCGGCGCACGATACCGGAGGTTAGCGCAAGCGGAAGTAAGCTGGGGGTTGACGCGAATGTCGGTACACCGTGGTCAACATGCATACGGTGCAGGCGATTGCAAGCGCGGTTTCAAGCCTGCGACGGTTTACTTAGTCGAGGTAGGAGGCTCACATTGGTCGGCCGAAACGCCGGAGCAGGGCCGCCGCAAAAGCGCCAATGATGGCCAATGGAACTGGTCCAAAGAGAGCTATGACACCGGTCAATATCACTATGACCTCAAATCGCCACACGCTGCGGGGGTAGAGGGTTAGGTAAGAGAGCAGGTTGCAGCAGGTCAATCGTTAAATAAGGGCGGAAGCAGTGCGGGCAATACACTTACCACCATATGAACACCTTCCAGAACCCTTCCCATGCTTCCTCCCAGAAGGACTGGGCGGAGGCGCCGGTTGCCGTTGCCATGAAGCGCACGAGAGCGAGGGACGTGCTGCTGCTGGCGGCTGCTGGGAAAGCCTGGCTGGCTGCTGCAGCGGCCGCATTGCCAGCTAGGCCCTCCAGCAGGGGCAGAGTGCGGTTAGGTGATGGGAGGGAGAGCTGAGGAAGGCTAGCCCGCGCCGTGACCGGAAGGAACCTTGGTGCGACGAAACGCGGCAGTGCTGGGAGTTCGGAGGTGCAGCCCAGCAGCCCAGCCGGCGAGGCTCCTGCTGCCCGAGTGGCAAAGCAGCAGCTGAGGCGCTGCAGCAGCCTTGCCTGCTGCGATGCGCCTCCCATAGCTCACTTACGGCGAAGCCTGCGTAATCGAGGAACGATTGGTTGCAGACGGCGGGAACGTGCATAACGGTTTCCATATTGCGCGCTTCCAGTGCACCTAGCGCAGCCTGGTTTCAGCCGCTAATACGCCTTTTGCTTTCGCCCAACGTAAGGAGGGACATCATGACCTTACCTTTCCTGGGGTTGCTTTGCAACTGTTGCCCCGGAGACGAACGATGCTATCGCCGACGCGAAACGTTGCAAATATATAAATGAATGACCGCTACAATATATGTTCAAGGAAGTTAAGCAGTGCAATAAATTTAATTGGATGTTACATAAGAACTTGTGGCTTTTCGAGGCATGGAACGAAACGACACCTTGAAACGACCGACCGTTGCATTTGGCAGACGATGGGTTCGCGTTAACGAATCGTCACATAAGGGGCTCAATTATTAAAGACAACACGCGTAAGCTTGGCGTATCCGCGTCCCTTCTCATCGGCTCACCCTCCGCTCGACATGGCGTCGCACGTCGGGCCCACTGAGTCAATGGATCCCACGTCCATTATGATAGTGGAATGCTGCCTACTATAGTGGCGACTTGCAATACAAACTTCTTTTGCAATAAGCTAGATACATAATTAACAATACCGGTAGAACGTACGTATGCAGAAAAGGCTTTCCTAAACCTTCTATAGAAACGGTCACCTGGGAGTTCGTGGGCCATACAGCACGAGGATTAGGAAATAAACTTGCCAGACAGCTAGGGACCTACACGGATGCCGGTAGTACATGCATGCATGTCAGCCATTGGTGAAGGATGTGCACTGGCTGCTTGGAAACTAGCCCAACGTATTAACCTTATCACTTTCATTGAACTTCGTATGTTAGCCGCTTAGAAAGCAAGTCACTCTCCTCTCATGTGAATTGTGGCGGGGTCTCCACGCCAAGACGGGGCATGACTGTGTCGGGAGCTCTTAGGCGATAGGCATTCGCTCAAAAGCCGTACACACGATTGCGGCTTTCAGGTGCCCACCTCGCCTCAACACGAGCGAGTCACTGTCCAACCTGTCCTGCACCCGCCTCAACTAGCCTCATCGGGCCCCGGCCTCACATGTGCCAGCGGGGCCGGGTCGAGCAGCCACCACCACAACGTCAAAGCGCTAGTGAAAGAGGGATGAGTGCTGATTACAAGTAGCCGGCAAAAGGGTCATACCGCGAGAGACCACATCAACTCATTCGGACGTAGATGCATGTGCCCGTCTACCAGCTTTCCTCCCGCCCCACCAAGCATCCCCTAGGCATGCCGGCCCCTTCCCCGGCCTCCAACACCTCACAGTCCCTCCAGCCATGCCAGGAAGTCAGTCAGGTACCCGCCAGCACCGGCCACGTGCGCCAGCGCAGCCTGCCGCCCCACCCGACTGATCCGCTCCCACTCATCAATGTCACCATCACCAACATCACCATCACCAGCATCCTCACCGCCGGACGCCACCCCTCCCCTGGCCTCCTCCCCCTCCCGCGGCCCTCCTCCTCCGCCCCGCAGCAGCCCCAGCAGCATCGCCTCCCAGCGCTCCACATGCTGCCGCGGGAAGCGCCGCGCGGACCAATTGGGCACCCCTGCACCATCCAGCGGTATCTCAATGGGAGCCACAGGCAGGCGCGGACACACGCCCATGCCCGCCTCCGGCAGCCCGCCTGCATGGGGGGAAGCGGGGTGGGTGCAGGGTGCTGTGAACGTAAACACCGGTCAGCATGTTGTGTTTGACTCAACAACTGATCCGAGGGTCAAAGAAATACCAAACCACTTCCGATCCGATCCGGGGGTAAGGCTACGCAACGAGTGGGTTCCTGAGCAGGCCGCTGACCCACCCAGGTCGCTGACAAGCGCCGGCAGCCCCCGCAGCAGAGCCTCCGTCACCACCATGCCCCACGCCTCCAGCCAGCAGGAGGGAGCCAGCACCGCCACGCAGCCCGCCAGCACCGGGTCCACCCCAGGCTGCGGGGACCACAGCTCCACACTGGGGGCCGCAGGAGGAGGAGGAGGAGGAGGAGCAAGAGAAGGAGTAGGAGGAGGAGGAGGAGGAGGAGGAGGAAGGGTGCCCGCGCCGGTCTGGGCAGCTGATGGTGGTAACCTAGCAGCGGTAACTGCGGCTGCTGCGGCTGCGGCTGCACAACCCACAGCGGTGAACGGTGCTAGTGCCGCAGCTACGGCGGGGTCGCCTGAGGGCACGCAGAGCGGGCATGCAGAGAGGAGGAGGAGGCCGCGTGCAGTGAAGGAGCAGGAGGCATGAGGAGCAGGCTGGGGGCAATGCAGATCATTAACTCTTGCATGCGAATATGGAACCTCCTCCATATCCCTCCAGCATACCGCTCCATCACAGTGACCTTTCAAGGTACCGCGGCGCTGTCCCCCCTCTCCTCCATCCCACCTCAGCCCCACCCTGCAGCCCCGCCTCCCACCTGCCACCACCCTGAACCTCACGCCCCTGCCCGCCAGCCTCCTCGCCAGCTCCACCACCAGCGCACACCCCTTCTCAGGAGTCAGCTTCAGCACTGCCACGTCAACCACCGGACCAGGGGCGCCGCCAGCAGCGGCGGCGGCAGCGGCGGAAGCACCTGGCAGCGGAGCACTACCAGCGGCCCGCCCGCATGGCTCCTGCTGCGGGCAGGGCTCCCCGGGGGCTGCTTCCGCGGGGGCTGCTGCTGCCCCACCCCCGATGCCGTCCGCCCGATGCGCCACCCGCCAGGCCCGTAGCAGCGGCCGCGCTTGCTCGCTGAGGTCAGGGAAGGGCGGCGTGCCGTACACCCCCCAGGTAGCCAGGGGCACCACACGCACCGGCGGCAGGCATGGCGGCGGCGGTGCGTCGGCGGCACCGCCACCACTACCACCTGCTGCCGTCGCCACCTGCCCGCCCTGCGCCCCGCCCTGCTCCCGCCGCGGTTGCTGCTGCTGCTGCACGGGCCAGTGGATACGCAGGTAGTCCGCCACAAATTCCGACACCGCCACCACGCCCGCCAGCCGCCCCCAAGCCGCCAGCAGCGAGGGGCTGCGCGGCCCGCTGCCGCTGGGCCCTAGCGGCAGGAAGTGCACGTTCTGCACCAGCGCTAGGCAGCGGCGGGGAGGCGCAGCGGAGGTGACCACCTCGAACAGGGTTGTGGCGGGGACATGGGGGGTTGAGGCATAGGATGATGCGGAGGAGGAGGTGGTGGTGGTGGTGGAGGTGCTGCTGCCCGAGGGTGCTGCTGCTGCTGCTGCTGTGGGTTCCCTCCCTGCTGTCCCTGCTGGCTGCTGCTGGGGTTGCAGGAGCAGCTTCTGGCTTTCATCCGCATCGATGATGACCCACGCGTCCCAGCTGCAGCGCAGCATGGTGCAGCTGTTGCCACCCGCTGCAGCGGCTCGCACAGACGGTGCTTCCTCGCTCGCTACAGGGCTTGTGGTAGCTGTGGGCTTCACAAATATCGCCGCTGCCGCCGCCTCGCACCCCGTCAGGCCGCGCAAGCATGCGGCAAGGGTGGCTAATGTGGCGGGAGTGAGGCCTGCAACAGCAACGTTAGCGGAACCCTCGTCGCTGAGCACGACGTGCTGTTGCAGCCGCCCCTCGCGCCAGCTCACCACGCCTGGCCGCGCGAAACTCAGCAGCGGAAGCAAGCCGGACATGCCCGCGTGCACAAGGACCTGGATCGGAAGTAGGCAGCATGGACGCAGCTAAATAGCGTGTAGTAGTACATTATTATTGAGGTTGTTGCTATAAAGCAGTATATGCGCGCGCACCTTGCCCCTGCTTGCAATTGAGATGAGGTGCACGTCGAAGCCCTCCGCCGCCAGAGTTGATGCCATTGACATGAATGCATGCTTGCCTCCAGCAAAGTGACTGTCATGCGCTGTGATGACATGTTGCTTGAACAAGACGAAACGCGTCCTTCGTTGAGGGCTAGGATCTGCCATATTGCTGGCGTCTGGGCCCTAGCATTTCTAGCAACCTCAGCCTACTGTAAGGAGCCCGCAATTTGGCGAGTGCACTCACTTTGCGGGAATCATGTGGATCAACTGCCGTCCTAACGACCGGGTCACGGCAAGGTCGAGTCCTTCTTTCCACCGCGATCTTCGACTGGCACAGACCTGATACCAGTACAAGCACGTATGCTTGCTAGTTCATTAATCACCGCTTTATTTGTACCATACGCAATCGTCGTCCTCCCCCCGACACGTTGAATCATGGAGAAATTAGCGAAGCAGTATGAAGACCGGTATACATTCACCGCGACTAGGTATGCATAGTTGTCGCCCTGCTAACCTTTTGGGAAGCTGTCGAAACGCTGTGTTGCTCGCAATGTCTGGCCCACAGCCGAGTGCCAGTCACCCTTGCGCAACTGGCGGAGGAAACAAGGTGCCCAATATGCTTCGGTGAGATAATTGTTTGGGCCCGGCGACGAGCCTGCAGTGCAGCCAACCTGCTACGGTAATTTCTCACGGCTGCTGCATTGCGCGACTCGCTGGCAGACAGACACACAGTACTGCGCGCGCAGCTGCTCAACGGTATCCAAACAGCTTATCGGAGACCATTGCAGGTTCCTTGGCATGCAAGGCGCCCCGCTCAAAGTCCCTTGCCTGCCCCCTCCTGCAGGCCTCCTCAAGCAGACCGTCACGTCCACCCTGTGCCTGCACCGCTTCTGCGCCAAGTGCATTGAGAAGTGTCTGGCGGGCAGGTGGATTGAGGGCCACCGGGGGCAGAGACGTTTTGGGGTTTGCGCACTGGATCTATCCCAGGCTTCCTAATTTTCGCACATCCTTGCCTACGGTACCGACATCCCGCCTGCTGCACCCTGTTCGCTGCATGCAGCCTTCCCCGATGCACCCTTTCACAAAGCCCGTCCTATCGCTCCCTCCCCCGCCTCTTGATCTCTCTTCCTCATCCCCAACATCGGTCTCTCCCTCTCCCCCGGCCAGGCCGCCCCAGCACAAGGAGTGCCCGGTTTGTCGTACCAACCTGCACAGCCACCGCTTCCTCAGACCGGTGGGTGCATGGGGAAGAATGTAGGAGGAAGGAACCGGACCGCGACAGCTGCCGGCGGGTTCCGTTTCTCTTGCAGTGTAGGGTTGGGCCCATCACCCGTGTTCCCTCACCACCCATCCCGCCAACCCACTTCTGCTCCCTGCCCTCGCGGCCCCTCAGGACGCAAACTTTGACCGGCTCCTCAAGGCGCTGTACGGCGATGTACTCGTGTACGGCCAACAGGTACGGCAGACTAGCGACTCGCGTGTGATGTCTGCTCGGGCTGGCTTGCAGCGCGTCCTTCTCTGCGCCGTGCTGGCTGCTCTTATACCGACCTCATGTTGCTGTCGCTAGTCTGCCCTGCTCTTCCCTCTCACCTTCTAACCCCATTTGCGTCCACCCCTTCGCCCGCAGGAGGATGCGCTGGTAGCGGCGGACAACGCGGCTCATGCGGATCAGGCGGCGGCGGAGCAGCAGCAGCGGGCGGCGCAGCGGGCACTGCAGCGGGCCGCAGTGGCAGCCAGCCGGCCGCCGCCGCAGCAGCACCACCACCCGCACACACAGCAGCGGGAAGCGGAAGAGCGCGGAGGTAGCTAGGACAAGGCGTACCGTGTTATGTAGAGTTACCGTTGCCATACGAACTGCCTGCTATGGCGGAAGCAAGGGAGTCTGGGATTGTGTTTCCTGTCAGGGCCTGGCAAGGCGTGGGAAAGGAAGGTAAAGCATAAGGGAGTATACATTACCTAAGGCACCGTCTCCCCTCCCTCCCTCTCGCCTCATGCAGGTACGGCGGCCGGTGGCGGCAAGCGCGTCCGAGAGGTGCTGGAGACTGCTGCTGCTATCAGTGCAGGGAGCGGCAAGCGGCAGCACCTCTCCTCACCCGCCCTGCCCCGCGCACCCAGTCACCACCCGCATCCTCAGTCTGCCAGCCACCAGCAGCAGGAACGGCACCAGCGGCAGCAACCCCAGGGAGCCCCGCCGCCAGGACCCATGGGTCATAGCCAGGCTCAGGAGGACGCCACTGCCTCACAAACGAGTCAACGGCTGCATCCGCCGGGGCCCGCAGCCCATGAAGGGAGGCAGGGTGGCAGCGGGAGCGGCGATGTTGCTGCTGCCGGCGGGTCGGGCAGGTGTGAACCCGCCAGCAGCAGTTGCCTGCCTCGGGGGGGCCAGCTGGCGGGGGTGGTGCCCACTGCCCGGTCCGCTGGGGAGCTGGGGCTGCGGCACCCGGGGCTGGTGGTGGTGCAGCTGAGGCCGGCGGAGGGGCAGGGGGAGGCAGGGAAAGGAGGGCAGGCAGGCGGGAGGGAGACGGGGACCGCGCCCGCTCTGGAGAAGCCCTTCCTGCTGTGCCCAGCCAAGTGGACGGTTGCGCACGTGGCTCAGGTGGGGACGTGGTGGTGTCGGCATGGGATGGGGTTGGGAACCGCGAGGGATGCTGGCCGTGTGATAGGCATGCCGGAAGATGACGGTCGGTTGTGTGTAGCATTGAGCAGCACATCAGTACCGTTTCTTGATCTACAAGCGGTCTTGTGTCCTTCATCGCCGACCTGCACCTTTGCCTCGTCTCCGCAACTCCACTCCCTCTGCTCCTCCCTACCCCCATGCCCTCCTCCATGTAACAGCTGCTAGCGCAGTGGCTGCCGCCGCTGCTGCCCGGCCACAGCTCCGCCCGCGGAGGGGCCGCCCGGCCGCCGCTGCCTGTCTCGCACATCCACCTGCAGCTGGCCACAAACGGTACCGGTAATGGTGGCAGCAGCAGCAGCGGCAGTGGTAGTGGTGGGGTGCCCCAGCGCTGCCAGCCGCTGCGAGGCGCTACCTCATTGGGAGCGCTGGGGGCGGGAGGCGGCGCTGAGTCGTCCAGCAGGCGGCACCTGGGAGGCGGAGGAGGCGGCCAGCAGGGGGCGCATGCGCAGCTGGTGGGTCGAGGTGGACTGACAAGTGCAGACGGAGAAGGTGTCGAGGCGTGCCTTCTTGCTGTGTACCGTAGTGCGTGCTTGCTGGTCGTCGCTGTGAGGCTGATGGCCTCACAAGTGGCTCACGGATGGTCCACAGCATCTGCCGGTACCCCCGTGTGTCGCCTCCCCGCAGGTGCTCACCTACTGGATTGCTCCCCCCGAGTAGCGGGGTGGCTCAGCTGCTGTCGTGCAGCGCTGCCGTCGGTGTGGATGCTGGGAGGTGGTAAGCAGCACTGGTGAGCGCTGCGTGGGACTGCCAGCAGCAGCAGGAGCTGAGGTAACAGGTGCAGGGAGTGACAATGCATGGGGTGGATGCAAGGCATGACCTGCACCGGAGACTGTGTAGGAGGGAGAGAGGTTTGGTACGACTAGGTTGAGGTACGGCTGCATGCCGCTGACGCGCGGGTATCCTGGCTGGTGGCATGGGGAGCAGATTGAAATCTGGTACTGGGGTACTGCACTGAATTAATGGTACTATCAGGGCAGTGCTAGTTTTACAGCCGCCAGGGCAAAAGCCACTCCAGCGGGTATCATATCCTCCTTGGGCCGTTCCATATCCTCGTGTGTACTTCAAACGGATATCATGTAGTGCACTACTCTGCGATTACGGAGCAGCCAATGTCATAAACCACAACTTCTGTAGTATGCTGGCCAACCCTACGCACGGCTCCCGTCACTGGTTATTGATTAGACCCTATAAGTAATCTTCGTTATCCAAGCGACACCATCGATAGGAGTAGACACCGCATTCCTTCAGACAATTAGATTATGCCCCTTCGCTTAGACAACTACTCCCATACGCTCAAGTTGGCCGGCGGACAACTACGTACCGAGCACAACAGTATCAGGATTGCGGCTTGTTGATATCAACACATCAAGCACAACACATATCATAATCCTGAGTCCTTTGTGTCAGGCATGGCACTGAGACCATGCCTTAGCACATACCAATGCATGCATGACTGGGTTTGGCCTAGCGAGTTTTCCGTACTGCATCGAATCTCTAATTGCGCCTGCAAAGTAATCTCCGTGACTCAGCACCAACACTATCTTCACAACAATACCATACCTTTGACGCTGTGAACGCACGGCTTCTCAAAGCGACCCACGGGTCGAAGCACGTTAGCAGCACGGTTCTACTACCAGCAATACTCACAGGCTCCCGCAGACATACACTGTACAGCAACCGCCGGTTTCTTTCTCCTTGATTGACAGTTATGAATAGTAGGCACAATTCCACTGAATAGACTAGATGTACGACATACACTGCTCGTTCTGCTGGTACATCGAATTACAACCTGATGAAGCCCCGGGATGCTTCCCCGCCCCCTCAACAGCAACAATCGAATAGCTTACCTGGAACTGACTGCTAGCCACTCGACCAGACCCGCTTCAACGTGTACAATCACATGCAATGCGTGCATGCTGCCCTCCCATGCCCGGCCCTACCCCCTAGCACCCCTCACAGCCCCTCCTTCCGCATCTCCGCAAGCAGCTCCCGCATCCGCGTCTTTAGGCAGCGAAGCTCCGACTTGAGCACACCCTTCTTGCGCTGCAGCTGCTCCTCCAGGTCGTCGAGGCAGCCCTGCAGCTCGGAACTCAACGGGCCGTCGTCAGCACGCATTGCCGCGGTCAGCAGCGAGGTGCCCTCGTCAACCGACTTCTCTTCCTCCTCACTGTCGGCGGGTTCTGATAGCGCCTCCTTGGCGGCTTCCTCGTCTACCAGTCCCAGGAACCTTAAGACGGCGTTGGGGACGCCTGCGGCAGGCTGCTGCTGCCCCGCGGCCCCAGGGCCCAGCAGCTTGGTGGATGCGCCCGAAGCCAGCAGGGCTGCACCCGATGACGAGGACCTGCGGGACGTGGGTATGTCGCGGAAGATCGTTATAGTAAATTCCCTATAACAGAACACGGGTGCCGAACCCAGCCCTACATTGCAAGAGAACCAAAAGAAGAGGCATGTCCGGGCAGTCCGAGGCATGCAGGCTGGGTTCGGAGCGCTGAACACATGCATGAACATGCCGGTCAGGCGGAAGGGGACGTAGGTAGCGCTCCAGCACCCAGCGCCTTCCAAACCACGTCAATTAGTCTCGTTGTCTTCGCCTTCAGTCAGCTAGGTCTCCCCGGTCCAACCACATTCCCCCACCACCAGCTGCAAGGACTTCAACTCACCCGCTGGTAGCGGCGGAGCCCTTATCCGAGCTGTCCTGACGCTGGCGAACCTCCGTGGGCTGCCCCACCGCGCTTGTCGCCATGACCGCCGTTGCTTCCTGCGCAACCGCGTTCACCGCCACTGATCCTGCCGTCTCCACCGCCGTGTACAGGGTGGTCGGCTCCCAGCTGCTGCTGCTGGCGCCGCGGCAAGTGCTCTCGCCGCCACGGTCACCGAGCAGCTGCCGGTGCGGGTCGTTCCGGAAATACCCCTCTGCAGCCGCGTTCTTGGGGCGGCTCAGGTCCGGTAGTTCCTTCACCATCTCCCAGATCCACCGGAAGCCGCTGCTGGGGTCCGTCCGGCACACCGCCGGAGCCCGCCTGCCCTCCGACCATCGCAGAACGCGCCCATCGATCTGTGGCAGATAGAGGAGGGGCGTGTATGATAAGGGTCAAGCACATCTTTGATACACAAGTTAGAAATCAGCTGTCGTTTTGCGAACCACATGCACGCAGACAGCAAGCACTGTATATATGCATGCAACGTAACAATGCATGCAGGCCAGTGCATGGCTCCCTTGCTCTACAAGCGGTTTCACGAGCTCACCGTGCGTCGGGTCGTTCCAATCAGCTGCAGTCCCTCCTTGCTGGACACCCGGCTCATGGCGGTGTAGAGGATGCCGTGCCAACCGCCATATTGGCTGTCCAAGGATGACAGGTCCACAATAACCTGGGGGGCAAATATTTTCGAGAAACAGTGAGAGAACATTCACAATCCATACCCTGAAAACTAACCTGACTGGCTATCTGCGTTGTGAAGGACTGAAACAAGGGGCCAAAGGGCCACCTATAGCTACTCCATGCGTAATTTCTACGGTCTGCAGTACGGCAGTGCACTGCTGCTATACGTACAGCTACCGTTGTACATACCTTGTCAAGTGTCATGCCCTGCGACTTGTGCACCGTTATAGCCCAGGCCAGCCGGAGAGGGACCTGAGGACACGGTAGGGATCGAGGGGAGCGCTAACTCGTACATGTCTTCCATAATCGCTTGGGAGACGTGTCAGTCATACATGGACCTAATGGGGAACGGACGCTAGCTGTCTTCAGGACACACTGGTGAAAGTGCTTGCCGCATCGTGCTAAGCCAAGGAACTGCCCGCTCAGGCGACCCACCTGCACTCGGAACCGTGCACCCAGTCCAGGTATCAGCTCGGTGAAGATTGAGGGCGCCAGCTCCATTGTCAGCCCGTTAGCGAACTTGACCACTGGCACCTGGGCGTTCTTCCTGTACCACCTGTGCACGAATGAGAAAGTTTCAACGTTGGGGTCAAGCAAGGGACGTGCTGTGACCATCAGTCCTTCAACAATGGCCAGTTGCGTGGATGTAGAAAGTCAGGAAGTAGCAATGACAGTTGTCAGAGGTACCAGGAGCGGATAAGAAGGATCGACATATCTGCGTGCATGTTACCCTTCGTGTACTGGTATGGAACCCCGCACATAGACAGCAGATGGCCGCACCCCTGCCTAACCTACATTCCAAGGGCCTCCTCTGTCTCATCGCACTGCAGGTCCTTCTCCAGTGCCGCCAGGGGCTGCTGCCGGGAAAAGCCGCTCGTCCCGGGGGCTGTGAAGCCCACCACCACCCCGCGCGAGCCGTTGACCAGCCCAGCCTGCACGTCCAGGTTCCGCAGCAGCAGCACCTGCGCGCCCACCTGCGAGCGACGCGAGGGAGGGAGCGAGAGGTTGGGATGTACAGCAGAAAGGCAATCGTGCGAAAACTGGGTGACTCTCCCTGCTGCTGAGGCTGTGGGCTTCATGGTAATGTCCGTGAGTCTTATGCGCAGCAGCCGTGTTCCCTTGTTTTCTTCGACCCTGACGCCTCCCACTGCCCCTCACCTTGAGCTGCACCTTGTCCGCCGCCTGGCAGTCTTTGAAAAGACCATTGTCTTTCTTCATCAGGAAGCACTTGGTATCCGATCGCCACGTCTCTTCGTCATCCCCGACCGGTGGCTTGAAGGTGATGGCGCACGTGTTCTGAGCGGAGAACGGCACCTGTGTATGACAGCAGGACGGCAAACATTGCAACATAGCCTGAGCAACGCGTCATCATCCATGCCATTGTAACATGCATTTGCCATGCAGCTGACAGTTCTTACAGACGGTGGATGGCCACTAGGCCTCCCGGTCTAACTCCTGTTTCCATCCACGGGACCGGCCTTGGGTAGTTGGTCCTCCTCCCCTCCTAGGATTTTCTCCATCCCATTCTGGCCAGCAGACATACCTCCGGTGTGCTCAGGTTCTGCAGCTGCTTGTTATTCTCCTCATCTACGTTGCGGTTCTTGCCATACAGTATGGTGGCCTTTATTCCGTCTGACTCATCGAGCGGGCGGCTGCAGTCCCGCACTAGCTGCTCCATCACCTTCTCGTACTCGTCCTGCCCGCCGCAGCGCACCGTCATCAGGTCGCTTTGGAAGCTCGCGTCCGACTGACGGAACACCTGGAGTTGGATGGGCGAGGGGAGGAGTCGAACAGAAATGGCTTGCGCCCGGGGTCAGGTCGGAATAAATTGAGTCGACCGGCTGGTCGACTGCACGCAGCAGGGGTGCACGCAGGTGGAGAGGGGAAACAAGAAGTCGAAACGGAAGATGAGCATTGGGCCAAAACATACCGGAATGTACCGGTTACATGGACTAACTGACAAGATTCTAGCAAACGAATTCATGCTACAACAAGGTACAGCCCCCGCCCGCCACCACGGTACGTGCCTTGGTGAGCCGGACCACCTTGAAACCGCCGTACTCGTACACGGGCGCCTCGAACAGGAAGCCCCGGTTGAGGAAGGTCTGCTCCAAGGGCCGCAGCGGGGCCGACTTGGGCCCACCGTCCGCGGCATGCCGCTCCTTGCCCTCGATCGGCCCCAGTTGAAAGAAGTCGCCGCACAGCACCAGCTGCAGCCCGCCGAAGGGGCGGTCCAACCGCTCCTTGTCCATGCCCTGTGTAGCATATGCACAGGTGCATCAAGGGCAGGCCAAAAAGGGGCGTTAAGCGGATACGAAGGCAAGATGTTTCACAACACAACCCTTCCCATCGCTCGATAGCACGCACGCACCTCCATTATTACCCGAACATACAAGCACAGCTTGCTTGACCGCTATCACAGTTCACGTACCTCCCTCTCCATCCCTGACAGCCGCGCCCTCTCCGCCGCCTGCTTACGCGCTCCCGTCAGCACCGCGTCCAGCCCCTGCAGCATCTCCGCACTCATCATGCTCATCTCGTCCAGGATGATAACGTCCAGCTCGTACAGAAAGCCCAGGTCGGTGTCGTAAATACTATTGAAGTTTTTGTACTGCTCTACGCGCCCCAGGCGGAGTAGGGAGTGGATGGTAGTGCCTGCGAGGATAAGACAGGACCAACATCACGGAGCGATGAGTAACAGGTGACACTGTGCACTGCTTCATGAGCCTACAATAAAAATCCGGTACACCAGCCGTACAAGCTGCGCCCTTACCTCCCACATGAGTGGCCGCAATCCCCGTCATGGCGGTGACCGCCACCCTCTTCGTGTACATGCGACCGTACTTCGTTGACAAACGGGACTTGAGCTCATTGAGAACCACCGTCTTGCCGGTACCCGCCGAGCCGGTCAGGATGATGTTGGGCCGCTCCTCCGATAGCGCCAACCTGACTGCATTCACCTGCTCCTCGGCGAGCTCGATCTTTGGTGGCTTCGCCTCTTGGGGCAGCTTGACAACTTCGACGTGGGAATGTCTTGCGGCCTTCCGACGGGTTTTGCCGCTGGCTACAGGAGCCACGCAACAGGTCCGTGGCAAGGGCCTCGTTAACAACATAGGCATTCTACCTATCGTTTGCAGCGGACACCTGGCTAGGGATGGCACACGAGTGGGCGCATAAGAGGCTGTTAATCTGCCGAGCGACGCCATCCTGCTGGGGTCTTAACTACTGGTGTTATGTTTAGCCTTTAACAGTTGTTTTCATCAAAATTAGGCATGCAATTTAACAATATCTCGTGAAAGGACTGCCGTTCAAGGAGGTGACACATGTCATTGGGTCGCGCCTGCTGGGGTCCCATCAGGAGGTGACGCAGCAAACAGAAAGCGATGTAGGTTACATGTATGTGCGAACAACAAAAGGCGCCTGCGGATGAGAACTGTAGCTGGGGCGTTGTTCGTTGTTGAGTACAACTGATGGTAGTTTCGAGGCGCCCCAGCTGGCTAGGAAATGTGCTCTCTCAATAGGTAACATATCTTCGTTGTGTATAAACCGCTCACTTACAGTTATGAGTGTGCCCGGCGACTCTCCACCGTCCGGTAGCTCCGAGCCGTTCAACAAGGCAGAAGTGTCGTGCAAACATACATGTGGTTATAAAGCTTAAAGTTTCCTTGCAGAACGGGTTACTCCCCGCCAACTCCGTGGGCATGCGGTGGGACAGTGCACGGCGCCTAGAGCTGGTGTTGGCGCTGCGTGGCGTTCGCGCGCACAGCATGGAAAGGGGGCCATCAGTAGCTACGGCTCCTGCCCGCCGGCTCGCTCTGCAGTCCAGTGTCTGCAGGGCTTCACGACAAAGGTTCCCTCGCGTGTGTCGTGCACTGCAACGCCAGCCTCCAGCGCATGACCTGCACACACAAACACGCTACTCACGTCGCATCTCCTCCCAACTTAAGGAGGCCTTCCCGCTATACCCGTACCCGCACCTTCATTCTTCCCTGCGCCTATGTAACCCACGGGGCTATACCGGTAGTAGTAGCGGGTGTTGCGTCAGCATTTAATTGGAGCAGACACAGCAGCAGTACTGGATGGATAAGCCTGTAGCGATATGTGTTTCGGCGAACCGGAGGATTCACACCATTGTACTGCTGTCGTATTCGTGGGACACTTGGGTCAGATAAATGCCGTTGCGCCTTTCTGTTTCTTTCAGCCTGCCTTAGCATGTCTTACATTCCGGCAAGAGCCGTTAAGTGTTAGCGTTACACAGTACCGCTTTGGTAATGCGATGCACGGCGTTGAACATTATAAGCTGTCGAGCAGCCAGTGTAGTGAAGGTGACTATGACTGCTGGCTTCATAACCTGTTCCATGTAGCCTACGTGTACCCCATCTCGCCCTTTGTCCTCAATTTGCATAAAGTTCACGACGCTTCCCTCGGACGTGACTGGCAGACAACTACAAACTAGGCAAAGCACCGCAAGCATACTCCAGAACCTGCTTGTAGGACATGGGTGCGGAATTAAGATGCATCTTTACACCATCGGAATGCATCACTGTAATGGTCATTCATTTATAATGCGCCGGACTACATAACATATTTTAACATTATACCATTTATGCTGCAGCACACGGCTCTCATTGTAACGCGACCCATGGGTCTGGGCACGTTGACAGTAATAAGCCTTCCTACCAGCATTACTCACTTGCCCCTGAAAACACACACTACACAACAGAAACCAGTTCATATCTACTTTTTAACAGCTAATGTGTACCGGTATTCCGTACAGTTCCGCTCGGCACAAAACGTACATTACATGTACCGTTCATCCTGGCGTGTCCAACCTAATACCTTCGAGCTTGAGCAAGTAATTGACATTCTGCGGATGCCCGGGGTCCTCCAGCTAGGTCTGGTCCCAAAGCCAGCCGCGACGGGCAAGCATACACTACATGCTACGGAACGTATGATCAATGAAACAGACATGATGACCTGGCTTCTATTGTAACACAATGCACGGTGGCTACACCTGCTACAGTCCTGCTAATGATGACACTCCAAGTAAGCTTTAGCAAACAGACATTGCCCTGCTAGGTTGCCCCAGGATGCTTCCCCGCACCCTCCGTAGCAACAAAACATGGAGTAGCTGAAACCTAGAACGCGCTGCCAGCGGCTCTTCAACACAGCGACCAGGCCCGCGGTAGCCGGCAAGCACACGAACGCACCCACTCGTGCCCGGCCCAGCACCCCAGCACACCTCACAGCCCCTCCTTCTTCAACCTGTCCAGCAGCATCCCCATCCGCGCCAGTATCAGGCGCAGCTCCGACTTAAGCGGCGAATTCTTGCGCGCCACCTGCGCCTGCAGCACTGCCATACACTCCGCCAACTCGGAACTCAACGAGTCGTCGTCGTCGTGATGCGCTGCCGCGGTCAGCAGCGAGGTGCCCTCGTCAACCGACTTCTCTTCCTCCTCACTGTCGGCGGGTTCTGATAGCGCCTCCTTGGCGGCTTCCTCGTCTACGCGTGCCATGAGCTTGAAGACGGCGTTGGGGACGTCTGCGGCAGGCTGCTGCTGCCCCGCGGCCCCAGGGCCCAGCAGCTTGGTGGATGCGCCCGAAGCAAGCAGGGCAGCATCCGATGATGAGGACCTGCGGGAGAGTGGACATGCGTGGAAGACAGTTACAGTAGTTCCCTAAGAACAGAATACCGGTACGGGCCGTGTGCGCAATTACACTGCAAGAGAGCCGAGAGAGCGAGTCCTAGACATGCAGGCTGAGTTTGGAGCGCCGAACACATGCATGAGATACGGTATACCGGTTCCGGTTGCAGGCCCCATGCGACCTAGCTGGCGACCCAGTGCCCAGACGTCTTCCACTCCACGTCAGGTTCTCTCATTGGATTCGACTGCTGACCTACGAGCTCGTTTGGTAACATGCCAGCTAGGTCCCCCCGGTCCAACCACAACCCCCATCACCAGTTGCAAGGACTTCAACTCACCCGCTGCCAGCAGGGCCCTCATCCGAGCTGCCCTGCTGCTGGCGAGCCCCCACCGCGCTCGTCGCCATCTCAACCGTGCTGCTGGTGCTGCTGGTGCTGCTGGTGCTGCTGGTGCTGCTGCTGCTGCTCTCGCCGCCACGGTCACCGAGCAGCTGCCGGTGCGGGTCGTTCCGGAAATACCCCTCTGCAGCCGCGTTCTTCGGCAGTTCCTTCACCATCTCCCAGAGCCACCGGAAGCCGCTGCTGGGGTCCGTCCGGCGCACCGCCGGAGCCCGCCTGCCCTCCGACCATCGCAGAACGCGCTCATCGATCTGTAGCAGACAGAGGAAGCGCGTGTATGATAAGGGTCAAGCATAATGAGACTTAGAACTCAACGTGCTGCCAAACTTTGACCAACAGCCCGCATAAAGGCAGACAGCAAGCGCTGTACGTATGCACGCCCATGCAGGTCCATGCATTATGGGCCCTACCTCTCCCCTACCCTTCCACAAACTCACCGTGCGGTTGGCCGTTCCAAACAGCTGCAGCCCCTCCTTGGTGCGTACCCGGCTCAGGGCGGTGTAGACCACGCCGTGCCAACCACCGTTCCGGCTTGACAGGGTTGACAGATCCACGATAACCTGCAGGGGGTATTTAATGGCGAGGAAGGGTGAGAGAGCTCAACCCAACAACCTGCTGGCCGCGAGTAACAAGGGGCCTGGCAAAGGATCCAAGGGGCCTTATGCCTGCAGGTGCTCCATGCTGCATGCCTATCACAGTTATGTGCCATCGCTGCCGTAACATTAACCACCATTAAGAACAACTGCCTTCGCACCTTGTCAAGTGTCATGCCCTGCGACTTGTGCACCGTCAGAGCCCAGGCCAGCCGGAGAGGGACCTGAGGACACGGGGATGAGCGGCGCTAACCCGCATAGTTTTCATGACCTTAAGGGAGGCGTTGTATGCCGCACATGGGCATTAATTTCAAAAAGAGCGACGGACCTTTGCGGAGGCATTGCCTGCCAAGGCATGTTGTGGTATTGCCTGCTAGAGCAGACACCGCTATTGCTTGCTAAGGCACAACATACGTACCAGAGCGGGGCAGGCGACCCACCTGCACTCGGAACCGTGCCCCCCGGCCGGGTACCAGCTGAGTGAAGATCGTGGGCGCCAGCTCCATTTCCTTGCCGTTAGCGAACTTGACCACGGGGACCTGGCTGTTCTCCTTGTACCAGCTGTGCACGTACGGGTAGGTATGGTGGCAAACACCCACTCATCAACCAGTAAGTTCAACATCTATCCATGCAATGCATGGTCCTTTGGGGTACACTAACGCCCTGAAACGACCCCTCGCACACAGGCACACAGGCAGCTTCATCTTCCGACATCCCAGTACGTTCCTACTCGCGGCCAGTTTTTTAACACAAGCAGCAGGTAGCCGCACCTCTACTTCTAAACGTACGCACCTATCGAGGGCCTCCACCACCTCATCGCACTGCAGGCCCTTCTCCAGCATTGCCAGTGGCTGCTGCCGGAAGTAGCCGCTCGTCCTGGGGGCTGTGAAGCCCACCACCACCCCGCGCGAGCCGTTGACCAGCCCTGCCTGCACGTCCAGGTTCCGCAGCAGCAGCACCTGCGCGCCCACCTGAGAGCGATGCGAAGGAGGGAGCTAGAGGTTGGGATGTACAGCAGAAAGGCAATCGTGCGAAAGCTGGGTGACTCTCCCTGCTGCTGAGGCTGTGGGCTTCATGGTAATGTTCGTGAGTCTTCTGCACAGCAGCCGTGTTCCCTTGTTTTCTTCGACCCTGACGTCTCTGACCGCCCCCTCACCTTGAGCTGCACCTTGTCCGCTGCCTGGCAGTCTTTGAAAAGACCATATTCCCTGTTCATTAGGAAGGTCTGTGTATCAAATCGCCACTTCCGCTTGTTGTGACCATCCGGTGGGTTGAAGGTGATGGCGACCGTGTCCTGAGCAACGAACGACTCCTGCATATGGCAGCAGAACAGCAAGATGTCGTTCGCGTGACCAACCAGGCTGTTGATACATGCACTCGTTATGCTGCTGGCAACCAAACCTCCCATGTCGATGGCAGCGTAAACTTCACGGGGGGTGGGGGGGGGGGTCGGCCTCAGTTAGGTGCCCCCCCTGCTGCCTCCTCTCCTAGCCCGAAGGCATACCTCCGGCGTGCTCAAGTTGTCCAGCTGCTTCTTGTTCTCCTGGTCCACCTCTTTGTTATGTCCGTACAGTACTGTGGCCTTTATGCCGTCTGACTCATCGAGCGGGCGGCTGCAGTCCCGCACTAGCTGCTCCATCACCTTCTCGTACTCGTCCTGCCCGCCGCAGCGCACGGTCATCAGGTCGCTTTGGAAGCTCGCGTCCGACTGACGGAACACCTGGAGTTGGATGGGCGAGGGGAGGAGTCGAACAAAAACGGCTTGCGCCCGCCGGGGTCAGGTACCAGAAAATTAACCGGCTGGCCGACTGCATGCAGCAGGGGTGCACGCAGGTGGAGAGGGGGAACAAGAAGTCGAAATGGAAGATGAGCATTGGACCAAAACATACCGGAATGTACCTGTTAACATCGATAAATTGACAAGATGCTAGCAAGTGAATTCATGCTACAACAAGGTACAGCCCCCGCCCGCCACCACGTGCCTTGGTGAGGTGGACCTCCTTGAAACCACCGTACTCGTACACGGGCGCCTCGAACAGGTAGCCCCGGTTGAGGAAGGCCTGCTCCAAGGGCTCCTGCTGACCCGGTTCGGGCCCTTCGTCCTGGCTGTCATGCTCGATGGGCCCCAGTTGGAAGAAATCGCCGCACAGCACCAGCTGCAGCCCGCCGAAGGGGCGGTCCAACCGCTCCTTGTCCAAGTCCTGTGCGGCAGCAGATGCATTATGGTGGGAAGCGCTTGTGATGAGATGCAAAGGGGGCACTGGGTGACATTTGTCACGGAAACGAGGTGTCTCCCCAGCAAGATGCTTCACCTACCCGTACAGCACGAACCCGTCCCCATTATAATAAGGACATGTGACTCCCCAAACACGGAGGTAGGTCCGCTGTGAATCACCTCTCTTTCCATCCCCGACAGCCGCGCCCTCTCCACCGCCTGCTTGCACGCCTTCGTCAGCGCTGCGTCCAGCCCCTGCAGCATCTCCGCACTCATCATGCTCATCTCATCCAGGATGAGGGTGTCTAGCTCGTACAACGTATCCAGGGCAGAGGACTTTTGCAGAATGTTGAAGAAGTCTTTGAACTGCTCTAGGCGCCCCAAGCAGAGCAGGGAGTGGATGGTAACGCCTGCGGGGAGCAGTGCCAGCAGCGTGGAGTGCCAGGGTATCGATATCCGGTGACATATGTCGTGGCGCTTCTTTGCTGCCTGCAGTGCAAGTCTGGCACACCCAACGTACCGCGCCCTCACCTCCGATATGGGTGGCCGCAATCCCCGTCATAGCGGTGACAGCCACCCTCTTAGGGTACTTGCGACCGTACTTCACTGACAGGCGGGACTTGAGCTCATTGAGAACCACCGTCTTGCCGGTACCCGCCGAGCCGGTCAGGATGATGTTGGGCCGCTCCTCCGATAGCGCCAACCTGACTGCATGCTTCTGCTCCTCGGCAAGCTCGATCTTTGGAGGCTTCGCCTCTTGGGGCAGCTTGACCACTTCGACGTGGGAATACCTTGCGGCCTTCCGACGGTTTTTGCCGCTGGCCACAGGAGCCACGCAACAGGTCCGTGGCAAGGGCCTTGTACATGTAGGCCTCCTACTTATGGCTTGCAGCGGACAGCTGGCTAGGGATGGCGCACGAGTGGGCGCATAAGAGGCTCCTAATCTGCCGAGCAACGCCATCCTTGGATGCGGTGTGATGTTCCGCCATTAACAATTGCCTTTGAAAATCGAGCATGCAATAAAAGATAATCTGGTGAAAGGACTGCCGTTCAAGGCGGTGACACATGTCATTGGGTCGCGCCTGCTGGGGTCCCATCAGGAGGTGACGCAGCAAACAGAAAGCGATGTAGGTTACATGTATGTGCGAACAACAAAAGGCGCCTGCGGATGAGAACTGTAGCTGGGGCGTTGTTCGTTGTAGAGTACAGCCGACAGTAGCTAGTTTTGAGGCGCCCCATTTAGCTGGCTAGGAATCATGTTCCCTTGTAAGCAAGGTAACATGCCGGTAGAATTCCTTGCTATACAAACCGCTAACATACAGTTACCTGTGTGTCCGGCGACCGTCCACCGTCCAGTAGCTTTGAGGTGTTCAGTCCTGCCACGCGTGCATATGACTTGACACCGACTCCAGCTCTTGGCCACCTCATGGCCTATGTATGGGGAGTCCGTTGCCGTGACTGTGGCGCGGAATGGATGCCGGGTGGCGTGCCATGCGCATGGAGCCCTGACCCTGGGCTATGAGCATGCTCAGAGCCCAGATACTGGGCTCGTTGTTCCTGGGTGGGGCCCGGGCTGTTTAATGCCCCTTATGATTGCTGCATGGCTAAACGACTATGCTTATCTATCCAGTGCGGTGATTGTATGCCTGGAACGCCTTGCGCATGGATTTCTGACCATGGGCTCTGAGCATGCTCCGAGCATGCTCAGAGCCCAGAATGTGGCCGAAATTGCGAGCATGCTCAGAGCCTAAAATCCTGGGCTAAATGCGAGCATGCTGAGAGCCCACAATCCGGGCGAGGACCTTACTGTAGTGGTAACAAGGCGTTACAAGGCACAGCACGGAAAGGGGGCCATCAGTATCTGCGGATCCTACTCGCCGGCTCGCTCTGCAATCCAGACCTCCTTCCATGGGTGCAGGGCTTCAAGACAAAGAATTCCGCACTATCAGTCACACTTTGCAACGCCAGCCTCCTGCGCACGACCTGCACTCGCGCACAAGACACGCTCCTCCAAACACTACTATCAGATCTCCAACCGCGCGCAAAGCGGGCCCGCTACAGCTGTGACGCTCAGATAACCGGGAGCTGCATGATTTGTTACGTTCTTACCTTTGGCACTGCCAACGCACAGCTCTGACAGCAATGTGACCCATGGGTCCCGTCACGTTGGGAGTAAGTTCCAGCATTACTAACTAGCCCCTGCAGACATACACTACACAACAGCCGCCAGTGAAGACTTCTAGGATAACAGCTATATAGGTACAATCCGCACAGTTCCGTACACTTGGTGCATTACATGCACCGTCCATCCTGGCGTGACCAACATAATCCCTTCGAGCTCGAGCAAGATATACGCAGTTCTGCTGCCGCCCTGGATCCCCGAGAGTTGTCTTGCTACGGATAATACAAGTTATGAAACAAACATGGTGACCTGGTTAAAGTCATCACTCAAACTCGCGGTGGCTACCCCCGCCGTACGTCATGACGAAAGGAGATCGTTATTAGGCTATAGGGCTACCCTGCTGGCGGCCCTATGATGCTACCGTGGCCCCTCAGCACAGATACATCGAATAGCTTACACCTGGAGCTCACTGCTAGCCACTCTTACCAACCACCACTACGACCAGACCCGCCATACGATGTACCCTCACCTGCAATGCGTGCATGCTGCCCTCCGATGCCCTACCACCTAGCACCCCTCACAGCCCCTCCGCCCGCATCGTCGACAGCAGCACCCACATCCGCGTCCGTAGGCAGCGAAGCTCCGACTTGAGCATCCCCTTCTTGCGCTGCAGCTGCTCCTCCAGGTCGTCGAGGCAGCCCTGCAGCTCGGAACTCAACGGGCCGTCGTCAGCACGCATTGCCGCGGTCAGCAGCGAGGTGCCCTCGTCAACCGACTTCTCTTCCTCCTCACTGTCGGCGGGTTCTGATAGCGCCTCCTTGGTGGCTTCCTCGTCTACGCGTGCCAGGAGCCTGAAGACGGCGTTGGGGACGTCTGCGACAGGCTGCTGCTGCCCCGCGGCCCCAGGGCCCAGCTCGGCGGATCCGCCCGAAGCCAGCAGGGCAGCACCCGATGATGAGGACCTGCGGGAGGTGGGTATGTCGCGTAGTTGGGTTCTAGACATGCAATTGGGAGGACAGGAACCGGTAGTCAGACAATCTAAGACATGGAGGCTGGAGTACACAGAGCAACATGAATGGATGGTCGTTACAGTGATGTTGCGGATGCAGGCCCCAGGCAGGCAACCTAGCTGACGCATGCTTACTACCACCCACGTCCAACCACGACCACATCGTAACCTAGCGCCCCAGACCACCCCGCCACGCCAACATCTGCCCGACTCCAACGAGGATGTCCGGCTGTTTCGTTCCTGGATATATGACTTCCAACACCTAAAGATAACAATTTGGTGTTTACCTACACTTAAACATCATACTTTTCCCCATGGCATTCAGCACCCATGCCAGGTCCACTTACCAGCTGCTGCTGCTGCCATCCACCACATCCATGGAGTCCGGCCCGCCCGCCAGGCCAGCCACAACTGCTCCCACAGCCGCAGCCCCTTGGACTGATGAGCCCGACCTACAGCGTTACAAAAGAGGGGCGTGACATAGTAAACACTTAGCTGGATTGCATGCGCGACACAGCTTATCAGAGAGACCTTAGGGACCCAACTGGACACGATACTGACCCTGGGCACGGCATCTGACTAATGTGGGAAGCGCCAAGGAGGAGGAATGCAGCCACGAATGATAGCATGCCGAACAAGCGAGCCACGCTCCGCAGATACCTCAACTCACAAGGGAGCCGCGCTCCACCACCAGCTGCAAGGACTTCAACTCACCCGCTGCCAGCAGGGCCCTCATCCGAGCTGCCCTGCTGCTGGCGAGCCCCCACCGCGCTCGTCGCCATCTCAACCTTGCTGCTGGTGCTGCTGCTCTCGCCGCCGCTGCCATCGAACAGCTGCCGGTGCGGGGCGTTCCGGAACCACTCCTCTGCGGCCGCGTTCTTGGGGCGGCTCAGGTCCGGCAGTTCCATCTCCCAGAGCCACCGGCTGTCGCTGCCGGGGTCCGTCCGGTACACCGCCGGAGCTCGCCTGCCCTCCGACCACCGCAGAACGCGCTCATCGATCTGTGGCAGGCATGAAGGTAGGAGGAGACCTTTGGTAACGCACAACATACAACGCGCCTGTGTTGTTGCATTGAAGCATAGTAGCGACCCAACAGCACATGGGGGCAGACAGCAAACCCGGTAGCGGCTGGGATGGTATGCTGCTGCTGCTGCTGAGGGCCGAGGGATCCCTGCAGCTACATTGGGTTCCAAAAAACGAACGTGTATGTCTGCACGCCCTGTAATGCATGCTGGTCAATGCATGGCCATCTCTCCCCAGACGTCGTCCTGCCGGAAGCTTACCGTGCGCTTGGCCGTTCCAATCAGCTGCAGCCCCTCCTTGTTGCGCACCCGGCTCAGGGCGGTGTAGACCACGCCGTGCCAGGCACCTTGCCAGCTGGACAGGGTTGAGAGGTCCACGATAACCTGCATGAAGCGGCGGGTCACGGTGAGGAGGGGCAAGCCACGTACTACCACCTGCCGGCTGCGAAGAAGAAGGGGCGGGCCCAGTAAAGGTGCCAGGGGCCTCCTGCCTACAGCTGCTTCATGCTGAATGCGCAGCATGCCACCACCGGTATGCGCCGTCGCTGCAGTATCATCACTTATCACGATGATACTGCCTTCGCACCTTGTCAAGTGTCATGCCCTGCGACTTGTGCACCGTCAGAGCCCAGGCCAGCCGGAGAGGCGTCTGCGGACACGGGGATGAGCGGCGTTAACTCGTGCATGCTTCACATGGCCGCCTGTGAGGCGTGTCAGTTGTAAGTGCTTGCGGCATCCTGCTGGGCCCAAGGCATTACCTGCTAAGACAGGTATTGCCTGATAAGGCAACGCTCACATACCCTATCCAGGTGACCCACCTGCACTCGAAACCGCGCCCCCACACCCGGTAGTAGCTGGGTGAAGATCGTGGGCGCCACCTCTATTTCCTTGCCGTTAGCGAACTTGACCACGGGGACCTGGCCGTTCTCCTCGTACCAGCTGTGCACGTATGGGTAGGCACGACATAGTAAAGTACAGAGTCAGCAGATCGCACCGTGGACACAGCAGCGAGGAAGCAGCAGCGTGATGGCAGGTATGAACTCTTGGCCCCTCATTGCACTACTGCACAGATGCGACCGCTTCATTGTACACGCGTAGGGAACCACACCTCTACAGCACCTAACCTACCTGTCAAGGGCCTCCAACACCGGCTTCAACCGCAGGCTCTTCTCCAGCGTCGCTAGTGGCTGCTGCCAGGCGTAGTCGCTCATGGAGGCGGGCTTGAAACCCACCACCACCCCCCGCGAGCCGTTGACCAGCCCTGCCTGCACGTCCAGGTTCCGCAGCAGCATCACCTGCGCACCCACCTGCGATAGAAAGGTTGGGATGTAAGGTAACCGTGCGAAAGCTGGGTGACTCTCCCTGCTAAGGCTATGGACTCACGGCAAAGTGGTACGTCTCATGCGCAGCAGCAGTGTTTCCTTCAACTCTGGCGCCTCCCACCGCCCCCTCACCTTAAGCTGCACCTTGTCCGCCGCCTGGCACTCAGCGAAAAGCCCATAGTCCCTGTTCTTCAGGTAGTGCTGAGCGTCCAACCGCCACTTCCGCGTGTCGTGCTCAGCCGGGGGCTCAAAGGTGATGGCGACCGTGTCCTGGGCGATGAACGACTCCTGTGTACGGCAGTGTAGCAGCAAGCATGGCAACGCGATCGAGTTACTCGCTGAGCAACCCAGCCCTTCTAGCATGCCCTCGCCATGCAGCTTGCAACCCCTAGGGCCGCACACCACCAAGTCCCTAAGACGGCAGCAATAATTTCCCCGGGCTGGGTCTCAGTTAGTTGGGCCCCTTGCTCTCCTATCTAGCCAGCAGACATACCTCCGGTGTGCTCAGGTTCTGCAGCTGTTTGTTATTCTCCTCGTCTACATTGAAGTTCTTGCCATACAGTATGGTGGCCTTTATGCCGTCTGACTCATCGAGCGGGCGGCTGCAGTCCCGCACTAGCTGCTCCATCACCTTCTCGTACTTGTCCTGCCCGCCGCAGCGCACCGTCATCAGGTCGCTTTGGAAGCTCGCGTCCGACTGACGGAACACCTGGAGTTGGATGGGCGAGGGAAGGATATATGCATAATTAGGGGCGGGTAGCAAAGAATTGAGCTGACATGTGGTGGAGCAGACGAAGTAAGAGGGAACATGTGCAGGCAAGGTGGAAGAGCAATGCTAGGTAGGAAAGGGAACCCGATGCAGCAGTAGGTTAGTCGTCCACCACGTGCCTTGGTGAGGTGGACCACCTTGAAGCCGCCGTACTCGTACACGGGCGCCTCGAACAGGTAGCCCCGGTTGAGGAAGGTCTGCTCCAAGGGCCGCAGCGGGGCCGATTTGGGCCCACCGTCCGCGGAATGCCGGCCCTTGCCCTCGATGGGCCCCAGTTGAAAGAAGTCGCCGCACAGCACCAGCTGCAGCCCGCCGAAGGGGCGGTCCAACCGCTCCTTGTCCATGTCCTGTGCGGCAGCAGGAGCGCATGGGCAACGTGTGTACATACGGATAACTGAGCCGTAGTGCATGTGGTCGGAAACGGGCATGTGAAGGCAGTGTATGGCCCATGTATATAAGCACGGATCCCCCAACTAGTCAAACATACAAGGATAACCCGCCTGAGGTCTAACACAGACTACTTACCTTTCTAACCGTACCCGACAGCCGCGCCCTCTCTGCCGCCTGCTTGCGCGCCTTCGTCAGCGTTGCGTCCAGCCCCTGCAGCATCTCCGCACTCATCATGCTCATCTCGTCCAGGATGAGGGTGTCCAGCTCGTACAACGTATCCAGGGCAGTGGACTTCTGCAGAATGTTGAAGAAGTTCCTGAACTGCTCTAGGCGCCCCAAGCAGAGCAGGGAGTGGATGGTAACGCCTGCGGGGAGCAGTGCCAGCAGCGTGGAGTTCCAGGGTATCGGTATCCGGTGACATATGTCGTGGCGCTTCTTTGCTGCCTGCAGTGCAAGTATGTCTGGCACACCCGACGTACCGCGCCCTCACCTCCCACGTGGGTGGCCGCAATCCCCGTCATGGCGGTGACCGCCACCCTCTTCGAGTACTCGCTGGCGAGCTTGGAGCTCAGGCGGGACTTGACCTCATTGAGCACTACCGTCTTGCCGGTACCCGCCGAGCCGGTCAGGATGATGTTGGGCCGCTCCTCCGATAGCGCCAACCTGACTGCATTCTCCTGATCCTCAGCGAGTTCAATTTTCGGAGGCTTTGCCTCTTCGGGCAGCTTGACCAATTCGAGATGGGAACCTCTTGCGGCCTTTCGACGGTTTTTGCCGCTGGCCACAGGAGCCACGCAACAGGTCCGTGGCAAGGGCCTCATAAACATAGGCCTTCTACCTATTGTTTGCAGCGGACATCTGGCTAGGCATGGCGCACGGGTGGGCGCATAAGAACCTCTCAGCCTGCCGAGCAACGCCATATTGAAATCCTAAGAAAATGTGTTACGCTTTTCGATGAACATGTGTTTCCAATAGAATAGGCATGCGCTTTACCTTTTCTTGGTGAAGTGACTGTCGTTCAAGGGGGTGACACACATCATTGGATTGCGCCTGCTGAGGTCCCATCAGGAGGTGGCACAGCAAACAGAAAGAGCTCTAGGCTGTTTGTGTTGAACAACCAAAGGCGTCGGTATACGAGTACTGTAGCTGGGGAGGCGAGCGTTGTTCGTTGTAGAGTACAGCCTTAGTAGTTGCAAGGCGCCCCAGGTGGCTAAGTGGAAATGCTTTCCATTAGGAAACATGTTATAGACCCCCTTGCCTTCTATACAGCCTTTACAGTCATATGCGCGTCCGGCGACCGTCCACCACCCAGTAGCCCCCGAGGTGTTGAACCGCAAACAGCTTAAGGCGCAAACGCTGTGCAAATGTACACGTGAGTACGAAGCTTGCAGATTACCCCGCAAAACTGGCCATGACTGGAGATGACGCCAACCTGCGGTAGGACATGCAGCGCACGGCGCCTAGAGCTGCCGCTGGCACCGTGTAACGTTTGCACGCACAGCATATAAGTGGAAGTACCAGTAGCTGCTCTGCAGTTCAGACCTCCGTACGCTGGTGCAGGGCTTGACGACAAATACTCCCGCGCTATGATGAGTCATACACTGCAACGCTGGCCTCCAGCGCTAACACTGGGGGGCCAGCACGCGTCTCCTAACACTACGCATCACGATGCGTCTTCTCCCATCTCGAGGAGGGCCGCAAGCCTTTGCCGCACCCGCATGTGCACTTCCTGCATCTCGAGCGCAAGTTGCTGCGGCCCCATCTCCCCCTCGTGCTGCTGCCAGCTGCTACACGCCCCCAACTCCGCCACACAGCTCGCCACCACCCGGCGCCAGTCCACATCTCCATCCCTCTTTCCCTCCTCTTGTTCGACCCCACCTCCAACCCCGTCGTCATCTTGATCTTGGTCTTGATCTTGATCTGCAGCCGCTAGAAGGAAGGCCGCAAGGCTTTCCCCTGCAAGGAAAGCGGACCCCAAACCGACGGCCTCCACGGCCTCATCCACCTCGGACGTGCACTCGCCCACAGCAGGCCCCTCGACGGGCTCCACCTCGTCCTCCTCAGCGACCAGGCCGCCCTCCGAGGTCGGCTGGACGGTGCCGGCTGCGTCGGAGGAGTCGGGCGCGCAGCTGGCGGGTGGGGAAGCCTGCTGCTGCGGCGGCCCAACGGCGCCCACCTCATCTCCATCTGGCAGCAGCTGCTGGATGGAAGCCGGAATCCTGCTGGTCGGGGGCAAGAGAGGGACACCCAGGAGCACGTCAGCAGGCTTCCGGCATTTAGCCGCTTGCACCTACAACCGCCAGGGCGCCCTGCATTTATCCCACGAATGACAGCTAACAAAGCAGCCATACATGGCCATATTTTTGCCGCTCCCCAAGCCACCCCCCGTTACCCATACACATGCTTACCCGAACGGCACCCAGCAGCTGCTCCTGACGACCAGAGACGTTACCTCCACCACCCCCGGCAGCAGCACACCCCCTTGCTGCCCGCTGCCGCTGCTGCCGCCGCCGCTGCCGCCGCTGCTGCTGCCTCCCATGCCCATCTCCTGTTCCCCTTGCAGCTGCCCCATCTCCCGCCTCCGAAACCACTCCCTGGCAGCTGCGTTCTGCGGCTGCCCCAGGTGCTCCAGCTCGGTTTGGTCCCACAACCAGGGGGTGCACGTGTCGCCCGAGGGAAGCCACAAGCAGGCCTCCGAGGGGCGCAGGCCGCCGCCGCCGCCACCGCCGCCAGCAGCAGCAGCAGCGCTAGCGGGGGGCAGCCGGTGGTGCGCGGGGAAGCGCCAGCGGTCCGCGTCCCACCGCAGCACACGTGGGTCGAGCTGCATACCGGAACAGAAGGTTGTGAACGAGCGGAGGATAAGCGGGTCGGTGTTGGGTGGACGTGTAGTAAGGAGGCACATACAGGATACAGCAGATGACCCCTGCCGGCCTGTTGATTGCCCTCCTCTTCATGCTGGTCGACCACCGGTAAGGGCTCATGCTGCATCCGTAATGACCAATGAGCCGAGCATGCATTACCGGTTCCCTGAAGCAAGCAACCCGGGCCCCCAGCACCCCGCCTGCCCCCACCCACCTCGCGCCTAGGCCTGCCTCCCCCCACCAGCTGCAGCCCCTCCAGGCTCTGCACGCGGCTGAGCCCCGTGTACAGCATGCCGTGACCGAACAGGCTGTCCAGGTGCAGCTCCACCTGCGGGCAGGCAGGCAGGCAGGGAGCGGAGGGGGGGGGGCGGGTCAGGCAGGAGTCAAAACAAGCGAAATCGCAAGTGTGAAGAGAGGGGGCAGAAACAGCGCGTTAGGATGTAGGGCGAGGTGGCAGTGGCAGCGGCAGCCCGTATGTGCAGCAAAAGAGGCTCAGCCCCGCCCCTAGCAGGCTGCACAGGTACCCCAAGGTACAGCTAGCTCGGCGGCGTGGGGGTCTCACCAGGGGTAGTGTCATGCCCTGCGCCTTGTGCACCGTCAGAGCCCAGGCCAGCTTCAGAGGCACCTGCGGGGAGGGGCGAGGGAGGGAGGGCGGCAACACAACGTATTTCGGGAGCCCCGTGGGCCGACGGACGGAGGCTAAATGTATGTTGGCAGCAGGTAGTGCAGCTGCAGCCCACAACGCATGCGGTGAGGCAGCACCGCTGCAGCAGCGGCCTCATGCCCCATCATTTGTTCACATCACGCATCTTTTGCAAATTGAATCCGCCGGCTAGCTGCCTTCTTTCCCCCTTCCCTGCCCACCCACCTGCACTCGGATGCGCACTCCGAACCCCTCCACCTGCTGCACGAACACGGCGGGGAGCAGCTTGCGCTTGCGACCTTTCGCGAGCTGCACCTCGGGCAGCCAGCCGTTGATGCGGCACCACTTGTTGTAACACCTGCATGCAGGATTGGAGGCGGTCAGAGACTGGGAAGGCAACGCAAGGAGTCAGTCAGTGCTCATGTGCCCTGCTAAGTCGGTCGATGCTCATCCATGTGCTAGACAGCTACCAACGCCTGGGGATGCATGGATTGAGGAAAGCCATAAACAGAGAAGTCGCTTCACGTTTGCTGCTACCTAAAGAACATATGGTCAGCCAGCACCCACACGTGCGTGCATAAGCAACAACCCGCCATGGCATGTAGGGAAGGCTCCTAAAACTTCAGTTTACATGCGTGCTTCCCCTCCCTGTCTCCTTTCCGCCCCTTCCTCCGCCCCTTCTCACTCCTCAACCGCCTTTACGACCCGTGGGTCACTTGCGAGACTGTCCTCCAGCCCCGCGACCAGCGCGGCGCTGCTGCTTCTGGGGCTGCCGGCGCGCACCGCCTTCACCCGTCCCAGCGCTCCGTTGATGAGGCCGGTTTCGACGTCAAGGTTGCGAACCAGCATCACCTGCGCCCCCAGCTGCCCGAGGAAACCAGGGTAGCAAGATGGGGTAACACGTTAAAGAGCAAGATGGGTGCGTATACGTATAAAGAGGCTACCTAAGAGGCAAATATGGCTTGGCCTCTGGAAGTGTCAGCCCCAAAGCCGATTCCTTACCATGCTAGCCGGTGGAAACTTAGCCGTGTGCGGTGGGTCGTACAACCTAGTACGACGCAGGCTGTAGGTGGCGTACGACACGGCCTTACCTTCAGGTTGAGTAGCTGGGGCGCCTGACAATCCCGGAACAGCCCGGCGCTGGAGTCCCTCAGGTGCTTCTCCACCTCACGCCGCCACTTCGCCTCATCATGGCCCGGGGGGGCGGGGAAGGTGACCACCACGTCGTCCACTGATACGGCTCTCCACTGCGGAAAGCAGGTGCGAAATGGGGGCATGCGCACAGCAGAAAATGTTCGCAGTTCCTTTTAGCACGCTCTTCGCCCAACCGAGAAGCCGCAAAATCCAAGTCCGGAGCGCCCCTCAGTCCCCTCCTCCCCACAATAGCCTCGCCCCTGCCCCAGCCACCTCGCGGCCGCCCAACGCCTTCAGCTTCCGCTCGTTGCGCCAGTCTGCCGCCTTGTTTTTGCCGTACAGCGCCACCGGGGCGACGCCGTCCCTTGGCGGGGGCAGTGGGCGGCTGCATTGCTGCTGCAGGAAGTGGAGCGCCGCGTCGCTGGCTGGGTCGGTGCCGCTGCGTATGGCGCTGAGCGCAGCTTGGAAGTGCTGCTCGGCTTGCCTGAACACCTGCATCAGGAGGGAGGGAGGGAGGGAGGGAGGGAGGGAGGGAGGGAGGGAGGGAGGGAGGGAGGGAGGGAGGGAGGGAGGGAGGGGGGGAGGGAGGGAGGGAGGGAGGGGAAACCACAGGCACATGCATGGGATGGGGTGTCGTGAGCAAGGCAAGGAAGCACCTGTCCGTCAGCTAGGTGGTCAGTTGGTCAGCTGCTGGTCAAAGGGGTGCTCCTCTTACCCACACAAGGGGCAGGACCCACCCCTCCTACCTTCTTTAGCTCGCACACCCTGAAGCCGCCGTACTCGAACACGGGCGCCTGGAACAGGAAGCCCCGGTTGAGGAAAGAGCGCTGCAGAGGCGCCACCTCCGCCGCCTGGGGTACCTGCCGCCCGCTGCCGCCCTCCCCCTCCCGCGACCCGTCCCTGCTCGGCCCGCCCTCCTTCACCGGCGGCAGCTGGAACGGGTCGCCGCTCAGCACCAGCTGCAGCCCGCCGAAGGGGCGGTCCAACCACTCCTCGTCCATGCCCTGTGCGGCAGCAGATACCGGTAGGTGCGTGTGGGCAGCGTATGAGGTGGAAAAGGTGCGGAGGGGCATGGACAGACAAGCGTACCGGTAGCTTGCTCGAAGACTGCAACTCACCTCCCTCTCCCTCCCCGACAGCCGCGCCCTCTCCGCCGCCTGCTTGCGCCCCACCGACAGCACCGCGTCCAGCCCCTGCAACAACTCCGCACTCATCATGCTCGCCTCCTCCACCACCAGCACATCCAGCTCGTACAGGGCGGCCAGGGCGGCCTCCTCGCCCAGCAGGGCCAGGAGGTTGTCGTACTTCTCGATCTTGCCCAGCCGCAACAGCGAGTGGAGGGTGCAACCTGGATGAGGGGTATTGTAGAGAAGGATGAGTGGGAGGGATGGGGGGAATCGCAGCCGGGACGGATGAGGGGAATCGCAGCGTGCGGGGAGGGGAGAGCAACGGATTAGGGCAAAGGTTTGTGGCGGAAGTGGTTCCAGGAGAGCGCCTGGTGCAGAATTAAACCGCAATTTTCGGGGAACTAAGGCCCAGCTCAGCATCACAAACTCCCACGCACCCCTGCCTTCCGCGCCCTCACCTCCCACATGGGTTGCCGCAATCCCCGTTATAGCGGTGACCGCCACCCTCCTAGGGTACATGCGACCGTACTTCATTGACAGGCGGGACTTGAGCTCATTGAGCACCACCGTCTTGCCGGTACCCGCCGAGCCGGTCAGGATGATGTTGGGCCGCTCCTCCGACAGAACCGCCTCAAGCACCGCCTGCTGCTCCGCGCTTAGCTCTAGTGGTGGTGGAGTGGTGACTTCTGACTTGGGCTGCTGCTGTTTCGACTGCTGTCGCGGCTTCAGGGAATCCGGCGGCTGCCGCTTGCTGCTGCTCCTGTCAGCGCTCGTGCGGGGCTGCCGCCCTGATCCACCGTTGCCGGGATCAGCGCTGCGGCGGCTGGCCGACAGAGGGCCGCAGTTTGGAAGCGTTCGAACTCCGATGTTTAAAGGTTTCACGACGACGGGGCTTGCGACAAGAGTACGTGTGCGAGGTGTAAGAGGGGGCGGCAAAGCCGGCGAGCGGCGATACGGCGCGGCTGGCAGGTTATGTTTAAGGAGCATCATTTCCTGGACGCGGTTACAAGGTTACAAATCGGCTTATAGTGCTACCATAATTGTGTAAGGCTATAAGTTGCAAAAACGCTGGACGGATCGCGTTGAAGGCACGGTCGGCGCGCAGGCCAACCGCTGGTTCGACTTGCGACACGTGCTGCGCCTTCCTTGGACCTAATATGCCTATTGCACGTCATTCAATCGAGCTTATATATGTTTACGGAATGTCTGTGCTGTGTGAGCGTCGCAGAGGCGGGCGCTTCCGGCCTTCGAGACGAGTTCCGACACGTTTATCCGTTGTACGGTATATGAGACGAGACAGGCTTCTTGTGACAATGGCCAATGACGCAGGAAATCGTAGTATACAATTATAATTACTGGAGAAGTGTCGTGGCTTTGTTTCTCGCGGTTTCATCCGTGCTTACGGCTCGGCAGAGAGGCTCGGCTTGCGGCGCAGCCACCGCATTCCTGTTTAGGAAGCCTTTTCATCTTGTTCCTTGTGCTTCAACTTATGGATAGCATCCAATTACATTTGCCTGCTATCGACTAGGTCTTGGATCGTGCCCAGCTGACGTTATGAGGCTCCACAATGCCGGGGTGCCGCAATGCGCTCGACGGCTACCCCTGTCCCCATGCAGTTCCCAGACCAGGGCCTCGAAAGTGGCATGTACGTCTCTGCGCCTCGAGGCAGTCTTGCAGCCGCCCTCCTCCTCCTCCTCTCAACGCATGCATGTCCTTCACCGATGGGAGGTAGTGTCGTACACCTCCTGTGTTGGCCCCGCCATGCCTTCCCGCTCCTCGCGGGTGCAGCCCTCCCATTTGCGGCGGGCTCAACGCCCTCTCGGCAACTACAGCTGTTCCTGGTCTGAAGGAAATCCATGGGTCCTAGGGAGGAGACGTGCGCATGCATGGCCTCCACCCACTGGGTCCCTCCACACCCTAAGCAAGGGTGCATTATGCTTTGCAAGAACTGCAACATAAGCCGCAAGTGTCTTGTGTTGCCTTATCAGTTTGCGGCCAGTCCATTCCATACCCCAACGTCAGTCGCAGCAACGGGGCCTTTCGCCTCAACATGCAACAGACGCCGCAATCCACCAAGCCGCCGATGCTTGCAAACACCGCAATCAGCTTCCATGCAACCTTAATGCTCATTCTTCCCTCTTCGCCTCGCCCTCCTCTCACGAACCCCTCTCCACTCTCCAACCCTCTCCCCTCTCCCAACCTCTCAACCTCCTCACACCTTCCTCACAATCACAAAGTACACAAAGTTCTCCTCCCGCAGCTCCCCCTCACGCGGCCCCTCCACATACGCGCAACCCACATACACCCCCGGGCCCGCAGCCCGCAGATAGTCCCGACTGCCGCCGCTGAAGGGCGACACGGGCACGGCACCCGGGTCGGGCGCGGGCCACAGCGGCCGCCCCGGCGGCAGGCTCTCCGGCCCTAGCAGCTCCCAGCCCACCTCACTCGCGTCCAACCCGTCTAGGACCCCCTGCTGCGGTAGCGCCCCCAGCCCCTGTAGCCCCGCTGCCGCCTGATCTGCCGCAAGCCCGCTGCAGAGCGGGTCTGCGGGGTAGAGCAGTGTCAGGTCGGCTCCCGCGTCCGCCGGTAGCGGGGTGAGACAGAGCTGCACGTGCAGGCGCGAGTAGAGCGGCTCCCACCAGCGGTATAGCGGGCCTTGGGGGACGGAGGTGAGGGAGGTGAGGTGAGGGAGGGAGAAAATAAATGGTAGAGTACAGCAACTGGGTAGGGGGGGGGGCGGGTAGAGGGAGGGGGGAGGATGAGAGGGGCCGACGGCAAGGAGTTAGGCAGGATGCGCAGGGCTTCCCGGGCTGGTAATGTCAGTAGTCGGCGCTCATCCAGGAGCCCTGTCAGTGCGATGAGTGGCCTGCGTCCGTGGCTGGCCGAACAGCAGCCATGGACGCACACTGCCTGGCGCACTCTGCCTCGGGCAGGCAGGCAGGCGCCCGTCACGATACACCCCCTCCACTCCCTCCCCTCCCTCCCCGACTCTGTCCACATCGGGTCGTCTTCTTTTCCACTCCTCTGCCCAGACATCCCCTCCCTCCCCTCCCCCCCCTCCCTCCCCTCCCTCCCGCCAGCCTCAGCTCACCCAGCAGCTGCAACTCCAGTTTGCCGTACACCCGGGGCAGGGCCGGGGCCGGGGGCAGCACCGCCTGCACCTCCTCCCCTCCCTCCTGCTGCCCCCCTCCACGCTCCTCCTCCTCCTCCTCCTGCTCCTGATCCGGCGGCACGAAGCAGTGCAGCCTGAACCTCTCCACGGGGACGTTGAAGGAGCCCTCCGTGGGTCGCAGCCAGGGGGCGGCGGGGGCGCCTGCGGGGCCGGGGCCGGACAGCTGCTGCTGCAGCTGGGAGTCCGCCTCTAGCCGCACACCCCGCCCCTCGGGGTCCAGCTCGTAACGCTCGCAGCGGCCCTCGTAGGTGAACACCTGGGGTGGGCGGGGAGGGAGGAGGTGGGAGGGGGAGGGTGGGAGCGTGGGAGGTGAGAGGGCTGAGGTGCGGGCAGTAGGCTGCAGCTAGCCAAGGCTGGATTGCAGGAGGCCCATGGGTCTGGGCGGCAGCGGGAGAGGTGGCTAAGGAGGTAAGCAAAAGGACACGAGAAGGTTGTCGGTTGCGACCCCTCCCGCCCCTGCCCTGTTCCTACTGCCTACACCTCCCTTCCGCCGTCTGCTTAACCGCCAACCCCATCCCACCTCCCCTTCCTCATCCCACCCTGTCCATACCCGGCTCACTTCCTCACCTGTCCCGGCACCGTAGGAAAGTCGTCCCAAATACTCGCCCCTCCTCCTCCCTCCCCCTCCTCTCCCTCCTCCTCCTCCTCCTCCTCCTCCTCGCCCCCTCCAAACAGCTCCCTGCTCCGCCCCTCATCCAGCACGTAGCGCCCCACACTGGCCTTCCACAGCGACCGCAGGCAGCCCGGCTCCAGCTCCTCCAGCAGGCGGGGGCGCTCCTCGGGCGGGATGCGCGCGATGCGGGTCCACACCTCCCAGAAGGGGTTGTAGGCGGCGGAGTCCAGCGGGCGCAGCTCGTCCAGCACGCAGATGAAGCCCGCCGCGTCGGAGATGAGCTCGTCCACCTGGGCGGGAGTGGGAGGGGAGGGAAGGGAGGGGGAGGGGGGAATATCCAATGTGTTGCATGACAGTGGTAAACTAGGGGGAGGGGAGGAGAAGTACCAAGCCGAAAGGATCTAGCCAAAACAAAGGGTGGACAATAGGGATAGGAGGCGGTGGGAGGGGTGACGGAAATGGGGTCCATGGCAATCCCGAAGGAGGGACGGAGGGAGGAGGCGTGGAGGTGGGCGAGGGAGGTGGGGAAGAGGGGATGAAGGATGCCGCTGGACTGTTGGGTAAAAGTTGCGCCCCTCCTTGCGTGTGGGTCGGGTTGAGAGAGGTGGTGGTGGCGGATGAGGTTGACAGCCTGGCAGCCGTACAGAAGCAACCGGTATGAGGAGTTGCAAGGGGATGGGGCCCTTGCAGGCCTGTGATGAATGGGTGACAAGCACATGCGGCTGGCCCCCACTCTGCCTACCAGCACCCCGTACCCTTCCAGTAATCAATGACATGCACCACTTTGTCCCGTGTTCCTTGCTCTCCCCTATCGCACCTCATCATCGCTTAGGTACTGCACATCCTCCTCGGTGTCTGCTCCGTCTTTGGAAGCTGCGGAACATGTCAGCGGCTGCCGAGACGGAACAACCCGTTGCACACGGCTGTCACATGATGCCCAATTGGCCCTAGCATGGGCAATTATCGATGCATCATGTCGTTGGCCTATAGAGCGCTTTGGAGCAAAGAAAACAGATGTCGCTGTGGGACGATTAGGGTGCAGGCGGCAGGTCGATGACAGCGGAAGCATGTAGGTAGCAGTAGAGTAATGCCCTAGCTTTGCAGCATGTGAAAACAATAAACGACGGGTTGAAGAGCAGTCGAGCTTCCAGCGACTGAAGCAATGAAGGCTCTGCCGTACGCCTTCGGTTTCTGGGTTCCGTTAATGGTGTGCGGCAGCGAGCGAGGATATCTGGAGACGCGACGTTTACAGAGTTGAAGGGAAGGCTGCATTGTATCGTTTGATAGCAACGTTAGTTGAACCAACTTTGGAGCAAGCCTGCGACTACCCATAACGTGTCGCCATCGTTTAGTAGATTGCTATCTTCATCGTCTGACATATCTAGGTCAACATGGTGGGTAGTATGTGCCTTTTGCTGCAGCACTTTTTGGCCTCCACTTGTCGGCTCGGCATCTCACGGTTGGCGCTTTTCGACGGCATCCCAGGTCAAAAAGAAGGTTGGGGGTGGAAAGCGCTACAAGGCGGTTGCAAATGCCAAGGTAACATAGTTAGCTGACCCTGGTGCTGGGCTCTCTAGTGTTTCACCCATGCATCTACCCTAACAGGCACAGGGGCTCTCTGAGCCTAAATGGGATGGCCCGGCACCACCCCTGCACATCCAAAAGAAGCTAACCCGCAAGGTTCAGTTCTTGGACAGTAAGTTCCCTGAGCGGCTTCCCACATTCTTACTTTGCCCATCAGCTTAAGAGTCCCGCCCCTCCTCCCACCTGCAGAAGTATCCGCCAACGCGAGCACCCTGGCAGCCAAGTCCGGAGGCGTCAACAAGGTGCGGCAATGCAGCGCTCTTAACCGATGGCATCCCTGCACGCCACGCCCTCATGGCCCAGACAGCTATGACTACCCGCTCGTGCGCACTTCTCCTGGATGCCGCTGTCCCTTCCCGCTTCTGCACATGCGTGCAAACGCACACGTTCGTGTGCCGCCAAGTAACCCCATCCCCACCGCCCCTCAATTCCGCAGAAGACGGGTCGCAAGAAGGCGCTGCCCGACCTGAGCACCCTGGGGGCGGTACTAGACGAGGTGGCACAGCGGGGCGCGGGAGCCGGCGGCGGCAAAGAGGGGAAGGAGGAGAAGAAGCAGCGGGGCGCGTCCGTCAACTCGGCCAAGCAGCGACAACATATCCTGTGGGTTACGGTAGTTCCGCTGCTTGTTTTTGAGTAAAGGGATGTGGCGATTGCGGGAGAGAGAAACAGTAAAAGCCAATCGTAATAGGAGGGTTACAGTGGGAGCACTCGTGGGCGCATGCCATGCTCATTTTAACGCCACTCAGTTCGTTCGACGCCCGTCCATGCACACACCCCTCAAGGGCGTTTGAAACCTTCGACATAATAGTACATGCGCGCCGGTGTCAAGTCACCCCATACACAACACAACTTCTCCCCGCCCCGTTCTCTCCAGTATAGTTGTCCTTAGCATAGTTGTTTTCCTCTTCACCCCCCTCTCTTTTCGCGCAGGCTGGAGGAGTCCCAGCGCATGCAACAGGTGCTGCGGCACCCGCTCTACAAGGCCGACCCAATCGCCGCCATCACAAACCACCTGCAACACACGCTACCGCCGCCGCCGCCAGCACCCAAGTCTGCGCCCGGTAAGCCTGGCAAGAAGAAGAATAACAAGGCGGGCAAGGGCAAGGCGGCGGGCGACTCCATGGAGGACTAAGCGGACGTCAAAGCACAGCCGACAACAGCAACACTGGATGTCCCTCTCTTTACCGTACTCATCGCGCTTTGCTGCTGTGGGACGGTTTGTCGTGCCACCTACAGCAGCAGCGTACGCCCAACAACCCTTTTTATACAGCTTTACAACGTGGACGTTATCCTGGAGAGCAACAGTACACGCAATGAGACGTTTAACGTCGCAACGCTGCCGATTGTGGCGCAGCTTGGACAACATGGCAACTCCGCCAAAGCCTGCCACATGCTACTGCCTGCAGCTACAGCGCATTCCGAAGCAGCTATAGGCCTACAGCTCTACTACAGCGGCACGGATCCCTCACGTCCGCCCTGCCGGTGGTGTCCGTGCTCGTGCTTCTTGGGCAGGAAGGCGCGCACAAAGGGGTGGCGCATGGCGGTGTCGGTGTCGATGCGCTTGTCGGGTTCCAGCATCATCATCTTCTCGAGCAGGTCAGTCAGCAGCTGGATCTGTGTGAGCGGAGGCGGTGGCGGAAAGGGGTGGAGGGGAATATTAATTGGTCGACAGGGAGCGTTCGGTTATACAATGTTCTGATGAGATCCGGTTGTAAATTTGCAAAAGAGATGCCCTGCCCTCTTTATGCGCAAATAGATGTATTGATTAGCAAGCGTGCTACCAGTAGGAGTGAGAGCGGGGCATAGCTGCACACTGCAGGACATCACTGCTGTTGTTGTGCCCCTACGTCGCGACCACACGCACCTGGGCCTTGTCCTCGGGCTTGGCGCTGCGCAGGGCGGGTCCCAGCAGCTGTGAGAAGTTCTGCTTGGCGGTCTGCACGTTGATCATGCGGCGCACCTGCGGGGCGGGTGAAGGAGAGGGGCAGTGTTGGGGCACAAGGGAGCGGCAGGTTTTGGAATGCTGGACCGTTTCGCATTACCAAACGACTTACGTGCCGTTAGGAACTTGTAACGGATGTAGCAGGAGACGTATTAGAAACACATGGAATGCCCTTGACCGGAATGCTAAGAGGATTGACCGGGTCCTTGACACCAGCAGCATGTCAGCCCAATGCAGAGCCCCAGCCCCTCCTTTTTACAGGCCCCAAGCAATCGTAGCCGCACTCACCGGCTTCTTAGTGACCGCATCCTCCTCCATGTAGATGAAGGGCGCGCTGGGCTCGTCCAGGTCAAAGTGCTTGTCCGCAAAGGCGCAGCGGCGCAGCATCTTCTTGGTGAAGGGCCCCTTGACGTCCATCATGAGCTTCACCATCTCGTTGTTGGTGCGGCCGGGGAACAGGATGTTGCCGGTGAACAGCTCGTACACCACACAGCCCACACTCCACATGTCCATCGCGTAATCTGACATGAGCAGTACGACACAACGGGACAGAGGGGCAGGCAACGATCAATGAAGTTAGCGCGAGAAGGAAGGCATACGCGCGGAGGAAAACATAGAAAGTTAGGAACCAAGCGAGACGGCGCATACAAACAGGGATGCGATGTTACCGGTATCAATCGTCATCATATCATCAGCCATGAGGAGGACAGCGCGGGTGAAGATCTGACGCCCGAAACACAGCAGCACCAGCGCTCATGACCCTGCTGCAGGGCTGGCGCAGTGCGCACTCACCGTACTTCATGCCCAGGATGACCTCCGGCGCCCGGTAGAACCGTGACACCAGGTAGGGGGTCACCTCGTTGTCGCCCGCCAGCATGGCACTGCCAAAGTCGCACAGCTTCACCTGCGGCCGGACGGCGGGAACAGCCGGAGGGGCGGGACGGTCAGCACGGTTACAAGAAGCCGAGCACTTCGCCGTCCGTCGCACCACCCCACACCCCGCCAATCGCAGCGCAGAAGCCTCTGTAACCCTCGCCCGCTGCAGCACCCCACACCCTCCTACCTTGGTCCTCCTCGCGTTGACCAGGATGTTGTCAGGCTTGATGTCCGCATGCAGCACTCCGTTCTTGCGCAGGTGCCGCAGCGCCACCAGCAGCTGCGCGGTGTACATGCCCACCGCCGTCACGTTGAGTCCCTTGTTGCGGCCGTACTTCTTGGTCAGGTCGCGCAGGTTCATGTCCTGTAATGTGGAGTGTGGGCAGGGTGGCGCGAACAGTAACGGTAAACGGTCAAGGGAGGTATGCGGTAGGAGTACGTGGGATAATGGCGACGGCAGAAAGTTGCAGTTGTTGAGCACTGCAACACAGTAAATACCAGAGCATGAAGCCATAACCCGTAATAAGTTGCCACCCATCATCTGCACTCGCCAACCCCACCCCAACCCACCATGGGCTCGAACACCAGGCACATGTGGCGCCGGAACTCAAAGGCCCGCAGCAGGCGGATGCAGTGCTTGCGGTTGTCTGGGTCGGTGGCGCCCAGCTTGCGGAGGATGGCCTGCTCCGTCTGCGCAGCCTTGTACATGGTGTCGTTGGCGCGAATGACCTTGATGGCCACCTCGGGGCCGCCGGCAGCAGCGGCAGCTGCTGCTGCCCCGCCTCGGCCCACACCCAGGTCCCGGGCGCGCATGACGTTGCTGAACACGCCCTTGCCCTTGTACTCGGTCACCTCGTAGCGCCCGTCCAGCACCTCGCCGATCTGACAAAAGCAGCAGCAGAAAGCGCAGTAGCAGCAGGAGGGGAGTTCAGGAAAAAGAGGCGGCTCGGGTTGATGACATATGCACCGTAACCCTATGCCGGACTGACTGGAGTAGCTCCCCGTTTACATGCAGCCAACGGTCATCAATTCCAGCGCCCCTATTGGGATCTCTTATCCAACCCACATGTACCCAGGTTCAACCCTTGTCTTCACCTGGAAGTTGTAGTAGCCCTCCGGGTCATCGTACGAGTCATGCAACTGCGCCGCACCGCCCGCAGGCGCCGCCCGGGCCGCACCCGGCTGCCCGGGCGCATCCGAGTCATCCACTGCAAACATGTCGTCATCGTCCTTCTCAGCAAACATGTCATCATCGTCATCGTCGTTTGCGGCAGGAGGAACAGCAGGGGCCGCTGCAGCGGCGCCGGCAGGCGCTGCAGCAGCCGCCAACGACGCACGGCGCCCTACCGCTGCTGCTGACTGCGGCCCGGTTGTCAGCTCCGGGTGCTGCTCCTGCGAGGCGTTGTGCGCTGCCAGCCGCACCAGCGCGGTGCTAGCGCCCGGCTCCTGCGCCGGCTGCCGCTGCAGCAGCGCAGCAGCCTGCCGCTGCCGCTCGCGCTCAGCATCCTCTGCCGCAGCGGCCACTGCAGCCGCCACAGCGCCGCTGTCTGCGTCATCCGCCGCCGCCTGGTCGGGTCCAAAAATGTCCATCACGGGTCCATCCGCGTTAAAGTCGCTCGCCTCACTAGTGCTGATACGGTCGCCCTCAGGGGTGCGGTCCCCGTCGCCGCCGTCCGCACCGGCCGGCCGGCCTGGACTGCCCGGTGCACTTCGGGCGAGGACGGAGGCGCTGGCCACGTGGCGCAGACCCCCGGCCGCCTCGGCGGCTGCGGGTGCGGGTGAGCGCGGCGGACCCCGGCTGGGTGTGAGGGCGGCGGAGGCTGGCGCGCTGGCTGCCATGGCGGTGGCGGTAGGGGCCACTACCGTGTCTGTGGGCGGGTTGTTAGCGGGCGCAGATAACTAGGTTGGATTCAGGTGCAAAGTGAAGGAGAGAGAGGGTCCAACTATGGTCTGAGTGAAGGCAAGCAACAGGTCGAAACGCAACGCTCCCCATTTTGAAAGCAAAGAACGCACCTGTGACAGCTTGCTGCTGCGCGTGCCGCTGCATGATGGCCTGCTGGCGGCGGCGGCGCTCCTCCCGCTCCCGAGCGATGCGCGTCTCCTCGTCCTCATCCTCCTCCAGCGCCAGTGCAGCGGCCTCGTGCAGCTGCAAGCGGGAAGTGCACGGGAGAAAATGAATACCGGTAGGATCAGTGAAGGAGAAGAGCCGGTTGCATGTAAGACGAAAAAAGCCGGAAGCAAAGCGCAAGTAGTGAAGACAAAGTCCACAGGCCCTTGGACGGGTTGGACCCATACCGGTAATACATGCAGCCTTCACGACCGTACATTGGCACAAAATGCCCTCCCCACCTCTGGCGACTCCGCCGCTGGAGACCGCCGCTCCTTGTCTTGTCGGCCGCCCCGCCCACGTTCCCGGTCCCTGTCTCGTTCCCTATCACGATCACGCTCCCTGTCGTGGTCTCGACGGTCGCCCCCCCGGCCCCGGTCTTCCCGCTCTCGCTCCCGTCGGTCGCCTGCTCGGCCCCGGCTTCGACTGCGACTCCGCCGCCTTGGTGCCTCGTCGCGGCGTCCCCCCTCAGAACGCCCACGCGGGGACCTGCGGTGCAATGATGTAAACCATAGAAGGTGGCGAAGCGAGGTTAAGCAGGTGAAGATGGTGGGAAGTGAGTCGCTGAGGGAACCAGTAAAAAGCAGGGAGAGGGCAGCCAATACAGAAAGCGTGCGAGTAGGCTTGCGAAAAGGGTGTGTTTTGCTGAGGAGAGGTTCTATAGGAGACTGCATGGCTCCCCGTGCCAGTAAAGACCTTTCCCCCAGAGACCAAACCCTAGACGGCATACCTAAGCATGCGCGCAGGTGGGGCATGCTTTGAAAGAAGCACCAGTTAAAACTGCGACTGCAAGACAGGAGCCGCTTATTGTGACAATGGAAAAATCACTGCAGTTGGTATTCTAGCATTGCAGGCCAAACAAGGGCAACCAAAAGGGCGCCCCCAACAACCCCAAACCCTGGATACTGCAAGCACTCACTGTTACAATCGTTAAGCCCCACCAAACCCCAGAGCCTCCTCACCTCGACCGCTCTCTGCTAGTCCTCCGCTCGATAACCTCCGCACCCTCCCGCCAGCCGGAACGCTCCCGCTCCCGCTCGCGTTCCCGCTCACGGTCGCGCACCCGGTCCCTGTCCCGATCCCGATCCCTGCGGTCCCGGTCCCTGCGCTCCTCCCTGTCTGCTGCGGATGGCGCTTCCCTGAAGAACACGGCAACGAGGAAAAGGAGGAGCCATAAGTCTCATACATGCCGCCGAAGATGTCAGCCAATGCCTGCAACCCACCGCAAGACGTGTTCCCGCCCAGCTGTGCTCGAGGCAGCCGCCTACCTGACACGCTCAGCACGTTCCCGCTCTCGTGGCCGCTCCAGCTCACGTGGGTCCTCGTCCTGCCGCCGCTCCCGCTCTCGCTCCCGGTCGCGGGGACGGTTGTAGTCCCGCTCGCGCGGCCGCTCTGAGCCGTCCTGGCTGGATCGGTGGCGGCCGCGGCCCTCCTCGCGCCCCTCGTCCGCTTCTTCATCCCTCCGCGCCTCCTTGCGAGCCCGAGACCCAGCCTGCAGCAAAGCGTCCAACCGGGAGGGTAAGCTCGGTGGTAAGCTTGGTGCAGCAAGTCAATTTGCGCACACAACCGCCTTTGCCTCTCCAGTAGGCCTACCCAGCGAAACGTGCCAACCCAAACCTACCTTGCTGTCTGCAGCAGTGGCTTCCTTCTGCTGGGAGTCATCGGCCTCCACACGCTCACGTTTGCGTGGGGCTACTTGGTCTCGCTCAACTGCAGGCTCTGCAGGGCTGCTGCTGGTCGCCGGCGGGTCTGCGCGACCCCTGCAGAACAAACATGATCAGAGCATGGGGGGGATGAGCAGTGCAGTTACAACCACGTATCCCCGGTACTCCCTCAGCGCCAGAAAGAACTTACTTGCGCGCAGGTGACCCATAGTCGTCCCCCGCTGGCGACACGCCGGCAGCCCTGTGGGCTACAGATGGGTCAGTACGCCTGTCATCTGTAGGCTGCTGTTGCTGTGTGCTTGCGCGGTGAGGCCCCGGCCCGTCGCGCGGAATTTCCGCACCGTCGCCGAGGATTTCCCCGCTTTCTACGTCCGAACCAACCTCCTTGTTGCGTTCCTCGCGGCGCTTCTCCTTCTCCTTATGTTTGTGTTTGTCCTTTTTGTGCTTATGCTTGTGGTGATGTCGCTCTGAAGATCCGGCCAACCCCCTTGGCGGCTCAGCGCCGTTTTCCATTGCTAGACGGGTGAAGTCTATGTACACAGGTGAATCTGCTTGTCTTTACTGGCGACTTGGAGGAAAAATGTATAGGCTGAGCAACCTGCCCTTTCAACCAGGAAAGGCCAACGGCGTGGAGCCCAAAGAATGCTGCCCTGAACTAATGGATGCGTGAAGGCGCAGCCTGAAAGCTTTGAAAACTATGTACAGGGAGGAGAAGGCTGAAAAGCAGAAGATACAACGTCACTGTCTATTGAGTCAGAAGCTTTACCGGCGTAGTAAATCCTAGGTCTTTTGTAAGTGTACAAACGAGAATATGGAGTTGTCATTTGAGGCATTGGAAATTTGGACCGTCGCCGTACATGTCAGTGCCTGGGCTGCACAGTTTGTTCTTGCATGCCTGACACGACTGCGCATTGGCATCGGTTTTGAAGTATAGGAATTGGCCAGCAGATAGCGCGTGGTTAAGGCGAGTTACCCTCTATCCATCTGTCTGCTCAGAAGTAAGCGGCATGACGCACGATCCACGATGGCATCGGCTAGAAAACGCATCTAATGTAAGTCAGCTGCCCGAGCTATCACTACCTGTGCGTTCTGCTAGGCGAGCCGACGAAGCCCTGTGATAGCCGGGTTTGTAACGTCTGTAAGGCTTGCCTCCGAGACCATATTTTCAAAGTGGCAGCTAACGACCGAAGGGAAGGCTGGTGCTGTAAACTCTCCAAAATATACATTAACTAATATTAAGCTGGGCTACCTTCATTCCACGAATCCTTGTCTCAAGCACCCTAGCATACCTGCCTAGTCCAACTTGCGAATTGACGTTGACTTCGGCAGGGCTCTTAATGGATACGTCGACGACTGACCACCTGCTTTTAACGGAGGTCAACGTGGCAGACGGGGTAAAAGGGAAGCGGCGAGGGCCCCAAAAACGACGCCTTGTTGACAAGCATAACGAGGATTCGGCTCCCAAAGACGTTGAGATGACCGAACTGGAGCGTGAGGTGTGTAACATTAGGCTAAATAAAGAGGCGTCCAAAAAGAGTGAGTCAGCAACAGTCTTAGTTTTCTTCCACATCATGCAGAGGGCGGAACTTATCCGGCGTAACCAGGAAATGCTTGCCAAAATTGGCGTGACAACTGCCCTAACGGAACTTCGGAAAGCGGTTGCCGCTGAGTCAGCCACTGCTAATGCCTCTACGCGAGCTGCGTCAGAGCCGCGACCAGCTCGGGCCCCAAAGCGTGCGCGCGTCCCGGAGCCCATCCGCCGGTCAACCCGTCGTACCGCCGCTGCCAGCGAACATAATGCAGCCGCCCCAGGGGAAGAGCCTGGTAGGTTTGCTGCATTCAATGGCTTATCCGTCCTACGTGTCTGCTCAACGTTTGGCTTGTTCGGGAAACCGGATTCCCTACTGTCGCCTGCTCACCGGGAACTTTCCGCCTGCATGCTAGCCCCCATGCCGTTTCCAATGGTCCCCACCAGCTGGGTACCAAGGAGCCGTGCCGTTGCTGCCAACACCCATGCCCTCGTCCCCAGGTGCTGACGGAGCGGTGGAAGCTGCGCCCACCACTGCCCGCGGCGTGGGCATCATGACCCAAGTGAGCGGGCACTGGCGGGGTCTCAGCGGGGCGCAGGGGTCATGTGGGATGGGAGAAAGAGAAGAGGACGATATGGGTCATTGCCATATGTGCAGGCAAAGGGTACGGCTCGTGCCTAGCTCAGAGGACAGGCTTCTTCGTCACTGTTCGACATGGCACGCGCTTAACAAACCTGCCCGGCAAACCTGACCTCGTAGCCGCATCCTTACCTGCTCCCTCCCTCCTTCTTCCTCCTCCCGCCCCCAGGAGGAGTACCTGGCGTCCAAGGGGCTGCCGCTGCCCGAGGGCCACTTCCGCACCGACGGCCGCTTCACGGGCTGGGTTGCGCCTGATGTGGCGGAGCAGCTGGGGCTGGCGGGGAGCGCGGCGGAGGCATGGGAGCAGGGCGGCGGAGGGGCCTTCCAGCGCAAGATCAAGAAGTCAGGTGGGGCCACGCAGCCAGGAATGTTAAGGAAACTGGCAGAGAGGGTGTGGGCATAAGCAGTTGATCATGGGCTTGCCGCTCGGAATGGCATGCTGTCGCATGGTGTGTCTGGGATGACAGGTATGCATGTTGAATAGGTGCTAGCACGACGGATGTGAGCGGGGCATGCGGCGTGTGCTGGCAAGGGGTAATGGCTATGTGCAGCAGTTTCCTAGGGAACCCAGCCCTGCTCGGTCCCCTCCCAGAACGCAAACCGTGCCTTTCCAGCTTCACCAATACCCCTCACCCAACCATATACCCCTTTTGCGCGCCCCTCCCGGCCAGACGTTCCCTCCCACCTGAAGGCCAAGGGCTGGAGCGACGCTCGCGCCTTCGCCGCCGGCCAGCTGCACAAGAACCCCAACGCCTACTTCTACCGCCACACCGCCCCGGGCCTGGACCAGGCGCAGGGTGAGTGGACGCAGGAGGAGCACGACCTGTTTGTGGCCACCGCGCGCAAGTACGGCGTGGGCGACAAGTGGGGCCTGTTCGCATCCTACATCCCTAGCCGGGTGGGCTACCAGTGCTCGGCGTACTACACGCAGGTGGGCCGGCAAGGGTCTGTGAGGGCGAGTCAGGTGGACAGCAGCTCGTGTGCTGGGGAGCATGGTCATCTGGCGTCCTGGCTCTCATCCCGGCCCAATTATAGAACCACAAACCAGGCAAAATAACCAGTTTCTAGGCCAGGTCTCTGTCATTGTTATTGTACGCCGCCAAGCCAACCACATGCGCCTTGCCCCTGCTGCCCCCGGTCCTCGTGTGTGCAGGTCATCATCCCCTCCGGCCTCATCCTGGACTCCCGCTACAGGTGAGCGGGCAGCCCAGCATGTCAGTATGCGTGTTGAAGCGTGTCCCGCCAGGTTGCTGTTGCAGCACGCTTTCCATCCTTCCACCAACCGACGCTATCTGCTTGTCTGTCAGGTTTACGCGTAGCATTACTTGCACTCCCTTGTCCTAGTTGCCTTACCTGCCCCTCAGATGCTCTGTCGTAGCGCCCGGTTCTACCTCTGCATGCCGCCTAACATGCCCATCGTCATACACGCAGGATGGATGCCTGGGGTGACGCCGTGTTCTGCGGCGGGCGAGGCAGCGATTGAGATCCCACCAGGGACATCAGAGGGAGAGCAGCCAGAGGAGCCGAGGTTGCAGTCCACTGAAGGGCGTTCAAAGCCGCTCGCGCTGCTGCCGCAGCGGCGGCGGACGGCTGTGCTCAAGTTTCGGTTGCGTGGCTACGAACCGTACCCCATTGCTGCGCCTTTGTGATTACGGTTGAGCGAGCGCAGGGGCTACGGGCTAAATTCACGCGGCATGTGAACTCAAAAGAAGGATTGGTTGTGTATTATTGGAAGTCCAGACAATTCTTGGGCTAGGAATATATGCTTACGGATGGTATTTATCCTGCTGGCCAGATGCCAGCCTCTCGTACGGACGATAGTGAGCTGCGTTTGCAGTGCCGGTCTCCAGTAGCAGTAGCAATGCAGCATCCTCCATAGAGCACCTTGCTGACATGTCGCGACCCATGGGTCGTCTCCAGAGGGACGTGCTGCTGTTTTCGTGGCTTGTGTAGCGTGCAACCCACACGCAATGGCACTGAGTGGTAGCATGGCTGCAACGTAGCACTGTTGGGTTAGAACGTTGGGCAAAGTAGTACTTCAGAAAGTTGATTAGCTCTCAGGATGAGGTTTACGTAACATGCATTGCCGGAGTGATGCCAGTCTATGCATCCAACCAGCTCGGATGTGTGTTCGTTCTGCAAATACTCATCTTAGCCCTTTCCGTCTGCTGCCTGGCAGCAGGCATGCAGGCAGCGTCAGTTTGGTCCGATGCCCATGTACTTCAATCTCATCTATCCTCTTAATCCATTTCCCGTCCGTGCGGTTACAACAGCGGCACCCTATCGGACGCACATCGCCTTTATCGTAGGGTATTGCTCCTCGTTGGTCACCAGGCGGGCTCCATATCCCCTCCAACGTGGGGCCCAGTTCACGCCACTCAGAAAGCCCTTGCACAGTAAGTAAAAGAAAGAGCAAATGTACACTGTGGGTCGAAGGCGCGCCTTCAATAACCCCGTTGCGTGCCAGCCCTTACTCTCCATCGAACTTCAATGTAAGTAGGCTTCATCTCTCAAGCATCTTCCCTTGTTAGTTGCCATCATTATCCGTGCCTCGGCACTAAGGAATAAAAACCGGATATGGAGCGCAAAATGCCCCGCTGCACAACGATGTACGGTACACGTCGCTAAAATATTATACACTGCAGCATGCCACACTACAGCTCCACCAATCAAGGTCAGTACAATTTCGTGGCCCAGATAATCATACTACACTCCGTACACGCTGTCCTTGATCGGCAAGAACGGTCAATGCAGTTCCGCGACCCTGCTGGCTAACAGTAGGGTCGTCACCAGCGGAGACGTCTCGTTACCACTCCTCGGCGTCCTTTAACCCAACGTTTGAGGTATGAGACACATCACCCTGCCGACACGTCTTACTAATGCCGGTATTGCATGCCGTACAGGGTATTGAAACGAATGCAGAACCACCAGCTAACGCCAGCTAACAGCTTATATTTAACGGCTAACATAATAAGGCTTATTCTCTCTGCCGAACCTTTCCCGCAACCATTAATCCATCATGCATGTCGGCTCTATCCGGACCAAGGAGCTTGCCTTGCGAGGAGTCACTGCTCCAACGCCACTACGCCCCAGACGGCGGGTATTCCGTGCACTCCAACGGCGCGACCCTTTTCCTATAAGCCCTCCACCTACTACATTTAGTCACGGTTACTATGTCACCCCAACCCAACACAATACCACCCAACACCGCAGATACTTTGGCACATGGCTGCATTCAAGCAGCCTGCCGGTATCGCTTGCTAAAGGGCAAACAGCTGCATCCACCGCAGGCTCACACTTGGCTGCCCTTGCAAATCTACAGCGCCTGTACTCAGCTGACGCAGCCCCGCATGATCTTGCCCCCGAATCGGCCTCCCCGCAAGCCGCCGCTGCCCCTCAGGGCTGTTGTCCCATGTACTTCTTGGGTCCAAGCTTCGAGATCTCCCTCTCAGCGGCCAGCAAGTTGTCCCACAGCGCAGGGTCCACCTGCAGGGTGGATGGGGCGTGCAAGGACAGCTGAGCAAAGCACCTATGTACCGATATGCCACATGCCTTCTTAACCAGCGCAAGCAGGCACCCTGCCTGCCTGCACGACCTCCCAACCCCCAAGGCGCCTTACGTTGTTGGCCTTCAGCACGGCGGCCTGCTTCTCCGTGGGTCGCTGCGAGGCTGCATCGCGCGCCGACTCCAGCAGCGTGTCCAGGTCCTTGCGAGCGTTCACCAACACAGCAATCAGCGCGCTCGCGATGTGCACAGGGAGCGGCCGAACGCAGTTGAGGCCCAGGTACCACAGCCGGCATCGCTCGTTTCTGCCCATGAATGGGATTGCCTCGTCCGACTCCGCCTGCGCATGGAGTGCATGTATTGGGGCTTTGAAGGAGGGACGGGACACAGAGGGTGTTGCGCTGCAGTGTTGCCTCGTGCGAGCAAGAAGCTGGCCATGCATGCGACGCTGGCAATGCATGCCAGACATAAATGAGTCTGTACATGCGGCAAACTTGCGGCCAGCCCTACAGGATGTTGCCCGCATGCCCGAAAGCAGTGTGGCAGTAAGGTGGCTATCAAAGTAACTGACCGTTCCAAGCATTTCAACCGTGCCACCGGCGCTGGATGTGACCCATGGGTCATGTCCCGCCTAATGCACCCCATGCCACCCTTGCGCCCCACCATTCGCAGCATGGCGAGCACCACAAGGATGGCTCGAACCTCGTGCCGCGAGAGGGGCCGCTTAACGGGGTACACATCTGAGTCGGGCCGCAAGCTCAGCCCCACCGCCCCCAGCAGCCGCGGCTGGTCCTCGTCCGGGGGCTTGAAGCCCCTTCGCCGACGCCGGTACTGCAGGTGGATGGGCGGGTGGTGGGCGTTGGAACAATAGCGAGGGGGTAGAACACGTGAGGTATGCGGGTGACGTGAGGGAGAGGCGCCGCACATGGGTCACAGACGGTGCCGATGACTAGCAAGGCGTTTTGGGTCTGTTGCCAAAAGAAGCCGTACGGATGACAGTAGGTGCAACGCAAACGCCGCACCTCCGTATCCTTGGGGAACTTCTTTGTGAGGAGGGCGGACGCCTCGCCGCTGCTGGTCGGTATGGAGCGTCCCCGAACGCCTATCCGCTCCAAGAGCTTCAGTTGCTTCTCCGTGGGCTTCTTAGGACCTTTCCGCTGGCCGTCGAAAGCCGCAGCAGCGCTGCTGCCGCTAAAAGGAGATGCAGCGCCGTCGTTGACAAGGCGCAGTTCTTCGATTTGCTTGGCGGCGGCCAGTGTGTTTTTCCACTTCGCGGGGTCCACCTGAAGTGCAAGGGAGGGTGAGGAGAACAAACGACGCACGCGCTTGTCGCGGGATTCTCGTTGTAGCTGCGCGAGCGCGAAAAGGTTTACTCGAGGTGGCAGGATCCCCTTAGATCTTGGATAAACCCTTGGGTACTGGGGCTGAAGCGGGTGTGTCCTGCTACAACCGCGTACGACAAGTCACGATGATACCCAACACACCCCAGCAGCCTCCAAGGCGCCTTACGTTGTTGGCCGTCAGCAGGGCGGCCTGCTCCGGCGTGGGTGGCCGCGATGCTGCATCTCGCGCCCACTGCAGCAGCGTGTCCTGGTCCTTGCGAGCGTTCACCAACACGGCAATCAGCGCGCTCGCGATGTGGACAGGGAGCGGCCGAACGCAGTTGAGGCCCAGCCGCCACAGCAGCCTCTTCTGTACTGCGCTCATGACCGGGGCCTTCGTGCGGCGGAGAAAGGCGGCCTGCACACGGCGTGGGAGACGGACGCAAAAGGTGTCGCCACTCGCAATGCGTACCATGCTGGTGCCAGCCAATGTAGAATCTTGAAGTGAAGGCTACCGTCAACGTTACGGGGCGTTGGCCCCCTGCCCAAAGTAGGGTAGCTTTGCGGAGAGAGCCGAATTAAATTCACCCTAAGCTCAAGCGCGTATGGTCCCATGCCTTGCCACACGCATGGCTGTGACCCACGGGTCATTTCCTGCCTAATGCACTCCCATGCCCGCCCCTGTGCCCCACCTTTTGCAGCATGGCGAGCACCACACGGACGACCCGGACGTCATGCCGCGAGACGGGCAGCACTTCGGACCGCGAGGCGGAGGCCCGGAGAATCTCGAATCCCGCAGCGCCCAACAGCTTGGGCTGGTAGTCATCTGGGGGCTTGATGCCCGGCCGCCTAGACTCGTACTGTGTGGATAGGCGGGTGGTGGGCGGGTTACGAAACGGAAACAGTGAGTGGGTATAGAATGCAGGAGACATGCATATGAGCAGGAGGGATAGAACCGTACGCGGAATGGAGACGGTGACGATGACAAGCAGGTTACCGGTATATGGGCAGCGTTCTGGCCCACAACAACTAGCCACCACAACGCAGCAACCGCCGCACCTCAATGACGGCTTTCTTCCTCTCGCCGATAATGACGTCTGCTGCGTTGCGGCTGGTTGGAATGGAGCTCCCCCGAACGCCGAACCACTCCAACGACCTCAGCTGTGCTTCCGTGGGCTTCGCTGGATCTTCCAACTGGATATCTGAAGCCGATGCAGTGCCGGAGCCACTGCTGCTGCTAACACCGCCACTGCTGTTGGGAGAGGGCGCCGCGAAGTATGGGGCTGCGGCGTTGCTGCTGCTGCTGCTGCTGGCGGGGCCACATGGGCTCTGCTGAAAAGCAGCAGCGGCGTTGGCAGGGCCGTAGCTGTACGTGTTGCACATTGGGGCTGGAGGGTAGCCGGTAGGGATGCTACTGTACGGGAAGTACGGCGGGGCCGGAGGGTATCCGGTAGGGATGCCACTGTACGGGAAGTACGGCGGGGGCGGAGGGTAGCCGGTAGGGATGTTACTGTACGGGAAGTACGGTGGGGCCGTGGCGCTGCTGCTGGGAGGGCCGGCACCGTACGCGTTGTACGGCGGGGCCATACCGCTGTTGGCAGGGATGCCGCTGAATGGGTCGTACACCGGGGCCGTAAAACCGCTGGAAGGGCTCGTGCCCGGGCAGGGCGCAGCAGCGGCGCTGGTGATGGCGCAGCTGGGCGGGCTGACAGCAGGGGCCGCAGGACTGGTCCCAACCGTCGCGTTGGTAAGGCCCGGAGCAGGAGCGCTGTGAAGTCTGGTGCTGTGGGTGGGGTAGGCTGCGGCCTCAAGGCCGCTGCCAGCACCAGCGATACCCGGCTGGGAGACGGCACCCGAGCTGCTTGAGGTGGTGACACCAGCGGGCGAAGAGCCATCGCTTGGAGGGTGCTGAGCAGCGGGTGGAGGTGCGACCGCAGGGCTGGCAGGGCTGTTGCTGGGGGAGGGGCCGGACGGAGGGGCCGCGACAGTGGCGCTGCTGCTCGAGCTGGGGTTAGGGGGCTCGGAGGATGCCATACGTGCAGTGTTGAGAGAGGGGAGACCATCAGCCGGTTGAGCGCCGTCTGGAGTCGGCTGCTCGGTGGTTTCAAGAGGCAGCCGGATGTTGCCAGTACCGCCGTTCTTGCGACCTGCGTGGTGCGCAACAAGTGTAGGAGCTCAGTAGTAGCTTAAACAGCAGCAGCTGCAGCAGCTGTGGTGAAGTTGGAACATGTCAGTTTAGGACGCGGAGATAACACTGGGGGACAGTAGCAGAGACCATCCTCAGGCTGTATGTGCACAGCAGGCAAGAGGAAAGCAGGACAAACAGGCTTGTAACGCACGTGCTAGACCTTATGTGATGTGACAGCAGATTGGAGATGTGCGGATCTTACCTTGGTCAGACTGCCTCTTGGTTTGCTGGACCAGCGCGTCGGCAAGAGTCGGGTCAACGCCAGCGGCGTTACCGCTGCGCAGTGCCAGCACCTGGTTTGCAACCCAGGTTGGGAGTTGGGCCACAATGTCGCGCTGCTCTAACCTGGCCAGCTGGTCCAGGTCGCCTACAAATGTACCAGGAATGTCATACCCGCACATCGGCCGAGTTTTCTCCTGAGCGTCGGCGCCGGGCTGCAGCGCCTCAGGTGGCGAGGCAGCATTCTTGGAGGGAATTTTACTCTTGGGAGGAGGTGTTCGCCTCAAGTTGGAGCCGGACCCCCCAGCACCAGCCTTGCTAGCCTGAGGTGTAACCTCAAGTGCGAGCCGGACCGGGCGCTGCAGCCGGATAGCGTGACAAGGCTGCTGTCGGTGTCCGAAGACTGTTGCGGCCCGTTGCGGTGGGCTCCACAGACACCGCAAGGTTGCCATATTGATGGCAGGAATAGTGACAGAAGAGGTTGTTGTTTCATTATATAGCTGCGTGGGATCTTGATGTGAAGCCTCGAGCGACCCATCAATTCGTACCCGCTCGTCGTCGCAACGTTGGAAACTGATCGTCGTGCGAATTGAAAGTAAGCGGCGCTTAATCTTTATTGAAGAACAATTAAGTTGAAACGAGGATTTGTCGCGCGTTCGGGGGAACTTGGGACTGCCCGAGGGGTGACGCAGCAGTTGCTGGCGCACTTGTGAAGCGGAGCCGGATAGCGGGAAGTAACCATCGCACGATTTGTGCATTTAGCTTTGTTATAAGATTACGGTATGTTTTTTCTGGCCAAGGCCCTGCCCCTCTGCCTTGCAACCTAGTCCCATAATCTTCCCACGGAATTCCAGCAGTCATATTCCCTCAAGCCAGTCCCGCCGTCGTATAAACGTATCCAGATAACAAATCCTATAAACGTTTTGCACGTGCGCGCTTGTGACGTGGCCCGGCTGACGGACGTGGATGCCTTCTAACCGCCATTCACGCCTGGAGAAAATGCTTCTCTAGTCTGTTGCGCTGCATTGGGTAGAAGCGTCGCTTGGCGCGGGATCAGCTGCTGCACGGCTTGTTGGCGGTTGCGCCCATGGCTTGGACCGCATATGAACAGGGCTATCTTCGACTGCCGCTGCTATCCAAACTGCCCGTGGAAAGTTGAAAAGCTAAGCACGCGTGCATAGTCGCAATTTTATGCCCGTGCGAGGCTCCAGCTGAAACGCGCTGCAAACCAGCAACAGTTACATGTTAAGCCTTGCCTTGGCTTCCGGTCGCGTTCTCGCCTTCTCTCGCAACAGCACAAGCGAGATCCAGGTATGAAGCAGGGCATGCAAGAGTTCGAGCAGGCACCATGCCCGCTTGCACCCGACCCGGGTCTCTTGCACTTTAACCCCAGTAGGTAACCTCTCCTCCAGGCACATACCCGCGAGACCCCCCCCCCCTCCAGTCTCCACCCCAAGTCCGCTCGCCCTACCCTCCGGCACCTCCCTCCTGAACCCATGCATGCGGCTGAACCGCCACACCCCCTCGCTTGCACCTCCCTAACATCCCCGGTATCAGCAACACCACTGTACAACCGGCTGGTGGATTCGACCTATCTTGTAGTGCATGGACACGGTAAAACAAATCCACGCTGCTGCTAATGACCTTGCACGCGAAGCCGGGATGCGAAGTATGCATGCACTTCATATGCCAAATGTCAGACGGCAAATGCAACGCGTTCACACAAGCCAGAAGAGTTGGCATGCGTGGCTTTGCTGTGACTGTTGACCAAGTCAGGTCCTCTATCACTCCACTCCAACATTTATCCACAGGCCTGACGCACCCAGAAGGCGCCGCAGCACCATGCATACGGACCTGCCGCTTCCCCCGGTCGCAACAGCGAGCCATCCAGGCAAGCCACACACATGCAAACCCACCCGTCTCCCATCCAAGCCTGCTTCCCCACGCATGCTGCTCATCCGCTGCCCCTTGCCGCCTGCTCCTGCCCACCCCCCTCCTCCTCCTCCTCCTCCTCCTCCTCCTCCCCCACGAACACCTCCGCATCCAGCGCTGCCAGCAGTGCGGGGTTCCGGCCCGCCAGCAGCCGCCGCACCACCGCCAGCTGCTCCTCCGCCGCCTCCAGCGCGCCACCGGCCTCGCCGGTCCCGCCAGCGGCAGCCGCACTTGCACCCCCTACCCCATCCATAGCCAACTCCGCCCCATCCGCAACCACACGCTCTGCGCCCCCGCCTCGTAACCCCACCCCGGACCCGCTCGCAGCTGCCGCCACGCCTCCCTCGCCGCCGGCTCCGTCCCTGCTCCGTCGCCCTGAGATGCCGGCTGCTGTTGCCTCTGCCCCCTGCCCCGCGCCGGCGCTGCCTGGCCTGCTGCCGCCCCCTCGCAGCATGCCTCGCACTCCCGAGGCCAGCGGAAAGGTGATGGGCGCCAGTGACCCCAGCGCCCCGCCCGGCCCCCCGCCAGCACCAGCAGCACCGGCCCCCGCTGCTGCAGCGTCGCTCCCTGGAGCGCCCCGGCCCGGCCCGCCGCCACTCCCGCCTCTTCCTATCCCTGATGCTGACGCGAGTAGGGCCATAGCACCCGACAGCTCCCCTACCCCGGCCCCTCTCCCGCCCCCGGTAGGAGGCCGTTGCGACCCGCCGGCAGTAGCTGAGGAGGCGGTACCCGGGCGGCCCCAGCTGCTGCTGCCTGGCCGGCGGTGCGAGGACGATGCGGTGGCGGGTGCGGCAGAGGAGGTGGGGCGCGGCAGGGAGGAGGGCGGTCGGCCAGCGGCAGTGCCGCCGCGGGACAGCGGTCGGCCCTCCCGCAGCTCCTGTGGGGCAGCGGGCGGCATTCGGGGGGCCAGCAGGCGCATGGGCACGTGAGGGACATACGAGGCAGCGCCAAGTCAGCTGTTCGCGATTAGTCCAGTCGGCAATGCAGAACGGCGGGGTGTTCATACATGCGCGAGCTCCGGCCATTGCATAGTAGATGTCCACTGTCCTTCCCGCCAAACGCCCTCCCCACATCCGGCAGCCCCAACCCCACCAGCTCCCAGCGCCTTCCCTTCCCGCCTCCCCCCCACCCCACCTGCACCCCTCCCGCCACCAGGTCCAGCGAGCGGTACATGGCTGCCGCAGCGGCGGGCGGCAGCTCCCCCAGCTCCTCCAGGGCGCGAGACAGCGCACCACCCAGGGGGGCACCGCCACTGCCGCCATCGCAGGAGGGACTGCCCGGGTACGCCCAACCGCCGCCGCCGCCACTGCTGCCCAGAATATTGATGCCCTCCCCCGCTACGTCATGCTCCTCCTCCGCGACCCCTGCCAGCCGCCCCTCCTCCTCCTCCTCGCCATCCCCCTCATCGTACGACAGCTCCAGATCCGCATGGCTGTTGCGCAGGTCCGTTAGCGGGGAACGGGGGGCAGCAGCAGCAGCAGCGGCAGCCGCTGCTCCCTCAGTCGCATGCAGCTGTAGCGGCCGCAGCAGCCCTGGGCGGCCGGGCCGGGGCGGTGCGGCTGGGCCCACCAGGCGGGCACCTGCGGACCCTGAGCCCTCTCTTAGGTCCCGCCTGCTACTGCCGCCGGCACCCTGCTCCGCACCCCTGGAGGGCCCCGTCCCCGCCGCCCCTGTGCCGCCCAGCGACAGCACGTCCACACGCCTGCCGCTGCTCCCCCCACCGCTGGCTACCGGGCCGCCGCTGCCGACCAAGCCCGGCTGTGCTGCGGCCGCTGGAGTCGCCGCCATGGGCGGAGGTCCCGGCCCTGGGGCCAAGCCGGCTTGCCCGCTGCCACTCCTGCGGCCGCTGCTGCCCCTACCTCCCCCACCGCCGCCACCGCTCCCGCTGGCAGTAGCAGCAGCCTCGCACCCTGACCGGGACCCCGGCCTCACCCCAGCCTCCGCCGGCCCGCTTACGCTGCCCTCCCCCTGCCCCTCCAGCAGCTGAAGCTGCTCCAGCGCCCCCGCCAGCGCCCTCTGCCCTGCACTCGAGCTGGCGCTGTCCCCCAGCGCTCCTCCCGCCACCCCTAGCGGGCCCCCCTCCGCCTCCGCCTCCACCTCAGCAGCCGCCTGCTGCAGCCGCCGGTACACCGCCCGCAGCCGCTGCTGCTCCGCCCTCCCACCGGCAGCCGACCCCGGCCGCTGCTGCTGCTGCTGGTGTCCCCCTCCTTGCTCTATCCCCTCTCCCAACGGACAGCCCTCCAGCCCCAGTCTACGCAGGCTGCCTGCCAGGCGCCCCAGCTGCGGAGGGAGGTGGCTCAGCCGGTTGAAGCGCAGGTCCAGGTGCGTGAGACGGGGCAGGGCGGGCAGCGGGGCGGGCAGCTGCCGCAGCGCGTTGTCGCCCAGGTGAAGCTCGACTAGGCTGGCGGGCAGGGCCTGCAGGTAGGGGACAGGGGCGGGAAGGGGGAGGAGGGAGAGGAGGGAGGCGGTCGGGCGCATGCGTGCGCTGCTACCGGTATGAGACGCAACACTTGCACGCAACAGCTGCACGTCCTTCCCCAGTTACTCTTCTCGTCTAGCTTGTGGATTCCGAACGGGCCTGACCCTGGCAGGTCCCCGGGCCTTAAACTCCCACTGACCTGCGGGTGGATCCGCTCGATCTGGTTGTACTGCGCCCTCAGGCAGGTGAGGCAAGTCAGGGCGCCCACGGCAGCAGGCAGCTCGCGCAGCTGGTTAAATGACACGTCCAAGAAGGTGAGGCTCTGAGGAGTGGAAGGGGAAAGAAGGGGAAGGAGGAGTACGTGGGTCGGAATGGCGTCACGGTGTGAAGCAGTTGCTGCAGTTGCGGTCAGACTTGGACTCAACACCTTAGCAACCTCTTACTTTGAGCTCAGATATCACAGCCGGCAAGGTTGTGAGGCAATTCGCAGATATGTCCAGTAGCTGTAGTCCACAGCATGCGAACACGAGCTGCGGCACCTCTGGGAGCTGCCTGCATGGGGAGATGCAAGAGTTACTGAACCGGCTAGGTCTTCAGGACACCTTTGACATAATCGCAGTACCTGCCGGTTAGGCGCAGTTCACCAGAGACAAGAGCCTCCGTTACCTCCGCAGAGTCCTGTACGCAAGGCAACCAGCACAAAACTTGAAGTTATGAGTCGCTAGATCATCGACGCTAGCCAACGCTTATTAAACTCTTACCATGCAGTACTGCGAATTTGTGAATCCTGAAACACCTGCTCCTATTCTGGCTTGTTACCATGCATCACGACCCCTCGTACATCCTGTCCAACGCGTCTCTTGCGCATAAGCTGGTTTATAGTGGATGGATTAAAGCCGCTAATACAATTTGCACACCTCTCAGCACTATGCGCATTGTAAAGCTGGTATGTTCATTGCCGTTCTCGTCGCGTTAGCTTTTCTCATCGCCTGGTAGGTGGTATCATTAGGCGTCACGCGTATACGTAGACCGTTGGGACTCTCTTTTTAAGTCTTGATATCAGAAAGCTCCGGGTCTGTTCCCCGCCAACAATTGGATATCCTTCCTGAGCGGCTAGGATAGTCTTGATCGCTATTATTGAAGAATACAGCATAAATATCAATCATTTGGTTTTATACAGATCACCTACAACTGGCTGTCTACTTTTGGTTGTTGGAACCACCGCAGGCTAATACACGCAGTCGTGAGCAGCGACGGCCTGGACGACACCATGGATGCTCGCGGACCACCCGGGGGCAATGTTTGGGCGTGGCGTGCAGCAGAGGCTGCTGCGGAGCGCAATTGGTGGGATGTCATCAACGATCGGCAGCCCAAAGAGGAGGAGATAGCGGACTGGCTTAACGAAATGGACTCAGCCGATTTCAACGATATAACGCAGCAATCGGAGAGACTCCTCAGCTGCGCCTGCCTTCATTGCGGCGACCTCATTCCCGCGACTAAGACATGCGGCAATTGCAAGCTCGCGGCATACTGGTGGGTTAGGTGCGGGAGTCCCAGAGCCCTGCTGAGACATCAGGGCGCTACATCATGGCTTCAACCTTCAAATGGCTTCTGAGTTGGCAAAACCCAGCTCAGAACCGGGACTTTCGTCCCGTCTCCTTTTGGTGTACCCGATCACTTCGAGTCTTTGGCCCCAAGATCAATGATATGCCTCTTTCCACTCGGCTCCTTTTCCCCCTCTCCGCAGCTCCCGTGACTGCCAGCAGCGGCACTGGCCCCGCCACCGACCCCGCTGCGCGCAGCTGCAGGCGGCTGCCAAGGAGCGAGGCGGGCAGCGGCCGCCACAGCCGCCTCCGGACCCACCCCTGGTGCTGCCCGCCTCGCAGGTGGGGGACGGGGAAAGGGGTAGGGAGAGGCCATGTATACCTACACCCTGTTTCTAGTTGTAGGGCAGGAGGCGTCTCCCGGCTTATCAGGACCCAAATCGGTTTAGGGCGTATTGGGCTTTCTTTAGGCTTCCTGTACTCGAGGGCCAGCCTCTCGTAGTGCACAGCACATAGTACATCCCTCATAGTCGGGTCCCGTAGTATCCCCACAACCTGCCACCCTTACGCCTGCTGCTCCACACCCTCCCTCCCTCTCCCCTCCGCAGCTGTTGTTCAGCCACGAGGGCTACTGGTGGCTGCTGCAGGCGCACCGGGCGGCAGTGGAAGCGGCGGTGTCGACGGTAGGGGCGGAGGACGGAAACGACGACGACGTTGTGGGGTCTAACGAGGCCGCGGGAGGGGCCGATGAGGGTGTAGCAGCCTCCTCATCCTCATCCTCTCGGCGGAAACCCACCACCTCGGAAGGAGGCGAAAGCGAAAACGATAGCCCTTCCTCCTCCTGCTCCTCCTGCTCCTCCTCGCGGCGCCCTCCGCTGGTGCTGGGCAGTCCCGATGGCTGCTGGCAATGGAGCTGGAGCGCGCCGCCCGCCCCCGCGCTGCTGCGGCCGCCGCGCCCCGCCGGCATCCGCAACAGCGGCAACAGCTGCTACACGGCGGTGGCGGTGCAGGCGCTGCTGGCCACCCCGGGGCTGGGCGAGTACCTGCGCAGTGGGGCGCACAGGGCGGAGTGCAGGGCGCCGGAGAGGGGGCAGGCGCCCAAGGGGGTCAGCAGGTGGGAAGGCGGCTGGATAGTGGTGTGGGGCGGGGGTGTTTCTGGGAATGTTAGGGATATGGAAGGGTGACAAACCCACAGCTCAGCGCGCTGGACACTACCTACGGTTATGTGTTCCACTGTACGCAGTGTGATTGCGTTGCTACTAACCGCAGCCTCTCCTCTTCCGCTTCCTCCTTCTCACCCACCTCCCTCCCTCAGCTGGTGTCCCGCATGCGAGCTCTCCAACCTTGCGGCCGCGGCGGCCCTCACCGCCACCGCCTCCCAGCACCCAGACGAAGACGGACCAGGGCGACCCTCCTCAGCAGCAGCAGCGACCCATGGGTCAGGCGGCTCCTGGGCGGCTCGCACGGCCGGAACCGCTAACGGGCCTGGCGGCGCTGCCTCCCCCGCAGTGGATGCGCGCGGACTGACCCGGCAGGTGCACCGGCTGGGCAGGACGCTGGTGCCGGGTAGGCAGGTGGGTGACGGTGGGGGGAGGGGGAAGAGGGCGGAGAGAAGGAAAGCGCGGTTGAGATGGGAGTCGACGGGTGTTGGATGATGGGCAGAGTTAAGACATCCGCTGCGTGGTGAGGACAGCAGGGGGCGGGTGGGTTGCAGCCCGGCATGCAAGCGTCTGCGACGCGCCCGCGGTTGCTTAGCTCCTGGTAGGCGTGCGAGTAAGCGTAATTCGGTAACAGTTCCTTCCGTCTCCAGCTCCCTTCCAACCCTTCTCCTTCCCCTCCCTGGACTCCTCCGCCCCCCACAGGAGGACGCTCACGAGCTGCTGACCAAGCTGCTGGAGGCGCTCGCGGAGGTGGCCCTAGCGGAGGCGGGCGGCAGGGGGCTGCGCAGGGCGCTGGCGGCGGCAAAACACAAGGCACAGCAGGCTGCGGCAGCCGCGCAGCGGCAAAAGGCACCCGGCGACGCCCCCCCTACCTCCGCAACCCCGCCTCCTCCCTGGCGTGGGGACGAGAGCAGTGTGGTGCACCACTGCCTGGGCGGCTACCTGCGCCGGGCCACGCTGTGCGACTGCTGCGGCCACGTGAGCATGTCGCACGAGGGGGTGCTGGGGCTGGAGGTGCACCTGGGGCCGCGGGTGGGCAGCGTGGAGGAGGGGCTGCGGGGCTACTTTGAGGACGAGGTGCTGGACGAGAGCAACCAGTACAGGTGTGTGTGGGGGGGGGGCGGGTTGGGGGAGAGGAGGATGAGGAAGCGGAAGAGGAAGATAATGTCAGGGTGTAAGGGGTGGGAGGGAGCGGGGTGGAGCAGGCCGCTTGGGGGCGAAGGGGCGGAAGAGGGTTTGGCATTGAGGAAGGAGTAAGGGGTGCAGGGATCTTGGCCTGCACCTACGCACCCCTTCTCCCTGCTGCCGTTCCTCCTCCGCCCCCAGGTGTGAGCGCTGCCGCCAGCTGGTGTGCGCCACTCGGCGGGTGCGGCTGGAGGTGGCGCCCAACGTGCTGGCGATCACACTCAAGCGGTTCACCACCAGGGGCATCAGGGCGGCCAAGGACACGCGGAAGGTGGGGGGTAGCGGCGCGGGGCCCGCCGGTATGCGGTGCTCCTACTAGGGGTAGCGGCGCCACGCCGTATGTACCACGTTGGTGCCGTTTTTCATTAACGTAGGGGCTGGCACGGGAGCGCTTCAGCCGCGCCCCGCTTCCCTTCCTCTACGTGGCTCCTGCCCCGCCCTGCCCCCACCCGCCCTTTTCCCTCCCCTTCCTTTCCCTTCCTTCCCCGCAGATCTCCCTACGGCTCCAGCTGGACCTGGCGCCCTACCTGGCGCCCGGCTCGCTGGACCCGGGGCCCGCCGCTTACCGGCTGTACGCGGTGGTGCAGCACCTGGGGCTGCTGCCGCCGGGTGAGGGGAGGGGGGTGGCAGGAGGGCAACAGGGTTGGGCGGATGGAGGGGTGGGTTCAGTAGGGAATAAGGAGGCGAACATGAATCTTTATGGATTACCCCAGGTTTTTGGGGTCCATGGCCTCTGCCCTATGGCTTTGCCCTGACGCCCTTTCATGTGCCCTCTCATCCTCCCCGCCCAGGCGCGCTTCCCCCCTCCGCGGGTCTGCCCAGCAGCCCCCCCGGCGGCAGCGGCGGCGGCTCCGGCAGCCTCAACATGGGGCACTACGTGGCGGTGGTGCGGGGCGGGGACGGCAGCTGGTACTACTGCGACGATGACGAGGTCACGCAGGTGGGGCGGGGGGGTGGGGGAAGGAGAATGGGCCGCGGAGGCGGGGTGTTGGCGGATCGCATCATGCATGGGTCCGTCATGCCGGGCTGTATGGGCAGTACCTTAGGTAGAAGAGCCGGGAGGTGGGAGTTGCAGCCTCAGCTTAGCGGCGGCACGCCCTTGCTGCTTTCCTAGCGCATGCGGACAGCCGTACATTAACGCCAGCGCTTCGGTCCCGAACATATCTGCACATCTCTTCGCGGCGTCTGAATTCGTGTTTTGCCCCTGCAGATCAGCGAGTCGGAGGTGGCGGGCATCACGGATGCGTACATGCTCTTCTACGAGCGAATTGAACCACGGGTCACCCGACCGCAGCCTCCTTCGCAGACCACCGCACAGCAGCCTGAAGAGGAGGAGGAGGAGGAGGCGGTGGCTGCAGAGGCTAACGGCGCCCTCAGCGGGACCGAGGAGGACAAGGAGGAGGTTGTCAAGGGGAGCAAGACCGACAGGGCGAACGGCGGCGCCCGGCCGCCCACGCCGCCTACCCCGCCTGGCTGCGACTCCCCGGCACCCGCAGCGGCGGTAGCGGCTGCGTCGGCGCACCTGCAGGCGGCCGCTGTACGACAACAGCCTCTTCATCTCCCGAACCCCGAGGCCCCAGGCTGGTCCAGATGGCTGGAGCCGGATAGCGCACCCCCGGCTCCACCACCGCCCCAGCCCGCATCCAAGCAGCAGCAGCAGCCCCATGCGACCGCAGCTGCGGCGGGAGGAGGAGGAGGATCTGGCAAGGCAGCCGGTAAGGCGGGCGGCAAGTTTGCTAAGACCAAGGGCGCCAGCACCACCACGCACCCGCCTCCTGCCGCCGCCGCCTCCCCCACGGCAGCAGAGGAGGTGGAGCGGGTGGCGGTACGGCCGCACTTTGAGCTGCTGCCGCCGTCGTTGGCAGCGAAGGCTGCTGCTGCTTCCGCCGCCGCCTCCGGCACCGCCTCGGCCGCCAGCAGCGGCGAATGGACCCTGCGAGTACGACTGCCGGGGGTTCGGTCGGCGCGGGATATCAAGATGGCGGCAACCTCTGCTCCTGCAGCTGCGGCCCTTTATGCGGACGCCGAGCGAGGGGAGCAGCCGCAGCAGGAGGGGGCAGTTGGGGGGCTTATGCGAGCTGCGGGTCGTGTGCGCGTGTGGGTGACGGGTAGCTACAGCCTGGACCTTAGACTAGGGCTGCGGGAGAGGAGGGGTGACCTGGGAGCGGGCGTTGGGGCGGCAGGCGGGGTGTGGGAGGTGGTGGAGGTGGAGGCGGGGGCTGGGGTGGTTATGGAGGCTGTGGAGGCAGGTGTCCCGGTGGTGCCGGCTGCGGGTGTGGGCGGTGTGCGGCTGGAGGTGCTGCGGCCGCGCTGGAGGCCTGGGTCGTGCACACTGCTGGTGCCGCTGCAGCTGCGGGGCTAGGAGGGCGGGGGCCTCCGCTCTCCTAGCGGGAAGGGGGGAGGTAGTACAGGAAAGTGAAGGAGACTAGTGCGGGTGGGGGTAAATGCAGGAGGGGTGTGGGAGGCAGGGACCCCAGGAAGCCGTGCAGAGAAAGGGAGGAAGGTAGCAGGGGAGGGGAGTCTTCGCAGGGTTAGCAGCGAGGTGAGGGGCATAGGCTGGTGCCGCGCGGTAGTTTCGCGCGGTAGTGGCAGGCAGCTACCGAATGAACGGGTGCGCTGTGTAGCTCTCCAAGAGAAGTCGCGGCGGACGTTAGCCCGACGACCGGTAGCTCATGAACTTACTGGAGGGCCGCGTTGAGCCCACCCTAAGAACCGCAACACGTTTTCGAACAGATTATCCTACTAGACTTTAGCCTCTATGACGTATGAGGCGTGCTTGGCATCCAGTGCAATGCTAGCAGCTGACGATGTAAGTGCGGGTGCTTTGCCAGTCAACGGTCGCCAATAGAGCAGGTTTATCCTAAGGGCCCTAATGTCAGGAAACGGTAGCAAGGTGGTGCTAGAACGTAGCAGAAGAGTTTCATTTGCGGCCTTTTGGGGTGGTCCATGGCCCTTTTGCGCGCTGCCCAGTGCTCTGGGTCTCTCTGCAGTACCCCATGGCGACGCAACTCACACAACGACACAACTACCGAATAAGCTGTTCCTACTAGTTCTTCTTTTGCAGCATACTTACCAGGTGGGGCGCTGGACATGCCTGGCAGTCTGAAGGACAGAGAGCGCCAGCTGAGAGCTGTAGAGCCAGCTGAGGAGACTGCATTTGCACTGCTTGGCTACCGCCTATCTCGAGGAGCTCTCAACGCCGCAATATATCCTGACGTCTAGGGCCCCTGGCAATGTTTGGGCCGCTGCCCGCAAAGCCCTAGCTAGAGTGCGCCAGGCAACGTGGCAGCCTATCCTTGGATGGAAGGACCTCTTGCCTCCACAACCTCCTCAGCACCAAATTTAATGTATAGGAGCCACTGGTAACCTAGATTGTATTGAACGCTTGCTCTTGTGATGATTTCATAAACAGCGGTTCCCCCCTCGCAATCTGCTGCGACGTGTGGTTCCTGGCGCCGTCTACCTGGGTTAGGATGCTCCAGTAGACGCGTTGCACGGTACATTGCTTTACTGTAGAACCCTTTGGAACTAGACTTACGCTGTGTTCGTGGCAACCGTTCAGCCTCGAGACATACACATAGCAAAATTAACTTCTTAGGATTTACATTCCTTAGCCTCACAAGTACGCGCCAGCAGCTCCCTGCCAGCCGCGAGTCGTTGTCGGCCGGCTGTGCTGGCATGGTTTCGAATGCGTCCAAGGTGGCAAACGCCGCGACATACCGACTGTAACGTTGTTGGTTTACATGGCTTGATTCTTTATCTAGGGTGTCTCACAAAAATTATGCTGCATCGCTGGAAAATGCGAGGGGGCACCAAGGTTGCTCAACAACTTCTAGCCACCAAGAGTATATATTTTCGGTGAAACGTGCACAGGTTACTTAGTCGTTTAACTAAATAAGCAATTGCAGGTGCCTGCCCCTTACACGAGAAGGCGAACCGGCTGACGCGTCAACCGCCAAACTAAAATGCAATCATAAGCCGTCTCTGAAAACAGCTGACGCCTTCTGCAAAGAAGTTCTGACAGAAAGTTTGTGTTGCTTCGTGAGGATGTTAACACGTTCATTCCTAGGCGTCATTGTCGCGACTGCAGGCCTTCCGTCAACCCAGAACGGCGTTGGATTCTTCGCAAGAAACCAAATTACTTAAAGTAATAAATAGCCTTTTGGGTTTGTGTGCCGCATGACAACTTGAACCTTTGTGATGACCAGTCCTAGGAAGTCGAGTGTCACGTACACTGACGCGATAAAGCGCAAGATCCCCCAATTGATAACATTCCGAAACGGCCGTCAGCTCATACTTCAACAAGGTTGTTAACTCCACTAACTGGAGCGATCAGCCATTGCGGTTAGAGATGTCCCAAGTTATTGCACGTTCAACATGCAACCGACCGGTAGCCGCGGTAGGGGCTTGGCCCCCGCGCTCGCCAGCACAACGATATTTTAGGACAACCTGTAAGCCTGCGCTGCACCACGGCTGCACTCCCCGCCGGTCGCTGGTCGTGCGCCACAGTTACAACCAGGACCGTGCCGGCGAGGTGCCATCCTCGCCAAGCAAATTCCAACCGCTCGAGGCGGACTCAGGTGGTGCCTCTTTCGTTAAGCCATCTGAGCCTCTGCTGGCAGGTCAGGTTGGCGAGCCGGAACCACAGCAAAAGCTGGCGGACGAGGCAACAGCGGCTTTGGGAGCTGCTGTTGGAGAGCAAGGTACGCGCCTGCTGCACGTGTAAGCGTTATGCAAACCACTGTATATAAACACGGTCCTAATTTGCTGTCCTTCCTCAGCTGAGAGCCAGGAGCTGCTGGTCGCGCAGCAGCCGATGTGGACCAGCGGTAGTGCAACGGCGAACGCTGCCGGTGAGACCACGGAAGGTGTGCACCTGCCCGAGCGCTACACGCTGCCGTGCTGCAAAACATATATACAGTATTATTACCTGTTGATACTGTCGTTCGCATTACTTATCTTTCAATTCCCTCTCACATCTGAGATATGTCGCGATGCTTGCATTGTGGCACTGCCAGCCTTGCACTCTGGAGCTACAACCTATCCACCTGCCATTCCTGCAACCTGCCTTGCTGCAGCAGGTGTGCCTGCTGAGGCTGCCCAGCCCGAACCCCTGTCGGTTGCGGACATGCGCTCATGGCAGCTGCAGGATCCTCCAATCTCAGAGAAGCAAATGACCTATCTTCTGGACTTGGGGCACCCGCGGGAACAGCTGGGATCCATCACCAAGTCGGAGGCGTCATGGATGATCACCCGCGACAAAGGCATGCTGCAATGGGTGAGTTCAGAGCTGCAGGTGGAACGTTGCTGTAACGACAACAGTGCTTGCTGGGTGAAACTGGGGTTATGCACGCTGCGTGCTTTTCAGCACTTGCGTTGTATAGCACTGCACCATCCACTCAATGCGGCGTTACAGCATTTGGGTCATTTGCCTTGCTACCAGCCACACATGTTGACCTGCTTGGCATACCTCATAATTATCGTACACGCCTGCATGTTCCATGCCCGAACCGCGCCCTCCCGCCCCCACCCTCAACCCGCGCAGTATTTGGAGAACAATGGCAACTGCCATCCCATGTGCGGTCGCCGATTCGACCAGCTGCGCGGCCTAGGCGTGGAGGTAGTGGAGACGCCGTTTAGGCTGCGAAGGACCCTGCCGCAAGCGGCGTCCATCATCTCCGTCATGAAGTCTATCAAGGTGAGCCTAGTTGCAGCGGGGCCCCACATAGGGCCGCGCGCGAGGGGGCTGCATGCAGGCAGGGGGCAGTTGCAGCCCTTAGGTGGCACTTAGGTGGATTGTAACGGCGGCGGCTTGCGGGTGGTTGTCACACGGGTTGTACCTAGAACGATTTCTAGCCCTCGGAGGGAGCGCGCGCGCCTTGCCTTGAGGCAGTGATGCAGGCGGGCAGCAGCCAGCAACGGGTTGCCACCCCTTGCAACCCTTCAACGGCGCCCAGCAGTTGCTTGGCACTGTCTGCTTGCTTGTTTCGTACTACTGCCTTGGCGCTAGCACCCCCGACAACCGGTCAATCATTCCCCCAGTTGGGTTGCGCGCGATGGTGCTGTGGAGGTCAAGGTTTACCGGGGATGTACATGTTGAACCCCTCATTCACGTTGCCCTTCCCTTTGCCCCTGCCGCCCCTAGTCGGAGAAGGCCGGGGCCGAAGAGGCCAAGGAGAACCCCATGACTGACCGGCAGCGGGCCCGCCTGACGCGGATGGGGCTGGTGGTGCGTGTGCCGCTCAGCAGCCGGCAGGCGGGGCTGCTCATCTCGGTGGCGGCGCAGGGCGACCGCCTCCAGGCGGCGGCGCGGCGTCAGCTCAGGCAGCGGTACTACATAACGCGGCCGGTACGTCGTTTGAACTTGCTTAGACTAAAAGAGGGGAGGGACGCGTTACCTTTGGCGGCCACCAGGGGTATGTGCACTCAGCTGGTGGGGAGTGAGTGCTTACATACCGGTGGCTAGTTGATTGCTTGCCCGGCGCCAGGCTGCGTGCTCGCTTTGTTGCTATGTAAATTGTTTGCGCCTGTGTTTGCGCCGGGAATGAATGGGTGATGGGAACCCAGTAGATGCACACTATCTATGTCCGCACTCTACCTGCTGGGTGTTAACGTTCCTTGCTGAATGCTGCCCCAGACCGCAACTAACGGTTCCATCGCCCCGTGCCATCCACTCATACCCAGCAGCAAGACTGACGGCCTATCTGAGGCCAAGCTGCCGGCGACCTTCCGGCCGCTGGAGCATCTGCGTCCCCGCCCGTGCTGGCGTGCATGCATGCTTCTTCTTTCCATGCGTTCTGTGGGCAACCGGCGAGCGAGGGAAGCTCGCATCTGTTTGCAACCCACCGGCGAGGCGTCTGCGTGTTGCGTCGATCTGTGGCAACCGCACTCTCGGCGGCGGCCCATGGGATCGTGGCATTCTGCTAAGTTTTGCTCCGTGAGGTGTGGCGTTTGTTTGTCGTAAGGTTGCTTCCTAATTAAGCAACACGGTAACTTACTTACCTTATCTATTCTGCTACCGCCTTAGCTAGTTACCTAAATCGGTAGCGGTAGGAAGTTGCTGAAGCTGTGCTAGTGCAAATAAATGGGCCATTGCGCATGTGTTGGTAGTAGGCAGCAGTTGCGCATCTAGAATCTAGTGCGTGGACTGAAGGAGATCTATCATGGCTAGATAGCAAGGTTTGGAAGACGCATGCATATGACATGACACCGACTCCAGCTCTTAGCCACCTCATGGCCTATGTATGGGGAGTCCGTAGCCGTAACTGTGGCGCGAAATGGATGCCAGGTGGCACTCCAGCCCCTTAAAATAGCATGTTTGACCGGGTTCCATGCTGCATGCCCCGTCCAACTAGCACGTTCGCCCCTGCCACGCATGCATATGGCTTGACACCGACTCCAGCTCTTAGCCACCTCATGGCCTATGTATGGGGAGTCCGTAGCCATGACTGTGGCACGAAATGGATGCCGGGTGGCCCTCCAGCCCCTCAAAACAGCATGTTTGACCGGGTTCCATGCTGCATGCCCCGTCCAACTAGCACGTTCGCCCCTGCCACGCATGCATATGACTTGACACCGACTCCAGCTCTTAGCCACCTCATGGCCTATGTATGGGGAGTCCGTAGCCGTAACTGTGGCGCGAAATGGATGCCGGGTGGCCCTCCAGCCCCTCAAAACAGCATGTTTGACCGGGTTCCATGCTGCATGCCCCGTCCAACTAGCACGTTCGCCCCTGCCACGCATGCATATGACTTGACACCGACTCCAGCTCTTAGCCACCTCATGGCCTATGTATGAAGAGTCCGTAGCCGTGACTGTGGCACGAAATGGATGCCGGGTGGCGTTTCTTGCGCATGGAGCCCTGACCATGGGCTCTGAGCATGCTCAGAGCATGCTCAGAGCCCATATACTGGGCTCGTTGTTCCTGGGTGGGGCCCGGGTTGTCTAATGCCCCTCGCGATTGCTGCATAGCTAAACGACGACGTTAACCTATCCAGTGCGGTGGTTACCTGCCTGGAAATGCGTGCCTTGTGCATGGAGCCCTGATCATGGGCTCTGAGCATGCTCCGAGCATGCTCAGAGCCCATATACTGGGCTTGATGTTCCTAGGTGGGGCCCGGGATGTCTAATGCCCCTCGCGATTGCTGCATAGCTAAACGACTGCGTTTGCCTATCCAGTGCGGCGGTTACATGCCTGGAAATGCGTGCCTGCGCATGGAGCCCTGATCATGGGCTCTGAGCATGCTCCGAGCATGCTCAGAGCCCATATACTGGGCTTGATGTTCCTAGGTGGGGCCCGGGATGTCGAATGCCCCTCGCGATTGCTGCATAGCTAAACGACTACGTTTGCCTATCCAGTGCGGCGGTTACATGCCTGGAAATGCGTGCCTTGTGCATGGAGCCCTGATCATGGGCTCTGAGCATGCTCCGAGCATGCTCAGAGCCCATATACTGGGCTTGATGTTCCTAGGTGGGGCCCAGGATGTCTAATGCCCCTCGCGATTGCTGCATAGCTAAACGACTGCGTTTGCCTATCCAGTGCGGCGGTTATATGCCTGGAAATGCGTGCCTGCGCATGGAGCCCTGATCATGGGCTCTGAGCATGCTCCGAGCATGCTCAGAGCCCATATACTGGGCTTGATGTTCCTAGGTGGGGCCCGGGATGTCGAATGCCCCTCGCGATTGCTGCATAGCTAAACGACTACGTTTGCCTATCCAGTGCGGCGGTTACATGCCTGGAAATGCGTGCCTTGTGCATGGAGCCCTGATCATGGGCTCTGAGCATGCTCCGAGCATGCTCAGAGCCCATATACTGGGCTTGATGTTCCTAGGTGGGGCCCAGGATGTCTAATGCCCCTCGCGATTGCTGCATAGCTAAACGACTGCGTTTGCCTATCCAGTGCGGCGGTTATATGCCTGGAAATGCGTGCCTGCGCATGGAGCCCTGATCATGGGCTCTGAGCATGCTCCGAGCATGCTCAGAGCCCATATACTGGGCTTGATGTTCCTAGGTGGGGCCCAGGATGTCTAATGCCCCTCGCGATTGCTGCATAGCTAAACGACTACGTTTGCCTATCCAGTGCGGCGGTTATATGCCTGGAAATGCGTGCCTTGTGCATGGAGCCCTGATCATGGGCTCGCTCTGAGCATGCTCCGAGCATGCTCAGAGCCCATATACTGGGCTTGATGTTCCTAGGTGGGGCCCAGGATGTCTAATGCCCCTCGCGATTGCTGCATAGCTAAACGACTGCGTTTGCCTATCCAGTGCGGCGGTTATATGCCTGGAAATGCGTGCCTGCGCATGGAGCCCTGATCATGGGCTCTGAGCATGCTCCGAGCATGCTCAGAGCCCATATACTGGGCTTGATGTTCCTAGGTGGGGCCCGGGATGTCGAATGCCCCTCGCGATTGCTGCATAGCTAAACGACTACGTTTGCCTATCCAGTGCGGCGGTTACATGCCTGGAAATGCGTGCCTTGTGCATGGAGCCCTGATCATGGGCTCTGAGCATGCTCCGAGCATGCTCAGAGCCCATATACTGGGCTTGATGTTCCTAGGTGGGGCCCAGGATGTCTAATGCCCCTCGCGATTGCTGCATAGCTAAACGACTGCGTTTGCCTATCCAGTGCGGCGGTTATATGCCTGGAAATGCGTGCCTGCGCATGGAGCCCTGATCATGGGCTCTGAGCATGCTCCGAGCATGCTCAGAGCCCATATACTGGGCTTGATGTTCCTAGGTGGGGCCCGGGATGTCGAATGCCCCTCGCGATTGCTGCATAGCTAAACGACTACGTTTGCCTATCCAGTGCGGCGGTTACATGCCTGGAAATGCGTGCCTTGTGCATGGAGCCCTGATCATGGGCTCTGAGCATGCTCCGAGCATGCTCAGAGCCCATATACTGGGCTTGATGTTCCTAGGTGGGGCCCAGGATGTCTAATGCCCCTCGCGATTGCTGCATAGCTAAACGACTGCGTTTGCCTATCCAGTGCGGCGGTTATATGCCTGGAAATGCGTGCCTGCGCATGGAGCCCTGATCATGGGCTCTGAGCATGCTCCGAGCATGCTCAGAGCCCATATACTGGGCTTGATGTTCCTAGGTGGGGCCCAGGATGTCTAATGCCCCTCGCGATTGCTGCATAGCTAAACGACTACGTTTGCCTATCCAGTGCGGCGGTTATATGCCTGGAAATGCGTGCCTTGTGCATGGAGCCCTGATCATGGGCTCGCTCTGAGCATGCTCCGAGCATGCTCAGAGCCCATATACTGGGCTTGATGTTCCTAGGTGGGGCCCAGGATGTCTAATGCCCCTCGCGATTGCTGCATAGCTAAACGACTGCGTTTGCCTATCCAGTGCGGCGGTTATATGCCTGGAAATGCGTGCCTGCGCATGGAGCCCTGATCATGGGCTCTGAGCATGCTCCGAGCATGCTCAGAGCCCATATACTGGGCTTGATGTTCCTAGGTGGGGCCCGGGATGTCGAATGCCCCTCGCGATTGCTGCATAGCTAAACGACTACGTTTGCCTATCCAGTGCGGCGGTTACATGCCTGGAAATGCGTGCCTTGTGCATGGAGCCCTGATCATGGGCTCTGAGCATGCTCCGAGCATGCTCAGAGCCCATATACTGGGCTTGATGTTCCTAGGTGGGGCCCGGGATGTCTAATGCCCCTCGCGATTGCTGCATAGCTAAACGACTGCGTTTGCCTATCCAGTGCGGCGGTTATATGCCTGGAAATGCGTGCCTGCGCATGGAGCCCTGATCATGGGCTCTGAGCATGCTCCGAGCATGCTCAGAGCCCACAACCTGGGCCGAAATCGCGAGCATGCTCAGAGCCCATAATCCTGGGCTTTAATGCGAGCATGCTCAGAGCCCACAATCCGGGCGAGGACCTTACTGGGAAGACAAGAAGGTTTGGAAGCTGGATGGGGAGTTGATTGATGCGGTGGCTTACTATTGTGTACAATAGTAGATCATATAGAGCATGTTGTCGCCATGGCATTGCAAGATGCGTCAGAGTTTGTATGGTTGTCATCTGGTGACGTACAAGCCGAGCGGTATTGAGAGTACGGCCAAGGTGCGAGTGCACGGCAGGTGGGATTGGTCCTTGGAGGTACAATTTGTTAAAGGGCCCCTGTCTCTCTTCATCGCCTTTCTTCCATGCACTCTATGATCCACCTGCTACCGCCGCCAAGCAGCTAGGGCATGCCGTAGGAAGGCATGCATGCGTTTACTTATGTTTCTCGCCAAGGGACCGAGGGGGGGCAGAAAGTCTTTGCCAAACCCCATGCCTAAAACTGTTAAGAAAGGGGTACCGGACCAGAGGGGGCTGGAGTAAGAGAAGGCCCCGGAGCCACCCACCCACCTGCAAGCATGTCCTTAAACCGCCAAAACGCCCGGGAAGAAAGCGTTAGGTTCCTTTGTGCAAACTCTATTACATGCAACTCCGTACTCCTTGGGAAGGCGCGCACACAAGTTCCGCCTCGCGGCCAGTATTATTTACACAAGTTATTGTCACAACGTTGCACCAGGGATCGCTAAGGTAACCATGTTCTTGGCCCCAGTTCACCCCCGAAGTCTAATTGGCGCCTAGGAGGCACCACGGCCCTTCCGCTTGCCTCTACCATTGCCAGCAGTTATGTTTTTACCAATCGACACGGCGGCACCACCACGTCCCAGGCCCCTGCCCCTGCCTCGTCTTCCCCCTTAAGCGTCGGGCCCTCGACTATAGCCCCTGGCATCACTTTCCACGCCTGCTTCATCCTGTACACTACATCCCCACCCAATTATACGTGGTCACAGTCAGTGTTTCCTCGCGACTCAGTCTGTCTACCCCAACCCTTCCTCCCCAGTCGTGTTTCACATCTATGGGGCCGTGGCTTGGGACATGCATGCTGCTATCGTGCTATGTCAGGCCTTCCACCAAGGGCCGACTAACCGCGTTCGCGATATATACTTTCTATGTATGTTGCTTCTTATAGGTTTGTGAACTGGGAACTTCCATTCGGCTACTGCGGTTCAGAGGTCAAGTGTCATGCATCGGAATAGAAGTGATCATTTTGGTACAAACTTAGTTCTACGTATAAACCAGACCGAAGCGATCTCATGGCCTGCCCAAATGGGTTTGTAGCATGGAGGGGTGACGGTGCGGTGGGGTGGTTGGGTGCGTTTTTGCAGCTGTTGACGAGGGCGGCGCGTGGGAGTCACATGTGGGATGGTGAGCTTGCGGCGTAGGGACGTGGTTGTGGGCGTTTACATGGGCGAGCGTAAGGCACAAATTGTGCCCATGGGCACGTTGCACCAGCTAGCCAGGCGTCTGTGGCCCTCGGGGGGAAGTTGTGTTGCTGAGGAGGGTCACAAGCGTGTGACTATCCGAGCCGTCATCTCCCTCGTCCTCCCCATCCCAGCCTGCATCCTCATCATCGTCGCTAAAGGATTCCTGTACAAGCCTGTACTTTTTCAGAAATGCACTCACAACAAACAACGTACCTATACCGCCCTCCTCTTGAGCGCGGCTTGCAACATGGTGACCTTCGTCTATGCAAAGATGCATTGTCGTCAGCGAAACAGTGGTTACCGTTATAGGCTTCACTATGAGCAACCATGCCTTTTTGAATTTGTTCCTTCCGCCGTCGTTTCCGCACCATGCGTGCTGTAACACTGGGCCGCCCCATTTCAAGCAGCACTATCTGTGGCGAAGCTTTCCTTCTCAGTAGCCACGATCGTGTGTCATGCTTGTTTAGAAGCCTGCTCATCTTCAGTACACCACCGACAGCGTTTTTTGGGTGGTGGCGGACCAGACTTCTCCACTTCGTTAACAGCTGCTTCATAGGTGCCGCTACCAAGCCTTAATCCTTTACCACGATTAGTGTTGTAAATAAAGGTCTCTAGTTGCGTCGTTGTAACATTGGCAAATCGAGAGTCGTTCCTCAAGCTTCTGTAAGTTGCTTGACAGTAACTTTTCCAATATCTACAGCTATACGTTCTGCAGCTTGTTGCAGCGCAAGCAGTTGGTCATCAGTCCAGCGGCGTTTGCCCATGCTGCTTCATAGCAACACACTAACAGCAGAAGTATTATAACGGTACTGTGAAACGCTTCACTGTGTATAACTACAACGACTATCCGTCATCAACAAGGGATGCCAAACAGCCACTGTAAGGAAGCACGTGTACGACAGCCCCTTTAAGAACAGCAACGTTACGCCTTAACAACAGACAACAGGAAAACACGTAAGATAGTTGTTTCGAACATTCACTGTACCGAAGCATAACACCAACTTCATTTCCATGACCCGTTACATTGTTGTAGCCTGCGTGTGATAACAACTGTTCTTCAAGATTCCGTGGCTTACACATAGCAATAGTTTGGAAACATTGTCAATGTTATGGCTTCGTGCGCGATGTTACCTAAATAGGAAATTTCCAGGGGACCTTAAGTCCCGGTATTCCCTATGGCTTTTCCCTTGCTTCCACGGCGCGGCCTATCGGAGCGCCTAGAACCAAGGGCAGGCCAAAAAGGAAGAAAGCATCCGGTACCACACGGTGGGGCTGCCAGCAGGCTGCCAAGATCACTGCTCTCTGATTTACAGTCGACGCATTTCGCCGTAGCGCTTAGAAGCATTCCATGCATTGTCAGGGACGCCTAACTGGTTTGTTTCAAACCACCTGCCGTTGCGTCCCTCCCATGACCCTGCCATCGATACGGCTGCGTCCCCTGCCCTAGGTAGTTGGGTTTGCACCCCAGCGCCTTCAGGACAAATCGATCACGCACGACACCCAATGCCCCGGCTGGGGTTTCCGCGCCTCCTCCCTCAGCAGCAGGTGTGTCGTCAGAACGCCGCCCTGCCCCTTCCACCGTGCCCCCTTTTGTGCTTTCAATTTGTTTGGTATTTTAAGACCCCTTCCACCTAAATTTCTGCCCCTGCTTGCTTTGCCTCTTGTCCCTCTGCTTTGCTGGCTGCGGCCCGTGTTTAGGGCGTACGATGGATGTAACCTCACCGCAACCACCCCGCATTAAGGCTGGAAGCGCATGCCAGTAGATGAAGGTTTTGGAGAGTTTGATTATGAGTCTCCCTAAACCACTTACTTGCCTTTTTCCACTCCCCATCAGCCCCCTTCAGTGTACCCATGACCCCATCTGACCTCTTCTCCTCCCACCACTTTTGCTTCACCCATCAAAACTCTGGTAGTGATTTAGCCGGAATCCTTTATGAACACTTCCAACCCTGGATTATTATTCGTTTAGCAAAAGCGTTTTCGGTAATACCTAGGGGGAAATAGATACGGTTGTTACGGGCTCGTGTGCGTGAGTCTGGTTCTGCGGGTGTTGTGTCTGGGCTTGCTGATGTGGTGGCCCTGTCTGCTGTTTCCTGGTTCTGGGGTCAGCTTCGGGGTTTTGCTTGTTTGGGTGTTCCCCGTCGGGGATGGGCTGGGGTTGGCCCTTCTCATCCTTTCTTACGTAATGTTGGCGGGCGGCTTTCTGCGTGCCGTTGAGCGTCCTGTTTTGGCCCTGTCTTTGGGGTGGTGTGTTCGTGGCTTCCGGTTTCGGTTGTCTTTTGCCCTAACGGTGGTTTGTCGAGGTTTGCTGAGGGGCCGTTTCTTGGCTTCTACCCTCTTACTTGCCTCCTGTGGCTTCTTTTAGGGCTATGTCTCCCATCTTGTTGGCCCGTTCTGGTACTGTTTTTACGGTTTGTTCCGTTTCTTTTGCAATGTAGGGTTGGGTTCATCACCCGTGTTCCCTTTTAGGGCACCATTGTAACGGTCATTCATTCAGGAAGGGCTGTCGAGTGTTGGCCTGGGTGCGCTGGGCGTGTCAGGGGCCCCAGCTTTTCCCCCGTGCCATGCATGTGATGGTGCGATAGCCGCTCACATAAGACCAGGCGATCTGCTGGAATTGTACCAGGACACTCTGGCTGATGAGGTACGGACGTAGGATCCCCTGCTAGCCGATACTAACCTCATTAACAATGAACCGCGTACCGGTACGGAAACCATTGCCTTTACCCGCAGGACACGCAAGAGGCGCCAGTTATGGAATATTGATTGTATCAAATCCGATATTATGAGGGGGAAGCGGTTTGCCAATACTTGAGACCTAAATTAGCTCTAGCGCTTGATGTGACTTACAAATCTTCAAAGAACTCTCCATCATTGTCGCTATCTTTCCACAGAGCATTTTGTCTGAGTCGTTGTCTGACGAAAACACACGCTGAAGAGGGCAGCTAAAAGCAGGGTAGCCGAAATCCGCCCTCCCCAGGCAAACGGGACGAAATAGGCCTCCTTTCTTTCGTTGTATCCGCAAAGTAGGCCCACATAATTTCGTATTAAAAGCGCACTTTCTTAAATATTTCGTCGCTAGACCAGGCTAGGCTCCAAAATAGCAATATACCGGTACCGGCACTGCGGTCTCCATGGAGCGAAGAAGTCCCTAAAGTTATACTTCAGTTAAAGCTTCGGTATCGCTTTAATTAATATATTTCCCCCATAAGTAGGGTTTCGTTAAAAGGCATACAGACTGTGAAACGGTGAACATATTAGAGTTCCTTACAAGACCTAACCCTGCAGACAGCAACAGCCATGTCGCCTAGCTGTACTTAATTTTCTGCCGCGTTGGGCAATCCTGGGGCCCAGTGGAGTCGGCGCTATGATGCTGCTGCCCATCCTTGCCTTTATCAGTTGGTGCTTTGCAGCAGACGCAGCTACAAGCTGCTCTTTTGACTCGCCAATAAATGGTTGCAGCTTTAATTGGACAACATTCGCTGCCGAGAATTTCCCGAACTCGGCGCTTCATGCCTCAATTGCTGGCGTGCGAGCCAACACTCAAGAATGCCTTGTGCATGCGAAAGGATCCGTGTTTGTACCTCATGTCAGCGACATGGACATATCAACGTTGCGCGCTGCTGGTGACGTCGCTCGCTTCTGCCCATCGGCTGGCTGCAAGCTCTACAAAATACAAGATCCCAGGCTTCTTGATCCTTACGGAATGTCAGTTTTCCTACCTTGTGTTTCCTCTTCCGCCCCATCTTCGGTTGCCGACTTTTTCCTTTCTGATGGGGACTGTGCCAACGATGCCCTTGCCAAGCGCCAGAATGAGCAAGGGAAAATTGTTGACATGACCAATCAAGACGTGCTAGAAACGATGTGGTGGACCTCGGCATGCCTAAATCGCACAAGCACCACAAAGCGGGTAAGTCGGGCCAGTGTAATAGTATTCTTGTCAACCTTCCTGATACCTAATGATACTAGGAGTTGTCGTGCGGTGGATTCAGGCAAATGCTCTACGTCATGAGCTGAGTGGTGTTTTACCCGTTAGGCTACATACCATTAGGCTCTGCAAGTTGTGCGTTGCTGTACCTAGCCGATCGAGGGTTGGGACGTGCCCGCCCTCTACCTAATAGCGGACTTGCGCTTATGAACCCGTGATTCCTTTCTTGCGGCCCGCAACCCCTGACTACTCATTGTCTCTCCGCACTGCGTGCCGTAGGTGTTTGCAGCCATCTTAGCACCTGTCCTCGGGGACAGTCCGGCGCGTGTCTACAACGCATTAAGCGATTTCCTTTCGGCCAGTGACCTCTGCATGGATTCAGCAGCTTTCAACGTGTCATGCTCAGAGCGCTTACTCGGGCTTCATCCACCAAATAGTACTTCCTGTGATGCGCAAGACGTTAACGACCTCGAAGGTTGTTGTGGGCTGCAAGACACCCTCAACGGGGCTAACTTGGGCGTCTCTGGGAGGCTTCCATCCGACTTTACCCTCGCTCGCAACAGGACGAATCTCTCGGACAACCCCCAGCTCTGCGGACTCGTCTCTACAATGTCTCCAAGGTCGCGGCTGTCTAACAGCCCGCCGCCGTATGTTGAGCTATACAACAGCAAGGTTCAGTTAGACCTGCCAGCACTGCAAGACCAGTACCCTCGCTACGCGCTCCATGTCATATCCTGGCTTGGCAATTGCTCCTTGACTCGGGACAACCTGGCTGTAAAGCCGCTGGATGATGCTACAGGTGTGCTGGCATGCGCGCTCTTAAAGTACAACGGATTAACCATCCAGGCGCCGCTGGCAGATCCATCCATTGCAGTCCGCCACCCCTACCAGCAGTTGCTGGTGATCCATATGGATAATGACAATCAGGCCCGAGCGCTGGAGGAGTATAACGCCTTTGTGAAGCTGGTGTCTACCGGGCTGCTGTGTGGGCCGTCAGGGGAGCTCTACCGGGCAGTCAAGGTTGTCATTACATTTGCTTGCGCTTTCGGAGCTGCCGCAGTTTGGACCTTCATCAGCCGATGTACAGGGTGGCTGTGGGCACAGTGTGCAGCAGGGAGGAGCCCCTTGTGGAATGCCGTGTTGTTCATCGTTGACGTTGGCCCCTTGCTGTATGACGGTAAGCAAGCAACCGCCGCTTGCGTGTACACCGTCGTTTCTAATGCAGCTGAGGATAAGCTTAAAATGATAAATGCCTGCTGTGTACACCTTTGTTTCCTAATGCAGCTGCGCAATACGCTTGCCATAATGCACGCATGCTGCAAACGTAATGCATAGTCGTTCTGGCTCAGCATGCATGCATGCACGCAAAGTACTGACATTGCCGCGTAAATGTTTGGCAACGACTCTGCGGCAGGTAGCCTAAGCGCCATCCGCCATAACCGCCGCCTCTCTCCACGTGTTTCCTGCTTGCAGAAGTATCGGACTGGCTGTTTGTGTCAGCGCTTGTGTCGTACGGCAACGTCTTCGGCACTGCCATTCTGGTAGGCCTCTTAGTGCTGAAAAATGGCATTATATGCGCTGTCGTTGGTGGAATCATTTTGTTTAGTGAATGGTTTGGGCCGAAGGAAGATTTGGAGGGGCAGAAGCAAGGAGGGACAGGAGGGACAGGAGGGGCAGGACGGACAGGGACGAGAAGGAAATGGGTCCTCCTTATTGGTTTAATCATCGTGTTGTTGGGGCTTGTGATGCTGGGGGGTGGAGCCTATGGTGCAGTGCAGAATGTGGGTAGGGTCAACGCCAGCCGCAAGGGAAGGTTTTGCTACGAGGACGCCCTGCTCCTCATGGAGTGGGGCATTGGCTTGTCAGCGCCCGGCATAGTCGCGGACATGACGTATGCGGTCTTCCTTCGCTTCAAGGCCGCCGAGGAGGGTAGGAATGGCCCAAAACCAGCGACTGAAGCGTATGAGCGGCTGCATATATCGTTCTGCGCGGCAGAGGATTTTCCGCAAGCCATTGCACAGGCTATCCTATGGGTGAAGGGCTTAGCCCTTACCACCACAACGGACTTCCTCATATCTGCAGCCCCTGCGTACTACGGAATCTCCATAGTCGTGCTGAGGTTGTCTCTGAATCGCCTGCGGCGGACACAAGAGCAGGAGTCGAATACGGTCGCCAGTCCGTAGGCGATGTGGATGTTCTGGTAGGTAGGTAGGTAGGTAGGTAGGTAGAGGCGGTTCGAATGTAAAACCTGAGTTGTGATACCTACCTAACATTAACAATTTAGCATTATTGGGGGGCAATTAAGGACACGGGTGGTCTAAACCCATGTGTCGTTGACCACGACATGACGCCTGATGCTTAGCGTTGATTGGCTTGCAGATGCAACTACGCGCGCTGAGCCATGGATACATGGCGTGCTGCAGTGCGCTGTTATAGATGCGCAAAGTACCTGCTGTTTAGAGTATGACTGTACGCTTCTTGCATTGTGGGTGAGTCGCAACTTTGGTTTTGGGTGAGGCCACGGCTGGCAATGACTTAGTTGTTACTTGTCACTCCCGTCTAATACCAGCGTAATGCGATTCTTGGCGTATCCAATTATTCATTGACACAACCGATTAAAGGGACTGCGGACAAGACGCTCTCGGTCTGTGTAATTTATGTCCTTACTAGGACCGGCTACAGCCAGGCGTGTGCGTGTGAAGTTTGTCGTCCAAAACATGCGCATGTAGGTTTGGATGCCTTATAGGAGCACCGTTGGATGGTGCTGCAACGTGTTCGCAGCAAGCAATGCAAATGTGTGTCCAGTTATTTGCTGGAGTTTGCTTGCTGTTCATTGCTCAGATGATGACCACCGGTAGTAGATAGGACCATACTTTCTTGAAGACATCGAGCAACAGGCCATTTGCCTAAGGGACCTAGTGCGAGAAGGTATTGTTGGACGGACGTTGCTGTCCACACTGACCAGACCGAAGCGATCTCATGGCCTGCCCAAATGGGTGTGTAGCATGGGGGGGTGACGGTGTGGTGGGGTGGTTGGGTGCGGTTTCACGGCTGTTTATGATGGCGGTGTGTGGGAGTTTGCTGCATAGCTAAACGACTGCGCGATTGCCGCATAGCTAAACGACTGCGTTTGCCTATCCAGTGCGGCGGTTACATGCCTGGAAATGCGTGCCTGCGCATGGAGCCCTGATCATGGGCTCTGAGCATGCTCCGAGCATGCTCAGAGCCCACAACCTGGGCCGAAATCGCGAGCATGCTCAGAGCCCATAATCCTGGGCTTTAATGCGAGCATGCTCAGAGCCCACAATCCGGGCGAGGACCTTACTGGGAAGACAAGAAGGTTTGGAAGCTGGATGGGGAGTTGATTGATGCGGTGGCTTACTATTGTGTACAATAGTAGATCATATAGAGCATGTTGTCGCCATGGCATTGCAAGATGCGTCAGAGTTTGTATGGTTGTCATCTGGTGACGTACAAGCCGAGCGGTATTGAGAGTACGGCCAAGGTGCGAGTGCACGGCAGGTGGGATTGGTCCTTGGAGGTACAATTTGTTAAAGGGCCCCTGTCTCTCTTCATCGCCTTTCTTCCATGCACTCTATGATCCACCTGCTACCGCCGCCAAGCAGCTAGGGCATGCCGTAGGAAGGCATGCATGCGTTTACTTATGTTTCTCGCCAAGGGACCGAGGGGGGGCAGAAAGTCTTTGCCAAACCCCATGCCTAAAACTGTTAAGAAAGGGGTACCGGACCAGAGGGGGCTGGAGTAAGAGAAGGCCCCGGAGCCACCCACCCACCTGCAAGCATGTCCTTAAACCGCCAAAACGCCCGGGAAGAAAGCGTTAGGTTCCTTTGTGCAAACTCTATTACATGCAACTCCGTACTCCTTGGGAAGGCGCGCACACAAGTTCCGCCTCGCGGCCAGTATTATTTACACAAGTTATTGTCACAACGTTGCACCAGGGATCGCTAAGGTAACCATGTTCTTGGCCCCAGTTCACCCCCGAAGTCTAATTGGCGCCTAGGAGGCACCACGGCCCTTCCGCTTGCCTCTACCATTGCCAGCAGTTATGTTTTTACCAATCGACACGGCGGCACCACCACGTCCCAGGCCCCTGCCCCTGCCTCGTCTTCCCCCTTTGGCGTCGGGCCCTCGACTATAGCCCCTGGCATCACTTTCCACGCCTGCTGCATCCTGTACACTACATCCCCACCCAATTATACGTGGTCACAGTCAGTGTTTCCTCGCGACTCAGTCTGTCTACCCCAACCCTTCCTCCCCAGTCGTGTTTCACATCTATGGGGCCGTGGCTTGGGACATGCATGCTGCTATCGTGCTATGTCAGGCCTTCCACCAAGGGCCGACTAACCGCGTTCGCGATATATACTTTCTATGTATGTTGCTTCTTATAGGTTTGTGAACTGGGAACTTCCATTCGGCTACTGCGGTTCAGAGGTCAAGTGTCATGCATCGGAATAGAAGTGATCATTTTGGTACAAACTTAGTTCTACGTATAAACCAGACCGAAGCGATCTCATGGCCTGCCCAAATGGGTTTGTAGCATGGAGGGGTGACGGTGCGGTGGGGTGGTTGGGTGCGTTTTTGCAGCTGTTGACGAGGGCGGCGCGTGGGAGTCACATGTGGGATGGTGAGCTTGCGGCGTAGGGACGTGGTTGTGGGCGTTTACATGGGCGAGCGTAAGGCACAAATTGTGCCCATGGGCACGTTGCACCAGCTAGCCAGGCGTCTGTGGCCCTCGGGGGGAAGTTGTGTTGCTGAGGAGGGTCACAAGCGTGTGACTATCCGAGCCGTCATCTCCCTCGTCCTCCCCATCCCAGCCTGCATCCTCATCATCGTCGCTAAAGGATTCCTGTACAAGCCTGTACTTTTTCAGAAATGCACTCACAACAAACAACGTACCTATACCGCCCTCCTCTTGAGCGCGGCTTGCAACATGGTGACCTTCGTCTATGCAAAGATGCATTGTCGTCAGCGAAACAGTGGTTACCGTTATAGGCTTCACTATGAGCAACCATGCCTTTTTGAATTTGTTCCTTCCGCCGTCGTTTCCGCACCATGCGTGCTGTAACACTGGGCCGCCCCATTTCAAGCAGCACTATCTGTGGCGAAGCTTTCCTTCTCAGTAGCCACGATCGTGTGTCATGCTTGTTTAGAAGCCTGCTCATCTTCAGTACACCACCGACAGCGTTTTTTGGGTGGTGGCGGACCAGACTTCTCCACTTCGTTAACAGCTGCTTCATAGGTGCCGCTACCAAGCCTTAATCCTTTACCACGATTAGTGTTGTAAATAAAGGTCTCTAGTTGCGTCGTTGTAACATTGGCAAATCGAGAGTCGTTCCTCAAGCTTCTGTAAGTTGCTTGACAGTAACTTTTCCAATATCTACAGCTATACGTTCTGCAGCTTGTTGCAGCGCAAGCAGTTGGTCATCAGTCCAGCGGCGTTTGCCCATGCTGCTTCATAGCAACACACTAACAGCAGAAGTATTATAACGGTACTGTGAAACGCTTCACTGTGTATAACTACAACGACTATCCGTCATCAACAAGGGATGCCAAACAGCCACTGTAAGGAAGCACGTGTACGACAGCCCCTTTAAGAACAGCAACGTTACGCCTTAACAACAGACAACAGGAAAACACGTAAGATAGTTGTTTCGAACATTCACTGTACCGAAGCATAACACCAACTTCATTTCCATGACCCGTTACATTGTTGTAGCCTGCGTGTGATAACAACTGTTCTTCAAGATTCCGTGGCTTACACATAGCAATAGTTTGGAAACATTGTCAATGTTATGGCTTCGTGCGCGATGTTACCTAAATAGGAAATTTCCAGGGGACCTTAAGTCCCGGTATTCCCTATGGCTTTTCCCTTGCTTCCACGGCGCGGCCTATCGGAGCGCCTAGAACCAAGGGCAGGCCAAAAAGGAAGAAAGCATCCGGTACCACACGGTGGGGCTGCCAGCAGGCTGCCAAGATCACTGCTCTCTGATTTACAGTCGACGCATTTCGCCGTAGCGCTTAGAAGCATTCCATGCATTGTCAGGGACGCCTAACTGGTTTGTTTCAAACCACCTGCCGTTGCGTCCCTCCCATGACCCTGCCATCGATACGGCTGCGTCCCCTGCCCTAGGTAGTTGGGTTTGCACCCCAGCGCCTTCAGGACAAATCGATCACGCACGACACCCAATGCCCCGGCTGGGGTTTCCGCGCCTCCTCCCTCAGCAGCAGGTGTGTCGTCAGAACGCCGCCCTGCCCCTTCCACCGTGCCCCCTTTTGTGCTTTCAATTTGTTTGGTATTTTAAGACCCCTTCCACCTAAATTTCTGCCCCTGCTTGCTTTGCCTCTTGTCCCTCTGCTTTGCTGGCTGCGGCCCGTGTTTAGGGCGTACGATGGATGTAACCTCACCGCAACCACCCCGCATTAAGGCTGGAAGCGCATGCCAGTAGATGAAGGTTTTGGAGAGTTTGATTATGAGTCTCCCTAAACCACTTACTTGCCTTTTTCCACTCCCCATCAGCCCCCTTCAGTGTACCCATGACCCCATCTGACCTCTTCTCCTCCCACCACTTTTGCTTCACCCATCAAAACTCTGGTAGTGATTTAGCCGGAATCCTTTATGAACACTTCCAACCCTGGATTATTATTCGTTTAGCAAAAGCGTTTTCGGTAATACCTAGGGGGAAATAGATACGGTTGTTACGGGCTCGTGTGCGTGAGTCTGGTTCTGCGGGTGTTGTGTCTGGGCTTGCTGATGTGGTGGCCCTGTCTGCTGTTTCCTGGTTCTGGGGTCAGCTTCGGGGTTTTGCTTGTTTGGGTGTTCCCCGTCGGGGATGGGCTGGGGTTGGCCCTTCTCATCCTTTCTTACGTAATGTTGGCGGGCGGCTTTCTGCGTGCCGTTGAGCGTCCTGTTTTGGCCCTGTCTTTGGGGTGGTGTGTTCGTGGCTTCCGGTTTCGGTTGTCTTTTGCCCTAACGGTGGTTTGTCGAGGTTTGCTGAGGGGCCGTTTCTTGGCTTCTACCCTCTTACTTGCCTCCTGTGGCTTCTTTTAGGGCTATGTCTCCCATCTTGTTGGCCCGTTCTGGTACTGTTTTTACGGTTTGTTCCGTTTCTTTTGCAATGTAGGGTTGGGTTCATCACCCGTGTTCCCTTTTAGGGCACCATTGTAACGGTCATTCATTCAGGAAGGGCTGTCGAGTGTTGGCCTGGGTGCGCTGGGCGTGTCAGGGGCCCCAGCTTTTCCCCCGTGCCATGCATGTGATGGTGCGATAGCCGCTCACATAAGACCAGGCGATCTGCTGGAATTGTACCAGGACACTCTGGCTGATGAGGTACGGACGTAGGATCCCCTGCTAGCCGATACTAACCTCATTAACAATGAACCGCGTACCGGTACGGAAACCATTGCCTTTACCCGCAGGACACGCAAGAGGCGCCAGTTATGGAATATTGATTGTATCAAATCCGATATTATGAGGGGGAAGCGGTTTGCCAATACTTGAGACCTAAATTAGCTCTAGCGCTTGATGTGACGTACAAATCTTCAAAGAACTCTCCATCATTGTCGCTATCTTTCCTCAGAGCATTTTGTCTGAGTCGTTGTCTGACGAAAACACACGCTGAAGAGGGCAGCTAAAAGCAGGGTAGCCGAAATCCGCCCTCCCCAGGCAAACGGGACGAAATAGGCCTCCTTTCTTTCGTTGTATCCGCAAAGTAGGCCCACATAATTTCGTATTAAAAGCGCACTTTCTTAAATATTTCGTCGCTAGACCAGGCTAGGCTCCAAAATAGCAATATACCGGTACCGGCACTGCGGTCTCCATGGAGCGAAGAAGTCCCTAAAGTTATACTTCAGTTAAAGCTTCGGTATCGCTTTAATTAATATATTTCCCCCATAAGTAGGGTTTCGTTAAAAGGCATACAGACTGTGAAACGGTGAACATATTAGAGTTCCGTATAAGACCTAACCCTGCAGACAGCAACAGCCATGTCGCCTAGCTGTACTTAATTTTCTGCCGCGTTGGGCAATCCTGGGGCCCAGTGGAGTCGGCGCTATGATGCTGCTGCCCATCCTTGCCTTTATCAGTTGGTGCTTTGCAGCAGACGCAGCTACAAGCTGCTCTTTTGACTCGCCAATAAATGGTTGCAGCTTTAATTGGACAACATTCGCTGCCGAGAATTTCCCGAACTCGGCGCTTCATGCCTCAATTGCTGGCGTGCGAGCCAACACTCAAGAATGCCTTGTGCATGCGAAAGGATCCGTGTTTGTACCTCATGTCAGCGACATGGACATATCAACGTTGCGCGCTGCTGGTGACGTCGCTCGCTTCTGCCCATCGGCTGGCTGCAAGCTCTACAAAATACAAGATCCCAGGCTTCTTGATCCTTACGGAATGTCAGTTTTCCTACCTTGTGTTTCCTCTTCCGCCCCATCTTCGGTTGCCGACTTTTTCCTTTCTGATGGGGACTGTGCCAACGATGCCCTTGCCAAGCGCCAGAATGAGCAAGGGAAAATTGTTGACATGACCAATCAAGACGTGCTAGAAACGATGTGGTGGACCTCGGCATGCCTAAATCGCACAAGCACCACAAAGCGGGTAAGTCGGGCCAGTGTAATAGTATTCTTGTCAACCTTCCTGATACCTAATGATACTAGGAGTTGTCGTGCGGTGGATTCAGGCAAATGCTCTACGTCATGAGCTGAGTGGTGTTTTACCCGTTAGGCTACATACCATTAGGCTCTGCAAGTTGTGCGTTGCTGTACCTAGCCGATCGAGGGTTGGGACGTGCCCGCCCTCTACCTAATAGCGGACTTGCGCTTATGAACCCGTGATTCCTTTCTTGCGGCCCGCAACCCCTGACTACTCATTGTCTCTCCGCACTGCGTGCCGTAGGTGTTTGCAGCCATCTTAGCACCTGTCCTCGGGGACAGTCCGGCGCGTGTCTACAACGCATTAAGCGATTTCCTTTCGGCCAGTGACCTCTGCATGGATTCAGCAGCTTTCAACGTGTCATGCTCAGAGCGCTTACTCGGGCTTCATCCACCAAATAGTACTTCCTGTGATGCGCAAGACGTTAACGACCTCGAAGGTTGTTGTGGGCTGCAAGACACCCTCAACGGGGCTAACTTGGGCGTCTCTGGGAGGCTTCCATCCGACTTTACCCTCGCTCGCAACAGGACGAATCTCTCGGACAACCCCCAGCTCTGCGGACTCGTCTCTACAATGTCTCCAAGGTCGCGGCTGTCTAACAGCCCGCCGCCGTATGTTGAGCTATACAACAGCAAGGTTCAGTTAGACCTGCCAGCACTGCAAGACCAGTACCCTCGCTACGCGCTCCATGTCATATCCTGGCTTGGCAATTGCTCCTTGACTCGGGACAACCTGGCTGTAAAGCCGCTGGATGATGCTACAGGTGTGCTGGCATGCGCGCTCTTAAAGTACAACGGATTAACCATCCAGGCGCCGCTGGCAGATCCATCCATTGCAGTCCGCCACCCCTACCAGCAGTTGCTGGTGATCCATATGGATAATGACAATCAGGCCCGAGCGCTGGAGGAGTATAACGCCTTTGTGAAGCTGGTGTCTACCGGGCTGCTGTGTGGGCCGTCAGGGGAGCTCTACCGGGCAGTCAAGGTTGTCATTACATTTGCTTGCGCTTTCGGAGCTGCCGCAGTTTGGACCTTCATCAGCCGATGTACAGGGTGGCTGTGGGCACAGTGTGCAGCAGGGAGGAGCCCCTTGTGGAATGCCGTGTTGTTCATCGTTGACGTTGGCCCCTTGCTGTATGACGGTAAGCAAGCAACCGCCGCTTGCGTGTACACCGTCGTTTCTAATGCAGCTGAGGATAAGCTTAAAATGATAAATGCCTGCTGTGTACACCTTTGTTTCCTAATGCAGCTGCGCAATACGCTTGCCATAATGCACGCATGCTGCAAACGTAATGCATAGTCGTTCTGGCTCAGCATGCATGCATGCACGCAAAGTACTGACATTGCCGCGTAAATGTTTGGCAACGACTCTGCGGCAGGTAGCCTAAGCGCCATCCGCCATAACCGCCGCCTCTCTCCACGTGTTTCCTGCTTGCAGAAGTATCGGACTGGCTGTTTGTGTCAGCGCTTGTGTCGTACGGCAACGTCTTCGGCACTGCCATTCTGGTAGGCCTCTTAGTGCTGAAAAATGGCATTATATGCGCTGTCGTTGGTGGAATCATTTTGTTTAGTGAATGGTTTGGGCCGAAGGAAGATTTGGAGGGGCAGAAGCAAGGAGGGACAGGAGGGACAGGAGGGGCAGGACGGACAGGGACGAGAAGGAAATGGGTCCTCCTTATTGGTTTAATCATCGTGTTGTTGGGGCTTGTGATGCTGGGGGGTGGAGCCTATGGTGCAGTGCAGAATGTGGGTAGGGTCAACGCCAGCCGCAAGGGAAGGTTTTGCTACGAGGACGCCCTGCTCCTCATGGAGTGGGGCATTGGCTTGTCAGCGCCCGGCATAGTCGCGGACATGACGTATGCGGTCTTCCTTCGCTTCAAGGCCGCCGAGGAGGGTAGGAATGGCCCAAAACCAGCGACTGAAGCGTATGAGCGGCTGCATATATCGTTCTGCGCGGCAGAGGATTTTCCGCAAGCCATTGCACAGGCTATCCTATGGGTGAAGGGCTTAGCCCTTACCACCACAACGGACTTCCTCATATCTGCAGCCCCTGCGTACTACGGAATCTCCATAGTCGTGCTGAGGTTGTCTCTGAATCGCCTGCGGCGGACACAAGAGCAGGAGTCGAATACGGTCGCCAGTCCGTAGGCGATGTGGATGTTCTGGTAGGTAGGTAGGTAGGTAGGTAGGTAGAGGCGGTTCGAATGTAAAATCTGAGTTGTGATACCTACCTAACATTAACAATTTAGCATTATTGGGGGGCAATTAAGGACACGGGTGGTCTAAACCCATGTGTCGTTGACCACGACATGACGCCTGATGCTTAGCGTTGATTGGCTTGCAGATGCAACTACGCGCGCTGAGCCATGGATACATGGCGTGCTGCAGTGCGCTGTTATAGATGCGCAAAGTACCTGCTGTTTAGAGTATGACTGTACGCTTCTTGCATTGTGGGTGAGTCGCAACTTTGGTTTTGGGTGAGGCCACGGCTGGCAATGACTTAGTTGTTACTTGTCACTCCCGTCTAATACCAGCGTAATGCGATTCTTGGCGTATCCAATTATTCATTGACACAACCGATTAAAGGGACTGCGGACAAGACGCTCTCGGTCTGTGTAATTTATGTCCTTACTAGGACCGGCTACAGCCAGGCGTGTGCGTGTGAAGTTTGTCGTCCAAAACATGCGCATGTAGGTTTGGATGCCTTATAGGAGCACCGTTGGATGGTGCTGCAACGTGTTCGCAGCAAGCAATGCAAATGTGTGTCCAGTTATTTGCTGGAGTTTGCTTGCTGTTCATTGCTCAGATGATGACCACCGGTAGTAGATAGGACCATACTTTCTTGAAGACATCGAGCAACAGGCCATTTGCCTAAGGGACCTAGTGCGAGAAGGTATTGTTGGACGGACGTTGCTGTCCACACTGACCAGACCGAAGCGATCTCATGGCCTGCCCAAATGGGTGTGTAGCATGGGGGGGTGACGGTGTGGTGGGGTGGTTGGGTGCGGTTTCACGGCTGTTTATGATGGCGGTGTGTGGGAGTTATGCTTGGGCTGACGAGGCTGCTTAGGAGAGTGGCGCTTGGGTGTCCCGTTTGGGAGGGTCAGTTGACAGCGTAGGGGCATATGAGGGTGGGGTTTACAGAGTCTAGCCGCAGGCCTGTACAGTGGCAGTTTGCTTATTGCACCAGCAAGGCTGGCGTCTGCGGCCCTCAGGAGCAAGTCGTCTTGCTAATAAGGAGTGTTCACTAAGGCTTAACCAACGTTTGTGCGCTTATATGAAGGCCGGAGCTATAGAACCTTTGTCAATGCCCCACAACTAGCAAATATTGGCAAACAACCAATAACCTACCAATGTCACCATCCTCCACACCGCTATTGTTGCTGACGTTTCCATTATCCTCTGATGAACATAGAAGACGCTGAGTTTTCGCCAACTGCCCAAGTCGGTAGTGCACTAGACTGTACGTGGCAGCACTTCCATGCAACTCCTTTACGACAGCGCCCGCTGTTACTTTTCTGTTGGTGAATTGTAGCGTGAGCACTTCTTCCTGAAACGCTGCTTCCTCGTCCGGAGTCCACGTTGAACGCTTCTTCGAAGGCTGAGTGGTAGCGTTGGGCCTAGGCCGGATATACTTTTGCCCAGCTTTGTTGTATTGCAAAAAGCTGAGAACACGTTTATACGTCAAGCCCTTCAAGCGCGTGTTGGAGCACACTTCATCATACAATAGCTTGGCTGTAAGTTTCAGTCCGCTAGAAGCAATAGTCTCGGCTGCTTTACACAGAGCCTCAACTTCATATGTTTTCCTGCATTCCCTGGCCATTGTGTGTATTGAGTAATGAAGGCAATACCGAAGCCATTTGTGTCGGCCCTATTAAACTACGCTGCTGGCCTTACCGCGACAACAACCTAACGGATACCAATGTGTAGCAAGCTATCAACATGCGCTAGAGGCCTCTTCTTTTGTAACTTGCTTTGTACTTTGTACGACACAGGCCAACATCACTGCTCACCCATATACATATCATTATTTTAACATCACAATACAACCAACACCTGTGCCATGATTATGTGACAAACGCTGCAGCTAGAAACTCCTCTCAACTCATAACCTACCGTTCTTGACTTGGAGCCACATCGCAGGTTGTCTTTGTGACTTGCATGTACACATTCAAATTTCAAACCTTTTGCACGAAAAAAGATGCCAAAAAGCTCACGCAAAAACATCTACAATTTGCCGGGGTGTTCACTAAGGCTGTTCCCTTGCTTCCAAGCCGCGGCCTAGCGGAGCGCCTGGAATCAAGGGCAGGCCAAAAACTCGAGACTTGTAGCCTGTGTTGTTATGCGATTACGGCCGAAAGACTTGGGCGTTTGCTCGTAATAAATTTAATAAAAGCGCTCATCACCGTGGGTCGATCGGTAATTAGTTTGTAGACAAACTTGCCTTCGCATGCGGCAGGTACTATATTATCTTGTTTCAGATGCTCCTGTGGACGTGGTCTTTGGTCTTCAAGTGATGTAAACAATGTTTTTACATGGTAGTGACCCATGGGTCGGACTCGGCTCCTAAGCCGCCAAGCAGGTAACTTGCCATCACAGCTTCCATAGCCATCAAACAGTTAGCTTGCCATCACCTCAAGCCTCCTTGTATACCTCCCAACCAATCAACGTATGATTCTCTCCTGGACATTCCTGAGTGCTTTCCTGATACATGCGGGCGTGCTTTAGAGCATCAGATAATACAACTAACGCTGCCCCTGAGGTTTGGCGTACATTCGCCCCCGGATCGCCTAGAATGGAGCATCCAAGTCAGCATCGATTAAAGCGTCAGACCTCACTGCATGCGCCGGAAGTTAACAGCACCGTTCCTGCGCCTGCATGACATGGGAAGGCCGCCCACTCCTACGGGCAACCTTTAACTCCCGATTGCTCGTCTGTAATTCGCTTCAGGGAGAGGAGGCAACTTGCTCGGTCTCGCAGGTCCAGCAGGAGGCCCATTTCCAGCAGCAGGTTGCCCCTCGCTTGCAGCAGGTTCGCTACTGCCAAGATCTCTCCTGGCTGCTTCAAAAAATGTTGCTGGGACAGGTTGCCCGGATTCGGTATCAGCACTTCCTGTCCTAGCCGGTGCACTCCTGTCAGGTGCAACTTGACTCGACAACCGACCGCGGCGATAAAAGACACCTATGGTTGCTAAGAGAACAAGAAGCCCAATAACGCCGCCAATCACCGCGATCATAATAGGAATTGTTAGGAATGAAGCCTTTGATTGGCTCTGTAGGTCTGCCCATGGTACTTCAGGCGTAGACGGCAGTTGCGTCGTTTCCTGAGCTGATTGCGGCGCAATGTTGCATCCATAAGATGAGGAAGGGTAGCCTGCAGCCGTGGAAATGTCAATACCTTAAGAGATGTCCTCACTGCTCCAGGCCTACCCACGCACGTATGTAAACGTACTTACCGCCGCTGCATGCATCCAGCTCACTCAGGACACGATTCTGCAGGGCCTTCGGTAACTCATCAAAGCTCTGGTTGTGTTGCCGGTGCCTGGTTACTGCCTGGTAGTAAGCTGACACCTTGGCGGCAACCCGCTGCTCAGGCAACCACCTTTGCTTGACCTGAAGAACCATTGAGCAGTGCGTGCACACGTTAGCACGCCGCTCGCGAATTAAAGTGACCTACTTGGCACCGCACCTGAGCCAGGGTATCCGGGTCGAGGCACTCGTCGGGCCTCGTAGACCCCGGCATAGCCGCAAGTGTCCCGGATGGGCAGGCAACGCAGTACACTGACCCATTAGCGTATGTGCTTGACGGGCATACACGGCAGTAGCCGCTCCCCTTGCGCTCCGCAACCCTGCATTAGGAAAATTGTGTATGTCGTAGCAGTCGTACTCAGCACTAAACATGCTTAGTGGCAATGTATTCACGTAGCATAAATAATCAAGCACACACGCGTAGCGGCTTAAGCAGAGCGGTTGTACAGTTGTTCTGGTGCCGAGCACGAAAGCCGATGATGAATGCTACCCAACGATGCAAGTAAGAAAGAATGAAGCAAGCTCGAAACGGGCCTCGTGTACGGATGACAGTAAGGGGAGCCCAAAGCAAACAGGTTGAGTACTCCGTCCAAAGAGGGCCGCAAGGGCCACAAAGCACATGTTAGGCGGGCGGTAGCTCAGCCTTACCAGCCAGGCGAGCACTCCAAGCATTGCGCATCATACCCCGTGCTGAACGTGCCAGGTGGGCATGCGCTGCACGACCCCTCATTGAAAGCTGATGAAGGCCCTGAACCCCTAGGACAGGCTGGCCGCACTCCTCCCTGCACTCCAAGCGCCCAGCGGAGCGTAGACACCGCCTGCTCGATGGGCACGTCGGACCCGGGGTCCAGCCAGTACGACCGCGGCAGGGGAACCATATAGTACGACTGCAAGCAGGCCGGAGTAAACCGATATAAGGGTGTTACACATCTAGCCTGTGTCCAAGAGCAATGCTATGCGGCGGCCTGCTTCATAACGAAGGCCGCCTCTTATTACCTGGTTCAAAGCGGCGGTTAGGTGCCAGAGGTCCATGCCGGTGTTGTTGATGAACATGAGCTCGATGAGGATGGTAGCCGGGGCAGCGAACATCATGTGTGCTAATCCAGCTCCGTTGGGACCCATCACGACCTGCACGCGGTCCACATACGCACGGCATAGGGATTAGCCTACCGGTATACATGTGGTAGGTAGGGTCCGGAATGGCTAGTATAATTTAGGAGCTTTACCAGGGCAGCACGCTTATACCGGTATGCTCACCCGAGCCCGCCGGAACATGTCAATGACTGCGTCAGTGCCCATGTCGGGGCTGCCTTCGTGGACCACCAGCTGCAAACCGTGAGAGGTAGCCTCATGCCTCAGCGCGTCGAGGAGGCTGTCTTCATTTGTTTGGGTGCGGTCAGACGCGAGCCTCCTGGACACATAGACCAGGCTCGTTCGCTGGTTGGAGGGTAGCGGCGGGGGAAGCCCCATGATAGATAAGGCCTGCATGCAGGGTGGATGTACGGTTGCAGGCTTCTAGCCATCCATGCATGTGCCGAACAAGGCAAACAAAGCCGAACAGTACCGAAGTTACCTTTAATAAGTCCTCTCTTGGAGTCCTGGAAATGTTCACGGGGTTTGTAAGGAGCAGCTCGTCTGCTTGGTACGCATACAACGGATTGAATGTAACCTGCAGCCATCAGTAACCGCCATTGGAGAGGCCTATAATCGTACAGTTGTCAACGTGCATGGGATCGGAAGGCAGCAGCAGGGCCCACCAGTTGGCTGTCTCGAATCCCCAGCCTTCTCAGCCAGGCCTGCTCAAAGTTACTGCCGTACGTCAGGAGCTTGAGTTCAGGGTCGGCCGCCAAGAAGGGAGCATACTTGGCAACCTTGGGGATGACCTCTGTCAACGGAAAAGAGGAAGGAAACAAGGTAGAAAAAACAGGAGCTGCTGTAGTGGCTGCCATGCATGCATGTATGAGAATGAACTCACCGGTCATGAAGTGGAAGTACATGAAGGAGACCCGGTGTACGGCGGAGGCAAGACGGCTGTAGTGCCGCACCCCGAAGGATTCTGCCTCGTCCCGCCATGCCTAGCGGTATAAACGTGTCATTTATCCATGTACGGTACATTCAGTTGGTAGCAAGGTAGGGCTAGGGCAAGCGTAGCGTACCTCCAGTTTAGCATGGGGGTGTCGAATCCAGCTGTTGGCTCGGTATAGTCTGCCGTTTCCATCCCAAACGTCGCCTTCGCTGCCACAGACACTGGCATTCCTCAGTGCTGCCACATACTGCAGCAGCATAGCCAGCAAGGACCTTATCGGACAACAGCCGCGGGATAAAGGCTTCCCTTGCGACCCTTTCTTGTTACCTGCGCCGAACTACCATGGTACGTGTTATCGCCACGGGCATTGAACTCAACCTGTAACGGTTGCCGGTTGTTGCCTTAGCTTGAGTCGCGCAATGCAAGTAAGCGCGAGCGCCCTCAAGCAAAGCACAACACTGTGCGCACGTTTAGGTATCCTAAGCCTCCATAATAATCCAGGAAATTAGGATCCAACACGAGCGGCGGCTCCCGGTGAAAACTTTGATATGGGTCGCCCAGCGCCAGCAATCGAAGGCCATTATCAGGATGCGACTGAAGAAGGTCGCTGTACTCAACAAATTCTGCTGATAAACGCCTCGAGAAGCTAAATACAGCCATCAGAATGACTATATGCGATATTACATGTTTCCGCAAAGTTGCTGCGTCGCACACAAGAAAGCAGGTAGGCGCCCAGGGTAGCGACATCGCCTAATATTCTGAAAATATCGTCTTGATGTTACATATAAAGAATGCGCATTATTTGCATTTACGTGGTAAAACAGGGTTCTGCTGCAGGACGGCTGTACCTAGGGTATGGACGCCGCGCAGCAGCAGGCCAGCAATAGATGCTCGGTAAGACGGTACCGAACATAACAACATGTCTTAATCAGTGGTGTTCTGCATTTCCCATATTATATTCCTGTGTCGTATTCGACGTTGCTGTGCACACAGCAGGGCTGCTGGTATCAGTGAAAGCGAAAAAAAACGTCTTTTGCCCCTTGCGGTTTGCGCCAAAACCTGTCGCCAACAAATTGACATCATAGTAGGAGCATGGCAGCGTGTAAGGCCCGTAACTGTGGGTGGGAACCCCATTGCTGTCAAACACGTTTGTCATATTAATAATTTACCCATGGCAGTGTGTATATTTAATAGTGCGGAGTAGTGGGGCACACCCATCCCATCCTAAGTATCCTAGTATGTATATATCCAAGACCTTGGTGGTGCCTGCCATGGGCTGGGATCCGTTGATATTTAACACGTGCTGATAATTTAGGAGCATTAAAAGCGAGCCCACTGCAACGGTATTTCAGGACTTGGGGCTTGTGAATATTTATTGTTGTACCGTTAGGATCTATTGATTGTTTTAGACGTGTCAAAATTCGGTTTCAGGACGCATTAAGACCACGGAGGCGCACTAGTAGTTTTGGATGCTATGGGCAAGAGCAGTAGCATTCAGGGGAAAAGGGGGGCCCTGTGCACGGCAGAAGGCCCTGGGTCAGGTAGAGCGAGCGTTAGTTAGGGGCTTTGGCGAGTGTATGTGGCTTTGTTTGTGTCTCGCAGTTAAGTGGTCGCTCGTTCAATTGCAAAGGTGACTTTATCCGTAGGTAGAGCTTTAGGCCATGGTGAAATCTTTCCTCCCACCCGCCCCATTAGGTGAGAAACTCAGAGCAGGTTTAGGTTAAGAATGCGCTGCCAGGGGGGTTGTCTCTGCAGCCGGATTGCAGCCCACCGCAGAGGATTCATTCCTGGGCTCACAAGGCAAGGGGGATCTACGGGGTGCTATCCCCCCTACTATCTAGATTAGGCAACTTCCTGGCAACGAGGACATGGGCCATACATGGTGAAGTGAAGATGGCACGAGATACCGGTAGGCAACGGCAAACAGCACGGATGCGTATCATTGCTTTAGGATGCACAGACATAGTAACGGACGAGACGTGAGCAGGCTGTGATGTAAGAAGGGATAATGGTCTGATGACTGCCGATGAAGTTATATTTATTTATTAGGATGCGAAGGTTACACCAGACCGAAGCGATCCCGTGGCCTGCCCAAGCGGGTGTGCGGCGGGGGGGGGGTGACGGTGTGGTGGGGTGGTTTAGTGCGTTTTCGCGGCTGCTTATGATGGCGGTGTGTGGGAGTCATGCTTGGGTGGGTAAGGTGGCGGGCTGGGGGGCTGACGAGGCTGCTTAGGAGAGTGGCGCATGGGTGTCCCGTTTGGGAGGGTCAGATGGCTGCGTAGGGTCATATGAGGGAGGCGTTTACAGCGTCGAGGGGCATGCCTGGATAGTGCGAATTGGCATATTGCACCAGCAAGCCCGGCGTCTGCGGCCCTCAGGGGCAAGCCGTCTTGCTAAGCAGGGTCGCAATTGCGTTGGCAACTCGAGGGTATCATAGGCGTGCACAGTAACTGACGCACGGTCCTAGGTATCAGTTGCCCTCGCTGTCACCCTCATTCGAGCACAGGGATGGGGTGGGAATGGGTTGGCAAGGGGAGTCACGGGGAGAGAACAATAAAGGCATGGAAGCTAAAGGATGGCGTGGGCAGGGAAAGGGATAGGAAAGCAAGAACAGGGTTGGTGGTGAAAGGAAAGCGAGGAAAGGTAAGGCAACAGGAAAGTAGGGGTGGGGAGGACAGGGCGGTGGCATGGCTTGCATAGGAAACGTGTATTGAACCGTGGAGGCTATAACATCCAGAGAGGCTGAGTTTGGGATCCAAGCTTTGGCAGGGGAGGGGAGGGGATGGAGATCTGCAGGCTTCCTCTGCTGCTTCAACTGTAGTGTAGGTGCACCTCTGCACTCCACTGCGTTTGTCATATGCTGGCAGAGCCTCGTCGCCAAAGTTGTCTTCTTCTATGTGGGCAGGGGTTTGTGGGTGGCATTCAGAGCATGTTGGGCTAGTATTCAGTGGTACGCTCTCTTCGGTGCAGCATTCCTCCAGTACCTTTTCTGAAATGCACTCATAATAAACAACGTACTCATACCGCTCTCCTTTTGAGCACTGCTTGGAACATTGTCACCTTTGTTTGTGCGATGGAGCAATGTCGTCAGCGAAACAGTGGTTACCTTCAAACAGTTCACTATGAGCGACCGTACCTTTTTGACTTTGTTCCTTCCGCAGTCGATTCCGCACCATGCCTACAGTGATACTGGGCCGCCCCATTTCCTGCAGCAATGTCTTTGGCGACGCTTCCTTCCCAGTAGCCACGATAGTTTGTAATGCTTGTTTATACGTCAAGCCCTTCAAGCGCGTGTCGGAGCACACTTCGTCATGCAATAGCTTGGCAGTAAGTTTCAGTCCGCTAGAAGCAATAGTCTCGGCTGCTTTACACAGAGCGTCAACTTCATATGTTTTCATGCATTCCCTGGCCATTGTGTGTATTGAGTAAGGAAGGCAAAACCGAAGCCATTGGTATCGGCCCTATTAAACTACGCTGCTGGCCTTACCGCGACAACAACCTAACGGATACCAACGTGTAGCAAGCTATCGACATGCGATTAATGCCTCTCCTTTTGTAACTTGCTTTGTACTTTGTACGACACACGCCAACATCACTTCTCACCCATATACACATCATTATTTTAACATCACAATACAACAAACACGTGTGCATTGATTATGTGACGAACGCTGCAGCTAGAAACTCCTCCCTACTCATAACAATCGTTCCTGACTTGGAGCCACATCGCAGGTTGCCTTTGTGACTTGCATATACACATTCAAATTCCAAAACTTTTGCACGAAAAAGATGCCAAAAAGCTCACGCTAAATTCTGTTAAATTTGCCGGGGTGTTCACTAAGGCTGTTCCCTTGCTTCCAAGCCGCGGCCTGGCGGAGCGTCTAGAATCAAGGGCAGGCCAAAAAGGGGTAACGGAGTCCTGAAAGCCTGGAAGCCGTACAAGAGACCCAATCGCTAGCCTTGTTGATTTTATTAAAGGGCCTTGCGTGCAAACTTAGCCCTTGGCCCGTTATCCTTTTGTTAGGCAAGTTATGGTGTATTGTTCAGCTGTATTGTACAGCAACGACACGGGCTCTTGCAGCAAATCGTGGTTTGGTGTAAAGCAATTGTAAGGGCACCTAGTATATGGCAGTCGATGGTGACGATAGCTGTATGAGGGGGCTTCACCATTGGGTTCGTCATGATGGCTGTGGTTAGGGAAGGGGCCTTATTTTTCACCCTCCCCGTGCTTCTAGTACACCCGACAACGCGTCACGTAATTGTGCTGCCACTTACGGTTAGGGGAGGGGCTGGCCTGCACGGCGCCTCACGCACAGCGCGGATTGGGCGGGGGGGAGGGAGGTGGATGACTAAAGATGATGAGGCGCCTCCTGGTCTGGTCACATGATCGCCATTCATCATACTTCTAGCTCAATATTCGTTGGTGGGCTATGTGTTTCCGCATTGCATTTATTCCAGTGGTAACAATACGTTCCTGTACTGATGAGGAGGGGCTCCGCCCTTTTCCAGCGTTGAGGAAGCTGAACCCCCTTGTTATGGGAAAGGGTTTGCGAGAGGGCAGGTGGGTAGCGGATGGGGAATAAACAACATACCAACCCATAGGAAATTTCAGTAAGGGCAAAGCAAAGGGAATGGGAGGCGGTAGAGTGTCACAAACACAAAACGTTAAAAAAAGGACAGCCGCAGCAGGCTACAGTTCATCGACCGTTACTATGTGCCGCACACCTAGCACTGCCTTCTCTTGCTTTAGCCCAGTATGGATTGCTAAGAAATGAACAGGTACCGTTTAGGGATCTGGTAAGCAGATGTTGGGAAAGAGGTCAGGGGCCTGAGGCTACAGTTGGTTGTATAACCGCTTTGCACTTGTGGCATCGCCTATTTTCCTAATCACAATTAGATTATGTTCTTCACCGCCGTTTTCTTCATGTGTTTTTTGCCGCTGCGGCCCGTTCACAACACAGCGGCGTCTCCCACAATTGCGGTCCCTCCGTATTCCTCCGTCCAATCTGCAGTTAGTACGGTCTCTCCGTCTTCCTGCATCCTTCCGCGCTGCGGTTTCGCCCTGAACATCGATGATCAGCTTCCGTGCCTATTGCACCCGCACATTCCATGTCAGGCGCCTTGGCCGTGTTAAAAGTTTACGAGCTCTTGACGTACACTAACGCGAGCTAGCGTGGTCCCTCCGTCTTCCAGCGTCCTTCGGCGCAGCGATTTTGTGCTTACCACAGGTGATCACGTTCCGTACCTCATGCACCCGCATTTTCATTGCCAGGCGCTCGGGCTGCGTCAAATGCTTATGAGCGCAGCCGTACAATGACGCTATTCCTCCTAACGGGCTAAACAGTAGCTGAGACGATGGTCTCAGCTACTGTCCTCCAGTGTAACTTCCGCTTCCTAAACAGTAATAATATAAGATCGCACAATACGACCACCTGAACACGACCTACGCTCCAAGGTCAAAGCAACCTGTGTTGCTCAGCTGGGTCACATCACACTCGCCGATGATCGCTACCATGATTGCAAAACAAGGGTTTTGCATGTGCGTAATGAACCAGAACTGGTGCACATGCATAACCGTGAACCTAACGTACAACCACTACGGTGCGTGGACACATGTCGGCGGTACTGAATGTTGCAGGCCGTACGTGTACGGATGGCCTTTGCATCACACGGCTAACGAATAAGTAAATGACATCACAATTGTTAGTGCCTATTTGTAGCGCAGTAAGCTGCCAGCGGGCATGTGGGAGCCGCATGAAGGCCTTCCTGAGAATAGCACAGACTTGGGGGTTGGGGAAGTATACTTACATCATTCCTATTTTCGAGCTCCTATGTAGTAGTCCGTTGCTCCACTGTCCACGGCCGCCTGTTTGACGGTTGGAAATCCCGTTTTTGCTGACGCAAGCACCGCAGCTAAGCTGTAAAATAACAGACATTCTAGTGTATCCTTTCGGCTGTTAGATGCCTGCACTGCATGATAATCGGTACCGACTGTGGTTTTACAGCGTTGCCACAACCTGCTCACCACGATCTCTCCGAAGCCGATAACGGTCGCCGTCTAGTCATTCGCGGTTGGACAGGTGTGTATATCCTTCAGGTACCCGCAAGACCTGAGGCTTCGCCACTCGAACCGACCCAGGACAGGGAACGTATCTATCCAGTGAGGGTGCAGCCATGTGTAATGCGTCCATCTAGTATTGGCCCCGTATCATCAAACCGTGCCACGCTACGTCCTGTGCAGCTCTTGCCTAGACCTGTACCTTCGGATGTGCGCTCACCCGAACTGACGCTCAGTTACGGGTCTATGCATGGTGCCCACTGTGGCGTTGGTGTTGTCAGCGTACCACCAGCCGTCCGTGTCCTAGCAAGATTACAAACCGTTGTAAGGTTGTGACATGCCAGCCTTGTAAACGGAGGGATTTGCGTCCATGCAAACCATGCCTAGGCACCATAATTGTAGCATGTCCTTCCTAGTTGCTCAAACCGTTCATCCAAACGTAGCTGCATGCACATTTCCTCCCACCGGGGTCCGCCCCCAGTTGCCACACACAGTAGTGCCACGCAGAGGCATGCACACACATACACGCAGAGGCATGCACACACATACCCAAATATACCCCACCGTAATGGTCACATCTCTCCTGGACTCCTAGCCGGCTTCAAAGTACAGTCATAATACAGTAATACGCAGGTAATGCAGCCATGCTGTGCTATGCAGCTATAAAACGGCAGCAAGCCCTACCCCCCCTTGTGCGCGTGTGGGGAACCGGCCTCGCGCCGGCACGGCAGGGCGCCCTTATCCCACACGCCACCCCCTCACTGAAACAGTGCCTTCCCTTTCATTGGAACAGCGCCTCCCCTACCTCCATCTCCATCTCCATCTCCACCCCGCCACACCCGCATGCCACATTCGCTTGCAGTCACCCCTTACGTGGAACGTGTTCGTCTGCGTCTCTGCTCCGACGTCATCGAGTGTCGCTGACTGCATGCGCGGGCTGCATGTGCGCCCAAGATGACGTCGCAGACTGCATGCCAGCACCGGTACAAGAGTTCCTCTGGTCACCAAGTACCTGGCTGCTCCACTACCCTAAGCCTAGGTCCCTACACCTTCCTGCTGTGAAGTGGTTTAATCATGCCTAGCCTAATGCCCGCGCACAGCACACTTTAAACGAGAATACCTCAATGACGTCCATTTCCAGTGATACCCACCCTCCACCGCCCTCCAGCAAAGCCCCTATGGGCCCCCCGCAGCTCCGTTCCGTGTTCCCCCACCCAGCTAGTAAACCCTCATAAGCAGGCAGCTGCCCCGCATGGTAAAAAGAGCATGCATTTGAGTATAATTGAAGAGCGGGTTGCAGCACCCTCATGGTTATATAACTACAAATGCAACCACATCACACCACCTGCCGGCCTCCACAGCCGTCCTAGACCCCTACAGGCCGCTACTGTCTCACTCCCTCCTCCCTCCCTGCTTCCTTCCCTACCACCTCCCTGCCGCGCCTCACTTGATGAGTCGGAAGCACTGGTTAGCCACATAGTACTCGCCCGCCTGGGGTGAGAGGAAGAGGGGAAGAGGAGGGAGGCGGTGGGGATACCAGGACGGGACTAGGACGAGGAAGAGGTAGGCGCCCTCCATGCAACGTCTAGGAGTGCTGGTGCAGGGATGCGCACCCTAGGTGTAGCCCTCCCCAGCCGCAACCGCACCCGTTACCCACCTGTACTTGGCTGAGCACGAATATCTCCGTGAAGGGTTGCGGCTTGTTGCCCGCCGCGGGGGACACCAGCTGCCCCGTCACGTTCACCAGCGCGCTGCCGTCCTGTGGGTGGGGGAGGTGGGGGAGGAATAAGACGACGATGCACCTAACGAGCTGCATGGCAGGTGGGAGGGGCTCATCAAGGGATGAGGTGCACTTGCTGGTGCTAGTGTTGCGCCCCTCCCGGACAACTGCACCGCTGCAACCTGAACAGCAGGCCGGGAACCACACTGACAGCTGCTACCCACACACAGACCCACCCCTTTTCCTCCCCCCTTCTCTCCCTTCTCCCTTTCTCCCCATTCTTCCTCCTCCTCCCTCCTCCGCCCCCCTCCCCCCACTACTCACGAATCCCAGCGGCTGGCACGCCACGTCCACCACCTCGTGCGCCACCCGGAAGCCCGCGTGCATGGCCGCCACCCCGCCCAGCCGACACATGATGGCGTCGCGACCCACCGCACAATCGCCGTCGTAGCGGAGGGTCTGGCAGCAGGGGGGAGGGGGGGCGAGACGGGAGATGAAAAAGAGCGCCAACGAGCCGAGGCGGAGAGGGGTGTAGGAAGGACGCCCGGAGCGGTTTTAAGTGTTACCAAACCCGCATGTCCCGAAACGGGGGCAGCAGCGCCGCAGTTCTCATCGCCAGACTCCCGCGGCTGACTGCCACTCCTTGGCCCTAGTCACACAACCCAACCTGGTAACGCCCGGATGCTTCATCCGTGCCTCTTCACCTATCCACTCCCCTCCGGGCCCATGCGGCCGGCGCTTCCCCTCCCAGATCGCAACACCCTCCCCATTCCCTGATAAACTGCTTTACTATATCCCCATTGGTTTAACCTAACCTGTGCCTCTGGCATATCTCTGACTCCCCATTCCCTGCGCTCACTGCATGTGTCGGTATATGGGATTGGGACAAACCAGTTGCTGCACTTCTCATCTATTCTTTGGGCCCCCCTTCTCCCTCCCTCCTCACCGAGTGTTTGGAGTAGAGCGGCGCCAGGTCCCTCATCCTGGCCGGCCCCCCGTTGAGGTGCGCGTAGTAGTTGAAAGCAAACACCACTGCGATCTCGTCCAGCTTGTCGTGCGGGTTGAAGGCGCACTGCATGAAGGACTTGAGGCTGACGGGGTCGTCAGCGTACTGGGGGGGGGAGGGGAGGAGGGGTGGCGGTGTACAGAAAAGTAAGTATGAAGACTAAGCAAATCCAACAGACGAACCCACCGAGAAGGAGCAGGGAAGGAGGTGGGGAACTAAATGAGCACTGCAGCAACCGAAGTCCCAAGGAGAGGGACGGACACCTGCTTTGGGTTTGGAAAGATGTCGGCCCCCCCCTTCCCAAAAGGGTTGAGAGGTAATTGCCCGCTGCCATGCCATCGCCGTTCCCCGTCTGATGGTACCCTTATCCCTTCCCTCCGTCCCCTCCTCGTCCCCTCGTACAGCTCGTTAGTTGCCTCGTCAGCTTTTCCTTACCGTATTTTCATCCCCCTCCCCTCCCTCAGTTCCTCCTCCCTCTCAGTTTGCCTACTCCCCCCCCGGCCCCCCTCCTCCCCCCACCGCTCCTGCCACCCTTCCCCTCCAAACCCCATAGTCTTGCCCCAGCCTGTGGTTTCCTATGGTTCGGTTCGGTCTGTGACCCCCCCACCTTGAGAATCCAGGGGTGCCCCAGCAGCTGCTCCGCCAGCGGGCGCCGGTGCGGCTCCTTGGCCAGCGCCTGCCGCACGAAGTCGCGGAACTCCTCGCTGAACTGGCCGGCGGGCGGCAGCGGGGCCTCCTCCTGCAGGACCTGAGGCAGGAGGGGGTGGGGGAGAGGGGAGGCGGGGAGGCGGGGAGGCGGGAAGGAGAAGGGTAAGGGAGGGTGATGAGGAGGTTAGGAACGCCTATTCGACAGGCTAGCCGGACCCTTGCCTTAGCATGTCCGCCCCTCCTTACATCCTTCCCCCTCTTCCGTGTTATTCCCCCGTACCCATCGTTCCACTGCCATTGTTTGCTGCGCCTCCGCTTCCATTCCCCTCCCCCACCCTCCCCTCCCCGCCCCTCTCCCTCCCCGCCCCCTCCCCACATGTATCATGAGCTGCAGCGGCCCCTCGCTGGCGTCGTAGGGGTACCTCCCCGTCGCCAGCTCCACCAGCGCCAGCCCCAGCGACCAGATGTCGGCGGGGAAGGAGTAGGACTGGTTGTTGATGCGCTCGGGGGACATGTAGGTGACGGTGCCCAGGAAGGTGTTGCACTGGGGGGGAGGAGAAGGGAGGTGGGGGTGTGCAGCCCGCACGGGAAGTGAGGCATGCGTGTTACACGGGGACTGTGTTCCTGGCGTAGCAGATAGCAGGAGCAACACGCGCCACTGCACCCAGACGCAACCAGGCAGTGTGCCGCATGACAGTGCGCCCTCCCTCCCTCCCTCCCTCCCACATGCATGTGCCCCTCCCGCACCCCCCTCTCCCTCTCCTCCCCCACCTGCGCTAGTGTGGAGTCGATGAATGCGGAGATGCCAAAGTCGGTGATCTTGGGCTCCCCGCTGAGCGTCATTAGGATGTTGGCGGGCTTGATGTCGCGGTGGACCTGGGGCGGGAGGGAGGTGGAGAGGGGAGCGAAGGTGTGAGTGGCGAAAGGAGAAATTGGGGTTGACGAGGTGGGGGTTGGAAAGAGATCACCCTAGCGCCACCAAAGGCATGCCACCTCGTTGCGCTTCGTTTCAGTCACCCGACGCTGTCCTCACCACCGGCTGTCCCTCTAGCCCTTTCTCCACTGCCCTACTCCCCGCTGCTACCCGTACCTAACCACCTCAACCCACCCGGTTCCTCCTCCTGTCCCCTTCCGCTCACCATGTGTTTCTCCCGGTGCAGGTAGGCCAGCGCTTTCAGGATCTTGGCGGTCATCTTGGACAGCACGTTTTCCGGCACCTTGCCAACCTAGGGGAGGGGGGAGGGTAACGTCGGTGTCCCTTCCTCCCTACCCAGCCCTACCCCACCTCCCTGCACCCCAACCCCACCTTGGCCTGCACGTCCGCCAGCGAGCCCCCGTCCACGTACTCCAGCACGATGGAGATCTGCCCGCTTTCCGGCACGTGGTAGGCGCCGTAGAAGGCAACCAGGCCGGGCGCGTTGGGCGCGTCACACAGCGCCTTCAGGTCGTTCAGCATCTGGTGCCGCGTCTCCTGGGGGGGAGGAGGGCGGGCAGGAGGGGGTGGCAGGGGAGAGGGAGAGGAGGGTGGATAAGGCGAATACGAGGGATGGTGACAGACGCCGGGAGAGGCTGGTGATTAAGCCCCCAAGCTCTCCGTCCCCCAGCCGCCCGCCGCTGCAGTCTTTCCCAACAAGCCGCCCCTTCTACGTCCAACGGCAGAGCGGGGTGCTGGCTGGCTGGCTGGCCTGCTGACTTGCCTGCTGACTGGCCTGCTGGCTGGCCTGCTGACTGGCCTGCTGGCTGGCTGGCTGGCTGGCACACACCGCTACGGGGCTGCATCTGCCGCCGCCGCCGCCGCCTGCCAGATGGGGAAATGCTGCTATGCTGTTGTTATTGCTGCAGCCGCGCCCTCCGCCCCTTGCCAACAGCCCTCCGCCCCGCTGACCGCCTTCTCCGCACCCCACCCGGGCCCTCCCTCCCACACTCGTGCCAACACCGTGTTGGCAATCGTTGCCCCTCCAAGCAGGTTTCTGCGCCATCCAAACAGGTTTCTCTTCTTCCCAACCTAGCACCCACCCACCCGCTCAAACACATTGATCTTTTTGACGGCCACGAACTTGTTCTCTCGGATGAAAAACCCTTTGTGGACCTGGGGATGGGCAAGAGGAAGGAAGACCGTGCAGGTGGAGGGAAGGGCAGTGGATGAGGAGGAACGCAGCGGCGGGAGAGGTTGGGAATGACATGTTGGGGAACGCGGCCTAGAAGTGCAACAGCATGGAGACGATGGGGCCAGCATGAATAGACGGCTCCAAGGTTGAAAGCGGCGTGGCAGCCCCAACCGAAAGTCCTTAGTTTAAAAGACATCGCCTTAACAACCCAAGACCAAGCAAGCAGCGGGATCTCCCGTGGCGGAATGATTTCTCCCCGAGCCCTCGTGCAGGGCAAATATGCCCCCACGAACCCTTTCCAACTAAGCCAGGCAAATGCTTACGATGCTGCTGGCGCCCTGACCGAGTTTCTTCAAAATGCGGATGTCTTTTTCGGAGATCTGGATTGGGGAGTTGGGAAGCAGAGGAGGGTGAAGATAAGACTTGACATGGAGGTCCCGCCTGTTGCAAAACCTGTTGCGAACCATTACCTACGTTGTATGATAGTCCATCATTCTTCCGTTGCATACCCTCAGTTGTAAAGGATACTGGGTTGTATGATTGCGTGAGGACTGTAAGCGAGTCGTCGCTCATGCGTATGCTCGCCTGCATTCCACAAGTCCAAGTTCTTCGGCCACAGAAAGCCGGCTGAAAGCGGAGCAATAGCTGAAGTTACGGACCATGTTGGTACTATTATATGGGGCTGGCTCCGGCTCCACCGAGATAGCAAGGGAGAGTTTAGGAGGCATCTTATCAGCTCCGTTGGTATAGGCAACTATAGCCTGTGCGATCTCTCTTTATTCGTTTGCGAAGGAAATCCTATCTAAGCTTACAGAGAACAACGCCTGTTAACTTGTCGACCTTACAGCGTGTTGCGACAGAGTGTTAAAGGCGGACTGTAAACATGCAAGTCACGATAGGGATTGCTTTGAACGAAAGCAGGAATAAGGATAAGAATCAACTTAGTTGGGAAGGGCAGAAACCGTGAACTACGTACGACGCATGCCATCCGTCAGCATGCAAGCGACAGCTGGAGCATTTAGAAGTCACAGGAGCAACAGCCGAATGAAGTCACAAGCAAAGTTACATCTATTTTAGGATAACATGAAAGCAACTGTATTGACCAAGTCGATCACTTGACGTGAAGCTCAAGAAAGACATTTATCCAATAGTCAACATCGATAACAATGTCGAATAACATTTATGGCGGTGGTACGTAGTTCGCTTTTGGAGCAGAGTAGGTTTGCTACCAGCCCGCTCTTATTGTTATGTGCGACTTTGCAGATGAGGTAAACGCGCTGGTGCTAGACCTTGGAACTCATGCGTTTAAAGCGGGATACTCGGGAGATGACACACCTAAGGCGGTGTTCCCATCGGTAAGGCATCTGCTCGTCCCCCGGCTCCTACAAGTCGGACTCCCTACCCCACCTTCCCCCCCTCCCTAAATCTGGCCCCCCTACCGCATCATGTTTGTAATGTGGTTTAATTCCCAGTGCTATAGCCCCGCGTTACACGATCACACCTGATCCAAGTCATACAGCACCAGGGACGAGCTGACCCTAGAGTCTACGGATCATGCACAGTGCTGCAGCCGCTTACAACTCTTACTCAATTCTGCCCGCGTGCGTCGTACCCCATGTCGTTCCGGTCCTGCCCTCCTTCAGATGGTCGGCATCCACTCTGAATTGGGGGCGTCTAATGGCATGGAGGTGGATGGCGGCGCGGGGCGGCCCCCGGGTGCTCGCAAGCTGTCAGTGGGCTACCAGGCGCTCAGCGCCAAGCAGCTGGACATGGAGGTGAGGGGGTGGAGGGGGATGCGGGAGGGTTGGGTAGGTAGGGACGGGTTCATGGTGCAGGGATGCGACCGGGGCTGAAGGGATGCATGGCAGCAGGTCTGCTCGGAGTAGGGGAGTAAGGACCTGCGCGCGGTATCGACGGGCAGACACCATCGCCAAATTCGTCATGCGGTTAGGATATGGTAAAAAGAAGAGACCAAGTATGTTAGGTTGGAGGCTATTGTCCCTTGCTGAAGATGGTTGGCTAGGCAGTAGGCAGGTGGCAGCGCCCGGGAGCAGGTGGCTGGGTTGGGGGGCGTGTCCCTTCGCCGCCCGATCCCGAGGCTGTTTGGGGTGGGTACCGCTGAGCCTGCAGCTGTGCAGCTGCGGCCTAGGTGCCCCATGTCCCGCCGGGTCATCGCTAAGGGGTAGTGGTCAAGGATCGACCAACCGTGGCAGCGGGTGGGCAGCGGGTGGCAGCCATTGTCGCATGTGGTGGTCGCCCTCTGCGCTGTAGCACGGCTTGGGTGCAATCCCGCCCTACCGTGCCTCCCGCTGCAGGTCCAATCTCCGTTCGGCCCTGACGACCTGTACAGCGACTGGGAGCTGGTGGAGGCGCTGTACAACCACGCCATCAGGTGGGGCTGAGGGGGAGTGCCGCCACGTGCTGCCAGATGGGGTGATGTGGATAGCGTTACTCGTAATGGCCTGTAAAGATTGTCTACTCGTAATGGTCTGTAAATATTGTCGAACCAGCTGGGGCAGAGGCGAAGGGGCTGCGAAGGGTTGCGGGGTGCGGGGGACGGGAGGGTCTTTATGGCGATGAGCTCTGCTTTGGTGCGGCCAGGCCGCATGCTGATCGTGAAGCTGCGGGCTGGCGTCACGGTAGGGGTAGGGAGGTGCAAGGGCCTGACTGAAACTGGCGTGCATGGGGGCCGTGGCGACCGCTCGGACGTTGACTCGGGCAAGCGGGCGGTAAACTGTCGTGGGCTATGCATACTTCAAAGGAAGGCGGCTTTGGTGGGGCGTGTGCCCCCACTATCCTGCCTGCACGAATCTGCAGACGCCGCCCATGCGCTCTATTCACTGCTTTCACTACCATTGCCCTCCCCTCCTGCTGTTGCCGCGCCTGTACACAGAGACCGGCTGTCCGTGAAGCCCGAGGAGTTTGCGCTGCTGCTGGCTGAGCCCACCCACAACAGCCGCGCGGCCCGGGAGCGGCTGGTGGAGCTGGTGTTCGAGGGCTTCCAGGCGCCCGCGTGCTTCGTGGCGCGAAGTGCCATGCTGAGCGCCTTTGCAACGGCGCGGCAGACGGCGCTGGTGGTGGATGTGGGATACCGGGCGGCAACAGGTGGGTGGAGGGAAGGGAATGTGGGGGACTTGGGGGAGGGTGGTAGGGGTGACGGGCTGGCTGTGCATGGCAGTGGGCTGGGGAACTAGAGCGGGCTCTGGACTACGTTACTGCGACCGTTCTGGACACGTGCGCGCGCTGCGAAATACTGTTTCGTCTCGCTCTGTTCGTGATTCGCATGCGTTGCCTTGCTTTCAAAGGGAATTTGGAACGTGGAGAGGGTCTGAAACATATATGAATTGTGGTTACATGAGTGGAAGGGGCCTGCAGTCACCCCGCTATCCAAGGCCGGGCGGGCTGCAGCGGTCCCTGGGTGCCGGGCGGGTTGGCGGTACACGTGGCCAGCCGCTGCCCAACACCAGGGCCCGGACCCTCCAGCAGACGTCCTCACACACCGTCCGCATCACATCTGACCAACAACTATATATATAGCGCTGGCCAGGTTAGATGAGCAGCTTCTCGATGGCACCCTGAGGGTTTGGGGAGGTCCGGATTTAGGGAACGGGTCAGGTTGGTGGCTACAAACCTTGGGGTAAAGGCATAAATGTCATAAATGGGAGGCTATTCACTGCTACCAACGTAGCAGCTGGTAATGTGCGCACCTTGAGGTTCTGGATCTGCGGCTTCAGCTGGCTGCCCTCGTTGGTGGTCACGGAGGCGGCAATCACCTGCGCAAGGGGAGTTGCGGTGGGGGTCTTAGGGTTCTGTACGACAATAATTAACGCTGTTGAGGTCGTGCGGGTAGTAGCGGTTGCAAGCAATCCTGGTAAGAATCGAGAGTTTACCTACCGCGCGAGACACGCCGCAAGCGCGGCCGAGGGCGGCCTTGCTGGGGACGAAGACGTAGGGGACGTTCTTGTCCTCAGCCAGCAGAGGCAGGTGCAGCAGAATCTCAATAGGCTCAGTGTCAGCGGCCATAACGACGAACTCAGAAATGCCGCGGTTGAGGGTCTTCGTAGCTGCGTTGCAAAAGTTCTGACTTCATTCCTCCGGTCGGCCAGTAACCGCGTTAAGGAAAAGTAGGTTTTCCTTCCGAAGAATCTTACCCTCGTTAGCACCCTTCTTAAGCTGCTTGTAGTTGGCCGCCTGCTGGACAATGTCCAGGATGGTGTTGGTCAGCTGGGCATCCGCCAGCGGGTAGGCCTTCGGGTTCACAGCCTCACTCATGGTTACTAGATCACAGGCTGATCACAACCCAGGGATAGTGCGCAAAATGTAAGTTAAACGTCTAAACCGGTGTAGAAGTAAGGGCTTGAAGTGGCGGCCGGCGCCGGTCAAGTAGTAATCGCGAAGGGCTTGTCGGGCCTTACACCCTAGGCACTTCGAGCTTTCTCGCATATGCTAATTTTGCTTGTGTTTGACATAACTCTTTCTATATCGTTTTGTTCGCCAGCTTTGCTCTCGTTAAGCACTTCCTCTTGTCGGTTAACATGTCGCGCAGCCGCTGCTGTGCAAGATGGCTACGTGCTCCAAAAGACCGTATCGCGAACGCCAATAGCTGGTCAGCTGCTCAACCATGCTGCTCAAGCAGTCGCGGATGCCAAGTACACGCCCATCCAGCCACGCTTTGCCTTCAAGCGGCAGCAAGTCCAGCCCGGTGGCGAGTTCCAGGTGCGGTCATATACCCGGGACGATAAAAGGGGAGGGACCGTTAAGCGGCTTTGTCCCCAAGGCATACCTGCAAATCCCATCCCTGCACTCATCGCATCTCTCCTCTCAACCCGTCTTCACCGAAATGTCCTCCTCCAGGTTGTCCCAGTTGACACCACGGGCGTGACTCCCAGCTTCCGCGCCTACCATGTGGAGCAGGCGGCGAGCGACATGAAGGAGGGCGTGTGCCGGACCAGCGAGACACGCTTCGTGCAGGCGGAGGGCGTCAACGTGCCCACCGTGGTGTACGAGGTACGGCAAGAGGGTGCAGCGGGGAGCGGGAAGGGAGGAAGAAGGGGGCGGGCAGAATGCTTTAGGCTTCTTCACCGCCCTCCGTGGTGGAAACGGAGCAAACGAGGGAGAGCGGAAGGCCGCCCCATTGTGCTAGTAGGCTGTTGCAATGATGTGCAGCTGTGATGCGCAAGCGGGATAGTTGACTTCGCGACTCTACTGATCCCTGGCTTCCGGCCTGCTCACGGTGCCCTTGTGCTCGACTATGCTATTCAGCGCACCATCATATAACGCGCCCTCATTTCCTTCCCCATCCCGGTTCCCCGCCTCCCTCCCCTCCCTCTCCCAGCTGCCCGACGGCCAGGAGCTGTACCTGGGTCCGGAGCGCTTCCGCATGACGGAGCTGTTCTTCCAGCCGGTGGGGGACTGGGGTGGAAGGAAGGGAAGGAGGGCGAGGGAGGGGGTTTAGGCATGGCAGTGAGGAGCAGACGCTCCATACCGGTGCAGCTCCGTGACTGTGTGGGTCATGTCCAGAAACCTCCCCATTCTACCTCCCCATTGCCCACTTCTGGTCGCTCCCCTCAGACCAGCATCAGCAACTTCAAGGGGTTGTCCCTGCCGCCGGAAACTCGATCAGTCCCCGGTGAGAAAGCGGGGCGGAGGACAGCAGCAGGGGAGGGGGCAGTGCTTCCGGGTTCGGCATCCGGGTTGGTATGCAAGAGAAATGTATGCCTGCTGGGAGGCTCATCGCCCCTTGTGCTTCCATGCTTCCATGCTCTCTTGCTCAATACCCGATAACCCTGACAACCACTCCCCCTTCTTTCCCCGTTGTTCACCCCATCCCCCTTTTAGAGGTCGTGATTGATGCGGTGAACAAGTGTGATGTGGACCTGCGCAAGGACATGTACTCGGGGGCCATCCTCACAGGTGTGGGGGGGGGGCCCAGGAGGGGCCGGAGGGACCTTTCTTGTCGGTTGGGGAGGACAACTGGACGGAGGATGTTTTTTCGCGATGATAATGGCCACAGGCAGCTGCGGGTTGGCTGACATGGCACGCACCCTAGCACGGCACTTACCCACATGTCGCCATGATCCACAAGCGCCACTCGCTGCCACCTACCCGCACCCCCTCCCGTCCACCCTCCCTCGCCCTTGCCCCCTCCCTCCGCAGGCGGCACCTCCCTGATCGCCGGCTTCAAGGAGCGGCTGGAGAAGGAGGTGTCGGACCTCTCCCCGCCCGCGGCCAAGGTCAAGATGGTGGCGGCGGCGAACAACATGGAGCGGCGTTTCAGCACCTGGATTGGTGAGGGGGAGAGGGAGCGAGATAGGCGAACAATGGGTTCTACTATGAGGACAAGGAGGGCAAGGGGCCTTGGAACATGGAGCGGCGGAGGTGTAGGCGTGTACGGAAAACATTCAGGGCCTCACTAGAAATAGCGCGAGAGAGGCGAACTTACTGAGCTGTAGCTGGAGAGCCCGCCTGATGCACACCGTCTGCCTGGTGCCATGGTCTCTCTCCATCCTCTGTCCTCCGCTTACTAGCGGTAGCCCACTCCCGCCCCTCTCCCCCTCTCCTGCCTCCTGCCCACAGGCGGCTCCATCCTGTCCAGCCTGGGCTCCTTCCAGCAGCTGTGGATGTCCAAGAAGGAGTACGCGGAGCACGGGGCGCCCCTCATCAACAGGAAGTGCCCTTGAGGCAGGGGGGTAGAGGAGGGGGAAATGGCGCACTGGGCTAGGAGAGAGGCAGGTGGGAGGGAGAGGCGGGGACGGTATGTGGACCAGGGGAGCAGAGACGCAGCGAGGGAGGAGGAGGGAGAGGCGAACCTGGAGCGAGGGGGATTGAGAGCGGCTGCGATGAAAGGGTAGCTGTGCTGCAGCTTTACCTGTTCAGTAGTCCAGGGGCCTGAGCGCTGTAGGCGGAGGTATGTTTTGAGAGGATGATGGATGGCGGGGTAGTATTGTGTGAGTGCTGATTCCGATGGGGATGCGGACATTCATTTGTGGTGGTGGTTGCTCGACCCGGGCTCGCTGGCGCATGTGAGGCCGGGGCCCGGTGAGGCTAGACGGGTGCAGGACAGGTTGGGCAGTGACTCGCTCGTGTTGAGGCGAGGTGGGCACCTGCAAGCCGCAATCCTGTGTAAGGCTTTTGAGCGAATGCCTATCGCCTAAAAGCTCCCGACACAGTCATGCCCCGTCTTGGCGCGGAGACGCTCGCTAGCCCCACGATTCACCATAGTGGAGAGCGAGGTTCGGGGTGCGCCCAGGGAACTTGCACGGGCGCTTGTGCCAGAGCGGTTGCAGGCCCCGCTATCCCTGATTGCCGCAGGACTACCAACGTTGATATAAAGCAGCTAAGGCTCCTAATGCCCATAAGCGCGTTATCACTGCAAGCCAAGCATTGCAGGCAAGCCTTTAGTGAGCCCTAATTTGGGCTTTGGTGACAACGAAAGAGAGTCCATCTGCTCCGACCCACTCCTTCCTGTTGCACACTGCATCGAACGACACGGTTGAAGCCTGACAAATAGCGACATGCCAAGTGCAGACAGTCCATGTGGACAACCCAGCCCGTCCTTGGCGCACGTTATCATTGCTTATCTAATATGGCGGAAGCTTGAGAAGGCTGGGAACATAGCAACACATACTGCCCTTCTCATGCAGTGTAGGACTGGATATCGTCCGCTTTCCCTTGCCTTCCGGTTTGGGATCACTGTAACGGTCATTCATTCACATACATGGGGGGGTGTACGCCATACATTAGGCAGGTGTTGTTGCCGGCATGGCAAGCTGGCGCAGTCCGTTAATTTACGCAGCCGCCACATTGTGTTGCAGGCGCCGTACACCCATTGGCTGCACGAGGTTATCGGGATATTCCGTGCATCAACGCATGGCAACAAGTACGTCCCGTGTCGGCCATCCGAGATGGTTTTGGGCGGAGCCCCCGCCGCGACGCCCCCACAGGATTACCCGCGTCCGTGTGTCCGTCCGCCCGTCCATGTGTCTGTAGCGGCTTGTACTTGCTACCTGTCTTATGTAAAATTTACTGCGAAGTAGCTACGCAGAATCCTTTTCACAACAAACGATTTCTTGACCAGCAGCCATCCACAACGGCCACCGCGGCCATACCGATTACCGCTCCTTTATTCCACACACGGAACGGGTACAGTGTCCTTTGGTAATCCCGATCTGCATGTCACGGCGGCCACCCTTTCCAAGGCTCTCGACCTGCCTCCCGTTCTGGAGCGGCTGGAGCGCGTGCAGCGGCAGCTGAGGCGCATGGAGAAGGGAGGCCAGCTGAAGCCGCGCATGCAGCAGCCCTCCGAGCCCCCCCAGCAGCCCAGGCCCATTGCATGAGGAGCCGCCCGCCCGCCGCCAACGCACCCCCTCCCTCATGCTCAAGATACTGTTTCTAATGGTAGTAAAGCAGGCCATTGCTGCCCCGAACGCGTGCGCTTCTAGCTCACAAATAGCCCCTTCCACCCATCACCGCGAGCCACAGGCAATCGCCACTCCATGCCCCCTAACCACCACGACATTTTTATACGATTGACATTTCGGGTTAATGCGCTTATCTACTTACCAAAGTGTCCGTGTACAGGCTCACATCATGCGCGTACCGGTAGTGGCGAAGCCGGCTCAACTGAAGCCTTTAAACGAAAACAAGTCGTAGGTTTGCACCTAGAACACATACGTGACATTAAGGGGACACTTCGGAACGTGAACAGTAGAAGCACTTTGTTGAACGTATGTGGCTAGCCATTATCTCGAGATATCAGAGGTGAAGCGGCGGGTAAGAAAAAACGCCAGCTTATGAGCAGTGCTACATAACCTGAACTCATTGCTTGGCGACTAATTGACGCGAACCAGTCGTCTGCCTAATGCAACTGTCGGTCGTTCGACGGTGTCGTTTCCTTTCCAACACACAGCGAAAAGGCACGAGCTCCTGTATTTAACTCACGGGATTGTATTCTATACACACTTACGCTCTATATATAGGCCATATCTTGCCGCAACAATCAAAGTCGTCGTATCGTCTCAGGAGCAGTCGTTGCAAATAAAGCAAGCTTCAGGCAGGTGCGTAAAGTATATCCTCTTTGCAGCAAGCTGATACCTAAAGAATGCCCTGCAGCCGTTTGTGGCTGAAGCCGTGCTGCGCTAGACGCAATGACCACAACCGAGCGAGCATCCTCTGTAGTGCCGTCTGCAACCAACCATTACCCGTCAACGCAGACCGCACCTAAGGAGATTCATACATGGGAGGCGCATCGCAGCAGGCCAGGCTGCTGCAGCGCCTCAGCTGCTTGGCCACTCGGGCAGCAGGAGCCTCGCCAGCTGGGCTGCTGGGCTGCACCTCCGCACTCCCAGCACTGCCGCGTTTCGTTGCACCACGGTTCCTTCCGGTCACGGCGCGGGCTAGCCTTCCCCAGATCTCCCTCCCATTAACTTACCGGACTCCGCCCCTGCTGGAGGGCCTAGCTGGCAATGCGGCCGCTGCAGCAGCCCGCCAGGCCTTCCCAGCAGCAGCCAGCAGCAGCACGTCCCTCGCTCCTCTGCGCTTCATGGCAACGGCCGCCAGCGCCCCAGCCCAGTCCTTCTGGGAGGAAGCATCTAAGATGTTGTGTGAGGGGTTGGCATGGTGGTAAGTCAGTTTACGTCCATGCCGTTCATTATCTAGTCATACAAGTGACCACGTTTCCTGATGCTCTCTACACACGCAGCGCGGCGCTAATCCCCGCGTCATTGGTGATGGTCCTGAACCTAAACCTCTTTGGGCAGGTTCCATTGGCCGCCATCGGCCCCCTCGCGGCAGCCCTGCTCTGGTGGTTCGGACAACCAAAGTGAGTCTCCTATGAGGGAATTACACCCGACACCTGCCGTACATGTTTCCATCAAGGTCATCATTCAGCATTCTTTCTCGCGTGTATCTCCTGTGCCTTGCGGTGCAGGTCTCTGCATGTGCTCTTCATGCTCTTCGTGCCGCTTATACTGTGGATGTTCATCACGTGGTCGAAGCTTGAAGAGGTGACATGGGCTGAACAACCGAAGGCAGCAGGGGACGCCAACAAGCAAAGCTGTCAGCCTTTGTTGGCCCTCATAATTCAGCTCTTGCATACCGGTATGGTATGCCATTACTGCAGGCTTAGAACTGTCGCCCCTTGCTGCAGGTACCGTACGTCCACCGCATGCACGTGGTCAAGTCCAAGCTGACGAAGGACGGCATGAACGTGCCGGGCAGGTCGCAGGATGAATTCTTCGCAGTAAGCTGGGCCTGCCAGGGTTATAATAGCAGGATGTAGTCACCAATGGTAGCCCTCGTGCTGCAACCCTTCGCAGCGCCCTCCTTCACCAGACTCCCAAGTAACCTCCCTAAGCTTGGTGCACTGCCAGCAAGGGTGCACCGTAACATGTTTGGCTATATAGGCCCCCTTAATCCTTACGCGTTTTAGTTCCTGCCTCCCTCCACAGACCGCCAGGTCCATTGTGGGCTGGTGGAACCAGCTGCTCCCCGCCGACCACCCTGACGTGGTGCGAGTGCGGGGGGTGCTGCAGCGGCTGGCTGGTGCGGCGGCTGCGGGCCGGGGTGGGGGCCATTACGACCACATGCGGGCTGACATGCCGTGGGCGGTGGCGGTGGTGGCGCCCGTGGTTGGGGCGAGCGAGAAGCAGCTCAAGCAGCGCCGGGAAAAGTGGATGGCCGGGCGCGGGGAGCGGCGGGGAGAGCTCAGCAGTGCGGCTGCTGCCGGGGAAATCATGTTGGCGTGTGACTACCCGACCTGCGTGATTGGCGAAGACATGACGCATGAGGTTGGCTGGGAGCTGCAAACTGGGATTGCGGCCCTTGAGTCAACATGCAGTAAAGGGGACGTGTGCCATGTACCTGTACGTTCTGCACACTCCTTCACGAATGACCATCTCCGCACCCCATCCCACCCCCAGGTCCCACCAGCGCACGTTGCAGTTGGCGGGGGAGGATGAGTCACTGCTGGCCGCAGCGCTGGCGCACAAGCTGGCGGTAAAGCTGGCACGGCATGAGGTGGGAGTTCGGACAGCAACAACATGCTATGCAATAGTTGGAATTCCTATTGTGGGTGGTCCTGCACAAGGGATACTAGCTGGATTGAACCATCAACACGGTTGCATTGCGTTATCGAGGTACCGGTACCGGTAGAACTGCAGACAGTTACCCTCTTTCATGGACGCGCGCCATTATTGAGCTGGGCTGAGCTGGTCGGGAATAATTGCAACTCCTGCTGCCGCAGTCTGAGAGCCCCGGTTTCTCGCTGCTTGGAGCCCTGGGGGAGATCCTGCGTTTTCAACAGCAGCCCGAGGATGCGGCCACTTGGTTCTTCAGGTAGGCTCGGGTTACGCATTACGTAATCCGCGTTGCACACGGCACACTGGGCTGCAATCAGGGCCTTTGGCACTGCTTCGACACTGCTTCGATAGCTATCCGCCTATCCCGCTTGTAGGTAGACGGCTGTCACCGGTGAAGGGGTACCGGTACACCATGGCTCGCTAGATGTAGCAAGTCGGTATGTCATTACCGGTACCCTCCCGTCTGCCCACCAGGCAAACCCTAGAAGCTGACCTCATTGCCGTACACCTGCTGTCCGAGGCCGGGTACGACCCCGCGGGCATGGTACGATGGCTGAAGCGCATCCAGGAGCAGGAGCAGCGGGAGCAGGACTTTCGGGTGAGGATAGCTGGCTGGCCCCTTGGCCTGAAGTCCACGCACCGTGCTATCGAGCGGCAGTAGCGGAACAGGTGTACTGAGATAAGATGTTGTTAGCCATTTGCCTACTGCCTGTTTTCAAACCGCCGCCCACCCTCCCCCTTTACTACCGCAGTGCAAGAAGCTGGCCCTGCAGAAGGTGGTGCAGCAGCAGGGCAACGTGTCAACAAGCATCTCCATGATGCGCTGGGGGAATACGAGGCCGTTCACCCTCTCCGAGGCGCTGCGTCTGCCGCCTGTCCAAGAGCGGTTGCAGCTCGTGCTGGGCCAGCTAAGTGCCATGGACAAGGGGCGGCCGTAGAAGCAGCACACGCGGCACATCGTCCCCCCCCAGCCTGCTGCTGCCAGCACCTGGTGACAGGGGGCGAAGGGAGGTGGT